CAACAACCCTCGCTCACCTTAAGTTTACTGTCAACTCTACACTGAAGTATTTATCTTGAATAGAAATTAGTATATTTTCCTCAAAATTTAGACAAGGGTGTTCCACATTCAATGCTCTGTACAATTTTTTTTTTTGGAAAGACTGGGATGTGCAAAACCAGGCTTGAGAAATGTAGTTCTTAGCAGACCAATTTCAATGTAAAACAACAAAACAAAGTAGCTAGTCCTCAAAGGAGAAATACTGGGGAAGTATTAACTCGCTGTGTAGAGATTTCAGAAATGAGTTGAGGTCTTGAATAGGGCTCCAAGAGTCTCCGATCACATCGAAACAAGAGAGAAAACAGAGTGGTAAGATGTACTATTGAACAGACCGTTTAGCACCACAATGCCTACTTGTTTTCACTGGGTGGGGGCTGGGTCTCTCCCCCCCCCCACAGCTGCTTCATACATCCCACAATGCCTTTCCCTTACTACTGCGAAGCTTTGACCATTCCCACAATGTGAGGAATTAAGGAGCAGAGGATGCCTCTCAAGGGCAGATGCCAGAGCTCCTGTGTTAAAATGACCCCCGTAGCTTTTCTTTGCAGAAATAAAAACAAGTTTCCATTTCCCTTGTTAGAATTTGAGGTCACAGTCCAGTCCTTTAAAAAACCCAAATTTAAAAAATCAGAAACTTAGACTAGCTTTCCCTCAATCGTCTATCTCTAAATGTGTTGAACTACAACACCCATCATCCCCAAGACAGCATGTTCTAAATTGAGGGCAAACCATGTGATGAAAGAAGCTGCATCACTAGAAACAAACAAAAAAAACTTTTCATGTGAGAAGCTGATTGACACCATTGGAAACAGAGCATGGACTTTTAGTATGACCTAATAGCACTCTTGTTATAGATTCTTTCAAACATAGAATCACATGTGAAACAATACTAAGGGTTACATTGTTGTTGTTCATTCGTTCAGTCGTCTCCGACTCTTCGTGACCTCATGGACCAGCCCACGCCAGAGCTCCCTGTCGGCCGTTACCACCCCCAGCTCCCTCAAGGTCAGTCCAGTCACTTCAAGGATGCCATCCATCCATCTTGCCCTTGGTTGGCCCCTCTTCTTTTTCCTTTCATTTTCCCCAGCATCATTGTCTTCTCTAAGATTTCCTGTCTTCTCATGATGTGGCCAAAGTACTTCATCTTTGCTCTAGTATCCTTCCCTCCAGTGAGCAGTCGGGCTTTATTTCCTGGAGTATGGACTGGTTGGATCTTCTCGCAGTCCAAGGCACTCTCAGCACTTTCCTCCAACACCACAGCTCAAAAGCATCGATCTTCCTTCGCTCAGCCTTCCCTAAGGTCCAGCTCTCACATCCGTAGGTTACTACAGGGAATACCATGGCTTTGACTAGGCGGATCTTTGTTGCCAGTCTGATGTCTCTACTCTTTACTATTTTATTGAGACCGGACATTGCTCTCCTCCCAAGAAGTAAGCGTCTTCTGATTTCCTGGCCACAGTCTGCATCTGCAGTGATCTTTGCGCCTAGAAATACAAAGTCTGTCACGGCCTCCACGGTTTCTCCCTCTATTTTCCAGTTGTCAATCATTCTTGTTGCCATAATCTTGGTTTTTTTGACGTTTAGCTGCAACCCGGCTTTTGGGCTTTCTTCTTTCACCTTGATTAGAAGGCTCCTCAGCTCCTCCTCGCTTTCGGCCATCAGAGTGGTGTCATCTGCATATCTGAGGTTGTTAATGTTTCTTCCAGCAATTTTCACCCCAGCCTTGCATTCATCAAGCCCCGCACATCGCATGATGTGTTCTGCATACAAGTTAAAAAGGTTGGGTGAGAGGATGCAGCCTTGCCGTACGCCTTTCCCAATCTTGAACCAGTCTGTTGTTCCGTGGTCAGTTCTGACTGTTGCCTCTTGGTCCTTGTACAGATTCCTCAGGAGAGAGACAAGGTGGCTTGGGATGCCCATCCCACTAAGAACTTGCCACAATTTATTATGATCCACACAGTCAAAGGCTTTAGAATAGTCAATGAAGCAGAAGTAGATGTTTTTCTGAAACTCCCTGCCTTTCTCCATCATCCAGCGGATATTGGCAATCTGGTCTCTCGTTCCTCTGCCTTTTCTAAACCCAGCTTGAACATCTGGCAACTCTCGCTCCATGTATTGCTGGAGTCTTCCTTGCAGGATCTTGAGCATTACCTTACTGGCATGAGAAATAAGGGCCACTGTACGGAAGTTTGAGCAGTCTTTCGCATTTCCCTTTTTTGGTATGGGGATATAAGTTGATTTTTTTCCAGTCTGATGGCCATTCTTGTGTTTTCCATATTTGCTGGCAAATGGCATGCATCACCTTGACAGCATCATCTTTTAAGATTTTAAACAGTTCAGCTGGGATCCCGTCGTCTCCTGCTGCCTTGTTGTTAGCAATGCTTCTTAAGGCATTCAACCTCACTCCTCAGGATGTCTGGTTCTAATTCATTCACCACACCGTCAAAACTATCCTCAATATTATTATCCTTCCTATACAGATCTTCTGTATAGTCTCGCCACCTTCTCTTGATCTCTTCAGCTTCTGTTAGGTCCCTGCCATCTTTCTTTCTTATCATACCAATTTTTGCCTGAAATTTACCTCCAATGTTTCTAATTTTCTGGAAGAGGTCTCTTGTCCTTCCTATTCTGTTGTCTTCTTCCACTTCCATGCATTGCTTATTTAAAAATAGTTCCTTATCTCTGCTGGCTAACCTCTGGAATTGCGCATTTAACTGGGCATATCTCCCCTTATCCCTGTTTCCTTTTGCTTTCCTCCTTTCTTGGGCTACATACAGAAAGAAAATTAGGGGACACAATGTTGTTACCAAGAATTTTGGAGCCAGATGGAAAGGAACCTTTCACGGGCCCAGTTTCTTCCAACCATTTTGGATGCTCTGCACATCAAAATGAAGGTGTCAACTATTTGGCCACTAGATCTTTGGGTATCCCAGTAAATGCCCTGCTGCTCTCCAAGGACTGCTGCTCATCCACATGCCACTCACTGCTTGACATTTATTATGGCAAAAACAGGATCTTAGTTTCTTGGATAAAGGATTGTCATCTTCCACAGTGGGTTAAAGCACTGAGTTGCTGAACTCGCTGACTGAAAGGTCGCAAATTCGAATTCAGGGAGCGGTGTGAGCTCCTGGTGTAGCCCCAGCTTCTGCCAACCTAGCAGTTTGAAAATGTGAGTAAATCAATAGGTACCGCTCTGGCGGTAGGTGACTACGGGGAATACCATTGTTTTGACTATGCGGATCTTTGTTGCCAGTGTGATGTCTCTACTCTTCACTATTTTATCAAGACTGGACATTGCTCTCCTCCCAAGAAGTAAGCGTCTCCTGATTTCTTGGCTGCAGTCTGTATCTGAGGCAATCTTTGCACCTAGAAATGCAAAGTCTTCACTGCCTCCATATTTTCTCCCTCTATTTCTCAGTTGTCAATTATTCTTGTTGCCATAATCTTGGGTTTTTTATGTTTAACTGCAAGCCAGCTGTAAGTTGTTTATTATTATTATTATTATTATTATTATTATTATTATTATTATTATTAGCCATCCCCTGCCACGCATTGCTGTGGCCCAGTCTGGTGATCTGGAAAATAAAGTAATGAGAAAGTGTTGGTTTCTAATATATGTAATGTCTTTATGCTTGTGGGTAAACAGTATTTCTTGTTGTTTCTTTATCAGTGTTGATGTGGAGAGTGTCTGGTTTGCCCACTCTGGAACATGGAACATATAATTGTCATTCTTTCGGGGTCCCTTTCAAATCCAGGATACTATATCTCTCTCTCTCTGTGAATCATATCTATCTATATCTATGGCTGGATGGCTCTTTGTCAGGAAGGCTTTGATTACATTTTCTTGCCCTGATGAAGGGAGTTGGACTGGATGGCCTTACGTATTTTCTGTTGGCCATGGGGGTTCTGTGTGGGAAGTTTGGCCCAATTCTGTCATTGATGGGGTTCAGCATGTGCTTTGAATATAGGTGAACTATAAATCCCAGTAACTATAAATCCCAAATGCCAAGGTCTATTTTCCCCAAACTCCACCAGTGTTCACATTTGGGCATATTACATTTTTATTTATATAGATTACTAGCCGTCCCCTGCCACGTGTTGCTGTGGCCTACATGGGGTTCTGTGAGGGAGATTTGGCCCAATTCTATCGTTGGTGGGGTTCAGAATGCTCTGTGATTGTACGTGAATTATAAATCCCAGCAACTACAACTCCCAAATGTCAAGATTCTATTTTCCCCAAACTCCACCAGTGTTCACATTTGGGCATCTTGGGTATTTGTGTAGAGTTTGGTCCGGATGCATCATTGTTTGAGTCCACAGCGATCTCTGGATGTAGGTGAACTACAACTCCAAAACCAAAGGACACTGTCCACCAAACCCTTCCAGTATTTTCTGTTGGTCATGGGAGAACTGTGTGCCAAGTTTGGTTCAATTCCATCATTGGTGGAGTTCAGAATGCTCTTTGATTGTAGGTGAACTATAAATCCCAGCAACTACAACTCCCAAATGACAAAATCAGTTTTTTGAGTGAAGGACATACATTGGGTTGTTAGGTGTCTTGTGTCCAAATTTGGTGTCAATTCGTCCAGTGGTTTTTGAGTTCAGTTAATCCTACAAACGAACATTACATTTTTATTTATATAGATAGATTATTCTTATTATTACCTGTGAAGAACCTTTGCACAATGATGGTAATGCCAGGGCCTTGTTGATCAGGAGACATTGACCTGAAAAGTCATTAGGGGGGTGGGGGAGAAATTTCAACCACTCCCCCCCTCCTTTTTTTTCCTGGCCAGGGTCCTGCTTCCCAGGTAATCCTCAGAGCTGGAGATGCTTGTCACATTGGGAGGGAATGTGGTGTCATTTGCAAACTTGAGAGGAGGAGGAGGAGCCCTTGGCCTGCCTACTTGGAGGATGGATGGGGGCACCCCCAGTCAGCCGTGAGAGGGAGCAGCCAGGCCGAGGAGCCACGTGAGGGCCTGAGGGAGCCGTCTCCCTCTCTCTCTCCTCTCTCTGGAAGCAGCCATGGCCCGCCGTCGCCTGCTGCCTCTGCTGCTGGGCTGCTGCCTGGCGTGGCGCTGGGGCCGGAGCGGGGCCCAGGAGGCGGCCGGCGGAGGAGGAGGCGGTGAGTACTGCCACGGCTGGGTGGGCGCCTCAGGCCGCGCCGCCGAGGGCTTCCTCTGCCCGGAGCGCTTCGACGCCGCCGACGCCACGCTCTGCTGCGGCTCCTGCGCCTTGCGCTACTGTTGCGCCGCCGCCCAAGCCCGCCTCCAGCAGGACGCCTGCACCAACGACCCCCGCGCGCCCCACGCGCCGCTCCCGCCGCCGCAAACGCGTGAGTGTTCTCATTCCCTGACAGGATCTCTCCCCTTTCTGTCTCCTCCCGAGGGATAGGCATAATAATACCGTTAGAGAAGCAGACCGCGCTTCTCTGAAGCCCGCGTGCATGCCTGGGAAACTAGACAGCTGTTTTCTGGGCGCGCGCCCTTCGCGCCTCAAGGCTTGGCTAAGGACTTTTGCAAACCTTCACAAGACTGAAGGATAATTGCAGCCCAACTCTGCAGAAGAACGAAAACAATATGTCCTTTTTTAACCCCCACCCCACCCCAACAAACCAGGGACCCTGCCCAATGGAGGCCAGGCACCTGATTTCTATATCCTTGGTTTTTGGGGGTTTRTTTGGAGGGAAATAAGCTCAGAAACTTCAATTCTTTTCATCTGCCCACAGTGGTAGCTGTACAAAATCCACATTGAATAGCACTGTGGACGCAGGGCAAAAACCCACCCAAAAAAATAGGGACCCTGCCCAATGGAGGCCAGGCACCTCATTTCTATATCTGTTCTTGTTTTTGTTTGTTTGTGTTTTTTTTTTTMGAGGGAAATAGGCTCAGAAACTTCCATTCTTTTCATCTGCCCASWGTGGTAGCTGTACAAAATCCACATTGAATAGCACTGTGGACYCAGGGCAAAAACCCACCCAAAAAAACAGGGACACTGCCCAATGGAGGCCAGGCACCTCATTTCTATATCTGTTCTTGTTTTTTTGGAGGGAAACGGGCTCAGAAACTTCAGTTCTTTTCATCTGCCCACAGTTGGTAGCTGTACAAAATCCACACTGAACAGCACTGTGGACGCAGGGCAAAAACCCACCCCAAAAAATAGGGATGCTACCCAATGGAGGCCAGGCACCTTATTTCAATATGTGTTCCTTTTATAATAATAATAATAATAATAATAATAATAATAATACTTTATTTGTACCCCGCTACCATCTGCCCAAGGGACTCGGTACGGCTTACATGAGGCCAAGCTCACAATACATCAATAAACAAAACATCAATAAAACAATACAATTCATATAAATCACATAAACAAAAAATAGGCAATGAACAATCAACAGTGACATACAAGAATTTTTTTTGGGGAGGGAAATGGGTTCCGAAACTTCAATTCTTTTCATCTGCCCACAGTGGTAGCTGTACAAAATCCACATTGAAGAGCAGTGTGGACGCAGGGCAAAAACCCACCCAAAAAAACAGGGACCCTGCCCAATGGAGGCCAGGCACCTGATTTCTATATCTGTTCTTGGTTTTTTTTGGAGGAAAATGGGCTCAGAAACTTCAATTCTTTTCATCTGCCCACAGTTGGTAGCTGTACAAAATCCACATTGAACAGCACTGTGGACGCAGGGCAAAAACTCACCCAAAAAAACAGGGACCCTGCCCAGTGGAGGTCAGGCACCTGATTTCTATATGTGTTCCTTTCTTTTGGATGGAAACGGGCTCAAGAACTTCAGTTCTTTTCATCTGTCCACTGTGGTAGCTGTATAAAATCCACATTGAACAGCAGTGTGGACACAGCCATATAACCCTTCCACACAGCCATATAACTCAGAACATCAAGTCAGAAAATCCCATAGTATCTGCTTTGAACTGGGATCTCTGAGGCGCCTTCCACACCGCTGAATGAAATCCCAGTTACCTCACATCTTGGCTTCCTGCCGTAACTTGACCTCTGCACTTTGTACTATAACAGGGGTCCTCAAACTTTTTAAACAGAGGGCCAGGTCACAGTCCCTCAAACTGTTGGGGGACCAGATTATAATTTGAAAAAAAACATGAATGAATTCCTCTGCACACTGCACATATTTGTAGTGCAAAAACACTTAAAAACAATACAATAATTAAAATGAAGAACAGTTTCAACAAATATAAACTTATTAGTATTTCAGTGGGAATTGTGGGCCTACTTTTGGCTGATGAGATAGGATTGTTGTTGTTGTGTGCTTTCAAGTCGTTTTAGACTTAGATTGACCCTGAGCAAGGGCTGGGTAAATGACCTTGGAGGGCCACATCCGGCGCCCAGGCCATAGTTTGAGGACCCCTGTACTAGAATATATCCCTATCTCATCCTGATTTCAGTAGTTTTAGTATCTTAGTTTTTATCTTGCACATGTGGCCCGCTCATTGTTATGTTATATTATTTTATTTTATTGTGTATAATTTTGCTTTATTGTTTTTGTACTCATATGTTGTATGTATTTTACTGTGTTGTTACTGTGTTTTGGTTTTACTTTATTGTAATATGCTGTTGGGCTTGGCCTCATGTAAGCCGCCCCAAGTCCCCCTTGGGGAGATGGTGACGGGGTATTAAATAAAGATTATTATTATTATTATTATTATTATTATTATTATTATTATTATATATGGCAACGTGGACTCGGATAACCCTGTTCAAAACAGATATTGTGGGATTTCCTGTCTTGATATTCTGGGTTATATAGCTGCTTGGAAGGGCTCTGAGTCCACATGGCTATATATTCCATTTCAAAGCAGAAAATGGGTGATTTATTCAGCTATGTGAAGTAAAGGGCCTTTCCCACTGCGCTTTAGCCCAGCATCGTATCCCAAATTATCTGCGTTTAAGCTGCAGCCCCATTTACACAGCTGTATAAAATCCAACATTATCTGCTTTGAACTGAATTATATGGCAATGTGGACTCAGATAACCCGGTTCAAAGCAGATATTGTGGATTACCTGCCTTGATATTCTGGTTTATATGGCTGTGTGGAAGGGCCCTGGAAAAAAATGAGTTCCCATTGGCAGATCACCTGGGATAGACATAACCTGGAATCAGATCCTAGTATAGATGGGCAGTGGGGAAGCATCCTCAGATAACCCAGTTCAAAGTGCAGATATTGTGGATTATCTTCTTTGACATTCTGGGTTATATCTCTGTGTGGAAAAGCCCTGTGAGAATTTTTATTTATTTGTTTGTTTATCTAGTATCTTTATTTATACCCTGCCTTTCTCCCCACACTAGGCAAGTTTAAAAAGGTGCAATGAAAAAACAAAATTAAAATACAGAAGATAATACTAAAACGGCATTTAAAACTCATACCCACTCCCCCCCCCCATCACCCCCTGAATTAAAAACCACAGCAACCCCCCCACTAGATTAAACACCTTCAATGCCTTTTAGGAACTGAAAAAGCTATCAGAGCTGCAGACAAATAGCGCCGCTCGAAAAGAATTGGGAAAGGCTTCTTGGTTGCTTTTTTTAAATAAAGCAAATGGCCCACAGGCCTTCTTTTTGAGGACAAAATGTAAAACCGATAAGTTAATTGACCTTAAAATATCAGTCCGAAGAGCCAGGAGTTAGCAACATCTTCCTTAGTCACCATCTACACTGCCATATAAAATCCAGATTATCTGCTTTGAACTATGGCAGTGGAGATTCATATAATCCAGTTCAAAGCAAATAATGTGGATTACCTGTTTTTATAATCTGGGGGATATGGCAGTGTAGAAGGGGCCACATTGAGAGCCTGTGTTTAGATGACGATCTGAAACCTTGAAGCTCACCTTGAACTTTAGGATAGTTTGCAGTTAGTCCATCAAGGAAGCAACTTGTCACTTGTGACTTTTTGGGTGTCACTTGTGGCTTTTTGGGTGTGCTTTATTTATGTGACTTCTTTAACGCGCACACAAACACATCTTGCCATAACGAAGTCTTGCGGAACACTCACATTTGTTGCTTATTCTGCTGAACAATCAGAATTAATCACTGGGGAAGGGAGAGTATTCAGCTTGCATTATATGAATCACGAATGGATTTGAACTCATAGCAAATGTATGTATGCTAAATATCCAGAAGTTAGCCAGAGTTGCTGAGCCAACGAAGAAAAATGCCTCCGGATCCAGAGCCTTCCCCAATTCTTCTATTATGTGGTAGCTTTAGTATACTTAAGAATTGAAGTTTTGTCTCTTTTGTAGTAAGTCTGTACTTTTTTGTGCAGTCTCCTATTTCAAGTTCCGAAATGACTCTTTACACTAAAATAAAAAAATGCAGATACACTTAGAAAAAAATACTGCTTAAATGCAACTCTTAATTACAACTAAAATAAGCTAATTGACTCAATGGAAACTTGGTAAGCTAGTTTCATTGATTTGGCAAGTCTGCTCTGGTACCAAGAGGTGAATTTAGGTTACTAATTGCAGCCTGATCATTCCTTGCAAGGGTTTGTTGAATTCATTAAAACATACCCGTAAATTGATGGGGCAGGTTGCAATCCCCTGCCCAGGTGTTTAAGAGACTGTCCCTCTGCATTCAGTGGGGTTTTAGATGTAATGCCTTCACACACAGCAATTCCAGCATTGAGACAGAAGCATTGGGACATAAGTTTTCACATTATCATGGCAGTGCGAACCTGTCAGAAAAATATCCCAGCGTTTGTAGCACAATGCCTATGCCAGGACAAATTAAATAAAAATCCTCACCAGTAAGTTAACATTATTTTTTTCCAATCTCCCTGGGGGGGGGGGGGGGGGATAAATCAGGTGGGAGGAGAGAGGTTTCTTGCCAATGGTGTGGTGGTTATAATCTTTGGAAGGTAAGTCCAAAACTGGAGGCTCATAAGTTTAAATGTGCCCACTAGAAAAAGATGATGACTGGAAATGGTTACTTTTCGACAAGCAGAGCATGTTAAAAAGTGAAAATCCTTTGGAATTCTAGCAGAAAGCAAGATTTGCTATTTATAAATGACTTTTCAATGTGATTTGGTCCAAAGGTAGGATGCAGATAGAATCAGAGATTAACAAATAGTGGAAATACTGTATATACTCGAATATAAGCCTAGTTTTTCAGCCCTTTTTTAGGCTGACAAAGTCCCACTCGGCTTATATCTGAGTCAAGGTTATTTATTATTTTACTCTATTGTTGTTGTTGTTGTTGTTATTGTTGTTATTATTATTGTTGTTGTTATTATTATTGGAAACACAACAAGATGAGTCCACTGCAGACACGCTGCTGGCTGTTGTATTGGATCACATGTTGGACACTTCTCCTTCTCCTTCTTATTATTACATTTATTATTTTACTTTATTATTGTTGTTATTATTACAATTATTATTTTACTCTATTTATTGTTATTACATTATTTTTTTCTCTACTATTACTGTTAATATTTTACTCTATTATTATTATTACATTTATTATTTTACTCTCTATTATTATTGGAAGGATAAGTAAGCACATTTACATTGAGAAGGTTAGAATAATGGTTTAATCAGAGTTGGGCAGTCTTATCTTAAATTAGTTTTATGTAAATGTTCAAAAACATTTAACCTACCGATGCCTCAATTAATGCAATTGTATTGGTATCGATTTTTATTTTGAAATTTACCAGTAGCTGCTGCATGTCTCACCCTCAGCTTGAGTCAATCCATTTCCCCAGTTTTTGTGATAAAATTAGGTGCTTTGGCTTATATTCGGGTCGGCTTATACTCGAGAATATACGGTATTTAACGACAATAGAATGGGAGAAAGTAAAATCAAGCTCCTGTTCTGTTACTGAAATATCCCAGACTGAACATGTGTTTGGAGGCAACAGGAATCCATGGCTGCCTTTTTGAACCACAGTTTTCCACCTGTCTCTAAGTTTGGTCAACTTTTGGGGTGATAAAAAATTAGATCCCTTTCGCTTGAGCGTTTTTTACGTTGATGTAGAAGTTGACTGGAAAAAGAGGGTTGAATCTGGGTGATTTAAGGATATGTACGCATGCAGTTAGCCATACGGCTTTAGCTAAACCATATCAATGAGTTTCTCAGTGAGTTAGAGACAGTTCTGGTGTTGTGATTATCATGTGATCATCTTGGTGAAGCCCTTTTTATTCTGAAGAATTTAATTCTTCTTCAACATACAAATGATTCATTCCCTCCTTCTTTTTGTCCAGAACCAATCTATGTGCCATTTCTCATCGTTGGATCGATATTTATCGCTTTCATTTTTGTGGCCTCCTTTGTCGCTGTTTATTGCTGTACGTGTTTAAGGCCCAAGCAAACTTTGCAGCAGCCAATGCGATTCTCCCTTCGAAGCTACCAGATGGAGACTTTGCCCATGATCCTGACCTCAGGTAGCTTAAGGACTCCATCGAGGCAATGCAGTTCTGCAACTAGCTCCGGTTGTGCTGCTGGCTCTGTCCACAGGTTTTCCTTGGCCAAGCCAGAGTCTGGGTGCCTCGCGACCTCTTCGCCTCCGCCTTATACAGCTGGCTGTTTACCGATGGGCCATTCTGTCAGCCTCTCTCAGCCTTCTGGATTTTTGGTGTCAGCACCACACTTCTCATATCCTCTTGACTCGGAGCCATCTCCGAATGGAAAGAGTACTGCAGATCTGAGCTAGAAAAGCATTTCTGAAGCAACACGTTTGCAAAGCACAATGAACTTTATGAGGTTTTCATTGTTGGACTTTCTGGTGATGAGATTGAAAACCACTTGACTGTGTGAGTTGCCCTTTTTCAAAGTGCACATTTTTGCAGGAAATGTTTAAAAGCAGCATGGATTTGAAAATACCGATCTTCACTTTTTCACTGTGATGTTATGTTGCTTCCTAAACTCTTACTTTCAAGTTTGTGTTTAAAACTATGCATCTAATAATGTGAACCAAATCCCTGCATATACGAGTAGAATACTGCTTTAAAACTGTGATCCTGTACGCACTTAATTGGGAGTATGAATGAAGTGAATTTTAAAAATTTGCATTTTAATATAAATACTTCTTTAATACACAGGATTTACATGGCTTTTGGACTTTTCAAATGCTGTGATAAAGCGTTCTGATAAACAATGCTGGAATTAAGAAAATAACACAAAGTGCCATATATTAGAGGACCATGTTTACAGCAAGGACATACTGTATTGCTAGATCTGCAAACTGCTGTGTACACAAAAACTCCAAAATTAGGATGAAAGTGCATGCTAACATTAATGTGGATTTTAAAAGAAAACATTCACAAACTGATAAACAGGATTGAAAACCTGTACTTGAAAAAAATTAGATGTTCTGAAAAGAGAAACAGATTAGTTTGTCTTTACTTGCCCCATTTTTCTCAGGTGGGGAGTTTTGGTATTATGATTATTATGTGATCATCTTGCAATGATTCTAAAAGTGTTAAAAGTAAAGGACAATTGCATTCTGGTTCTTGTATTTGTTTGGAAAATGCAAATTAGTTTTGTTTCCATCCAGATGGGTGAGAAATGTAACTCTCATCCTTTTTGACCAGACATATATAGGATTGTGCTGTTAGCAACTAAACGGGATTCTTTAAGTGTTGAGCACTATTTTAGTGGGAATTTTAAATACATGTTTAACTCTCTTTAGTTTCAGGGATTGGAACAAAATAAGCTGGTTTGTGCTCAGTATTTAATTTTTTAGAAAGCCAACTGTTTTGAAAACATTGGAGGCTTTTAGAAACATATTATAAAGGAAAAGTTTTGTAAGCAAGTGCTGAAAGCTTGGGACACTAAGCTAACAAATTATAAAATAAGAGATTAATGGTTATGACTCCCAGACATTTTAAAGATACATAATGCTGAAATATGGACACTTAAGATACTATTCCATGGGCAATAACTTTAGGGTTTGCCAAATAGAACTCAACAGGACTTTCATCTGAATAGAGAAGTACGGAATGCTGTTGCACTAATTCAGTCGTAAAACTTGCTGTGCTAGAAAAAACAAAAACAAAAAATAGATACAGTATTGGGAAGGTTGTCTTGAATGGGAGACAGTACAAAGATTGTGCCAGGACAATACTGCACATGAAAAGATTTCCAACCTTACTCACAGATTCAGTAAAAGATAAATAGGATTGCAACATCAGTAATGTATTAGAAACACAGCAGGATATTTTACTAATAGGAGTCCCCGGTGGCACAATAGGTCAAAACCCTTGTGCTGGCTGAACTGCTGACCTTAAGGTTGGCGATTTGTATCCGGGGAGTGAGGTGAGCTACTCTGTCAACTCCAGCTTCTCATGCAGGGACATTAGAAAAGCCTTCCACAGAATGGTAAAACATCCGGGCATCCCTTAGACATCCTTGCGGATGGCCAATTCTCTCACACCAGAAGCTACTTGCAGTTTCTCAAGTCGCCCCTGACATGATTTTTTTTTTACTAATAAGTAATTTTTCATTAGAATTATGGACATGTTCTAACATGTAACAATGCTTACCAAAATATGAAGTATCTTTACTGACTGTCCAGAGTAATACATTAAAATGCTAAAGTAGTAAAAATTTTACAGAATTATTAAGAATGTATTTATTGTGTTTTCTTCTGTGACTTACAAAACAAATTGGGCAAGTGGTCTTAATTTTTATTTGTAAAATTAGTGCTATGTGAAAATAATTCAAAAGGGGAACTGTAATGGACAATGTGTTGACAACGTTAACAATGTTTAGTAGTCACAGGTGTTCTAATAACTGGTCTGTGATTGAAATTATATTTCAGTTATTGCATACATTTATATTTTGAATAAATAAAACTTAATTTACTCTTTGACAATTTTGTTTGATTTGAAGATTATAAAGTTGCCTGTAAGACCTGAACTTATTACATTGTGAAACATGAAAAATGTAAAGGTCAGAAATTGAGTTTAAATATCTGTGTGAATTAGTTATCCTCTAAATTTAAGCATTTATGCAGAAGGAACATTCTAATTAAACAAAGAACCACTTTTCTTCAAAATAAGCCTGCAGTCTTTTCACTATTGTGCTTAATAGTGCTTTCTGAGTCTTCATATATACAATCAGCCTGCATATGTTAAGGCAATTTGATTAAATTCAAAAATGCATCACGGAAGAGGGCAAATGTGGCCATATTTCTGCACAGACAACTTTTTTTTTACTAGAATCCTGGCTACTGGAACTCAGCATTGAAGTTTTAGTCTGTAAAAATACACTGAGAACTGAGCTGAAAAGTTGTTTGGTATTTCAGGCATGAATTCTTAGGACAACTTTGGATGCAATGTCATTTTTATCATTTGGTGTCTTTAGAAAATAGGTCGCATGGGAGCTCTGCAGTGTTTTTGAATGGGAAGCTTAATTCCCATAATAAAAAGGTGCTGAAAACTAATGTTGATCAGGACAGTGTTTGGTAACGATATCATTCCAATCTCAAAGTTTGTATTTAACCTTAGGCTTAGCTCCCAGTCCTCGTTGTTTGGCTATGTTTAAATGTATGCAGAAGGAATTTATGTAGACTCAGAAAGATTTTTATGCAGAAAGATTTTCCCAGTTATTTCTTCTTGTAGCTCCTGATGCCTTTTCCCAAGAGCTGTTCTTAAGGATCAGGGACTCTTCAAATGATGTCCAAGATGGTATGTGGTGCCGCTTTGAAAACCTCCTTGTGCTGCATAGTATCTTACGCTTACATAATTGGCGCCACGATTTAAGCCCACATAGGCAGTTTTCAGACTTTTACTGGATGACTTTCAAACAGGTTGTCAATTCTGCAGTTGATATATGATGAAATGTAATCTGGTCTTCATTTCGCTTAGATATTGCCCCAAAAGTTTTCGTAGTATGAGCTTTTGATTTCAGAATATACTCGTATATGCTTCTGAACAAATCCTTGAGCATGTTTAATTGATCTCATATGGGGGGCATTAATAACAGCCCAACCAAAAAAAAAAAAAATTGGTGTCTTGCTTTTTAGGCCTTTTCCTGGGGTTCTATTGGGTACTGATTCAGAAAATTGCATTGGATAGACCAAATAAGCTTCAGTTTCTTAGATATGGTTATGATTTTCTATGAGTGAGCAGATGAAGACTGTATGTAGCATATGGTCTGTATCTCAAAAACTAGAACTGAGAGGGGAAAACTGGTGCCGTTTTTGGAATCAGCAGGTCAAATATACCCAGAAATAGAGTTAACATTTGAGGTATCAAAATGTGTGTTGGCCAGTGTAATAGGTTTTGGGGATTAGTGCAGCTTCTGGATTTGAACATTGGCATTACTTTACTGTTAACTGCCTAGTCTTGTGATTCATATCCAGAATGATCCTCATTTTATAGTCACTAAAACCTGAAATTTGGAAATTCTGTAATGTTGACCTGCCAAACTTTTACCCTCTGTGCCAGGAAGAGCTGAATGAAACTTCTTTCAATCAAACCTTAGCATTGACAGAATGAGGAAGCAGATAGGTGCATAAAAAGGTAAGCAGCCCATTTCTGTTTAATTCTGTTCTATACGCCTGGAAGCTCCGGGCAAAGATACAGAGTTCATCCAAGACTGCTTGTCAACTTCCTAAAGGAATTGCAACAATGAGATAGTTGCAGATGTTGGTGTATTGTCAACAATCTAGAGAACTAGATCTTGGCCTGGCATTGGAGGAGCTGTAACATCCAAACTAACTGCATTCATCATTCTAAGCACAAGAACTGCAAATTGTTTGACATCCTCAGGTGGACAGGAGTGCTGGGTCTTCTACTATCCCCAAAGAGAATTATGTAAAGGTGACAGAAACTCAGGCAATGACATGTCAGAATCATAAGAAGAATCTGAAAACTATCCAGGTAAAGTTTCTGATGAGAATGAATAATGGATGAAGTTGGAAGTTAGATACCAATAAATTATATAAAAACATATTATGGAGCTGCAGCAGCAAAAGTAATACCTACAGATTAAGTATAAACCATGGTGGTAGCAATGGAAGTTCAACATGTCCCTTCTTCTCTACTGCCCCCAAGAAAATGATATAGTAAAATTTTGACAGCCCCCTAAATATTTTGCATCAATAGTTTAATAGTGGCTTAAAAACCATAATTTGATGCATCATTTTAAATTTCTTTATCTGTAAATGGTGTGATAGCAGTAGTGTATAATAGCAATCCTAGATGTTTTGATGGATCTGATTATTAGCTGTGTACCCTACTTTAAACTCTTGCTGTTGTAAGATATCACCACTTTGCTTTTTCTGCATTTTCTCCTTCATGGCAATCTAGGCTTTTGAAATTGTGGTATTGCTTGCTTTTAACTTTTTTGTTCCTTTTTAAAACCCACTGTAGGAAATTCTAGTGCCTATCAAAATTCAGGAACAATTTATAATAACCTTATAATTTTGCCTTAAATTTGAACAAACATGTGTAAGTGCTTATATTGGTATCCAAACTTATGATTTTAACTATGACCAGAGTGTTAAAAGGCATGGGAAGAAGGGATTGTGGCAAAGGGGTTTATAATAACATTGGTATAATGGAGGGAAGGAAGGCATGGGAGGATGGGATCATTGTAAAGGGGTTTATAATTACAATTGTATAATGGAGGGAAAGAATGCATGGGATGATGGAATTGTGGCAAAGGGGTTTGTACTTACACTGGTATAATGGAGGGAAAGAAGGCATGAGAGGATGGGATGGTGGCAAAGGGATTTGTAATAACACTGGCAAAATGGAGACAAGGCGGGTGTGACAGGTGAGAGAACACATTGTGCTCTTCTGGCACACGTACCATAGCTTCACCACCACTGCCCTATAACATCTATCTTGCAAAACAGTACTGACTTCTAATATCCTTCCAAGCGCAATTTAAGGTGCTGGTGTTGACCTACTTTCAAAGCCCTAAAGTATCTGAAAGATCACCTCCTCTTATACGAATCTGCTGGGAATTGGAGATCCCCGCTGCATGTCCCAACAGCTTGTGGAATTAGCTTGGTGAGTACACGAAACACCCAATGTTCTTTTTAGTTATATCCCTGTCCAAGGCATTTTGGCTGGAACCATCTTTTGAAAACTTCTGGCAAGTAATGCTGTTCTGCATGGCATTCAGTGTTTGAAATTGCTGTTTTAACTGTTTAAAAACTGGATTCCATTATTGTTTTTAAATTGCTTCTAAGTTCTTTAAAGGAATATTTTAAGTTGTTTTAAAATGTTTTTAATCTCTATACTGTTTTAATTGATTTTTATTTATGTATCGCTTTGGATGCCCTCATGAGACCAGAGGTGATACAGAAATACTTTGAATACATACATAATAAATAAACTCTCACCAGCCTTGATAACTATAGTCCATGGTGGGGATGATGGAAGTTGTAGTTCAAGATATGGAGGGCTCTATTTTTCTCTTCACTGCTTTGGAAGAAATAATTATTTGTTAGTTAAACTGCATTATAGCGTTTTGTACTTTTTTCCTGTGAGACACAGTGCTGCTCACCCCATAAGAGAAAAAAACCATTTCCTTCTGATTTTCATGTAAAAGCCGGTATTCTTATCTGTGTATTTTTTTACAGCTTTATCAATTTGTATTTTTTCTGTTAGAGTGCCTTGGGTGCACAAGAAAAAAGTGTAGAATTTTTCAAAAAGAAAATGCCAATTTCACAGGAGTAAAATGCCAGTTAGACTTCTCATAATAAAACAGTAATGATAAAATATCAAATTTCAACATATGATATTTTTATCTACATTGTTTTAACTGACTTCAAAATTAGAATAACAGGAAATACTTCTGAGAAACAGGGTTTGAAGTGTAGAGAAAATCCCAGAGTTCATTATATTTAATGGCAAGGTTTTATTTTTTAACAATTAGACAAAACATTTAAAATTTGCAGTTCAGAACATGCACATTCACAAAATGCCAATGACATGTAACACTGCATCAAACTGAATATATTACTAAAATTTAATAACTTTATAAAACAGTGCATTTAACATCCATTTAAAACTAAACCTGAGGAAAACTACCATACACATTGAGTAAAAACCTTTCCATTCATGCAGCTTCACAATTTCCACAGCAGTTTCAGCAGTAATGGTTTAGTGGAGCTGGAAATCCTACGGTACTTTGAATGCAGTCTTAACTTTTATATAGTGCCTCTGCCTTTTGTGGCAGCATGAATATCAAGTTGCAGTAGAAAAACAATATTAATGCATTATGGCTTCAATTGTTGAACAGGAAAAACACTGAAACATGATTTTACTTTTACACATTTGCGTTACAGTTTTGCAGATACAAAATATTGAATGAATGCAAAAATAACTGTTGAAATAACTTGTAAAACACAAGCTGCCCCCATAAGTTGAGAGTCTGAGCAATCCAGTTAACTCACTGAATCTTGCACACATTTTGTAATACTATCAACATATATATGATCTTTGAAATTACATTTAATGCTAATAAAATGAAATTGGTAACTCAGTTGTTTACTCAACATTTACTTTTGCCTACCAAATGCATACATTTTGATGCATGTTTCAGCAAAAGGAAAAGAAATAATGAGCTTTATAGCACAAACATGCATCAGTTCAGATTCACACTGTGATGTATTAACTCATGCAGACTGGTTGATAAAACCTACCAAAACAACAACTGCTTTTGCATAATACATAACTCAGTAGAAAAAGAGGAGAGCTAATTATGTGATCCTATTCTCTAGCAAGTAATTGAACAATAATTAAATGATGAAAAAAGATGTCTTCCCATGTGAAACTGTATTACGTTTCTTTAAATATTTCCTCTATTTTATACAACTAGAAAGTTGTTCAACTATAAATTTGTCAAAAATTGTTTGCAAAAATAAATTTTAACACTAAGAAAAACAAGTCCACTTATGGCTTCTCGAAGTATTTCCAATTAGCTGATATTCTGGTAAGGTACTACATTCTCACAAGTAATTATAAAGAATAAAAGTGTAGACATTGTGTCAATTGAATGGCACCATTTTCATTCAACTTGTGAACTATTTTTTACAAACAGTTTGTAATCGTTTCACAATATACTTACTACATACATACAAACTATACATCTTCCTTTATGGATTTACTTGAGAAATGCAAAAATGTAAAATGTCAAAATAAGTACATTATACAATGACTATTAATTGGGTAAAATATTGTATTAAAAGATATTCCTACCAATTCATGACATCATATGTATGTATGTATGTATGTATATAAATTCCATGCCAAGTGGTCTAAACCTTCCCACCATCATGTCTCCAATTTTGTTCAAATTTTAGTTGTAACGCCAGTTAGGTGTTAAACTAAGTTTCCCAAAATTTGAGGTCTCTAACTGCAGTAGTTGCTGATCTAGACCCCCTTATCTGAAGGGTAGTCAGTCAGCGTGCTCTTGTTTTGACTGGATTTTGCAACCACAATGTCAAAATTAATTTCATCATAATCAGCAGAAAAAACTACAGGATTGCAATTTACTAGCCATTCTTATACATTCAGTTTCATTGTTATTAGATCTCAAAATGGCATTTTTAAAAATGTCACGTGCACGTTGACTGACTATCCTTCAGATAAGGAGGTCTAGATCAGCAACTATTGCAATTAGAGACCTCAAATTTTGGGAAACTTAGTTTAACACCTGACTGGCGCTACAGCTAAAATTTGAACAAAATTGGAGACATTATGTTGGGAAGGTTTAGACCACTTGGCATGGAATGACCCTATATTAACATATATGTGTGTTATAATGTAATAAGCCACTTACGAAATAGATTTGTTTGCAAATAACAAATGTTTGTTTATTCTGACTTTTATTTGAATACATCTAGTTTACATGGACATATTTCGTAAGGAACTAGAAGTCTTAAGCTGGATTTTAATGTCATCCCTGTATTTCCTCATGCTGATTACTGTAAGATAGAATTTCTCACACATAATGTAAAAAATTAAGATATATGAGACCTCATAATTTTTAAAAATAAAATACATAACATTGTTGTCAGTTTAACATCTGCTGAGTGAGGAAATGTGTTCAGAGTTGCCTACTTTAAGACAGCAAGGGGAAGTTAAAATAAATGTGTACTATATGCCGTTTTTCATAACTATAGCTATATCACTATAGTCAGAAGTAAAACTTTCATTTCCTGAACTCTGGTTAATGCAATACGCATGTCTTCACCTTGATCTAGCAAGGGTGATCTGTGCGAGGAAACAGAATTTTTCTCTGTGTTGAAATACGTTTCTGCATGCAGATCATTCTCCAAGGTTATTTCCATGCGAACAATTGTTTCATGCTGTGGGAAGAGGAGTACAGGTATGTATATACCTTTATCCTGTATTCGGAATGTACATGGTGCTCATCAACTCTCTTTGTCTTGGGTTTGGGAACTGAATTGAGGACACTCTCTTTTCTTATTAGATGAGCAATTCTGTCATAAGAGGCTACATTAGGCTAGAAGTAAAGAGCAGGGTATGAGAAAAAGCTCCTAACTTCTGCTGAATTGACTCATTTGTTTTAAAATAAAAAAAAACATGCTGTTTACAACTGTATTATGAGTATGCTGAAATACTGAAATTTAATTGCTGATACAGGAAATGTTTTGATGTGAATGTGTTTCATTGACTAAATTAAAGTTTGGGAGCGTCATGCCTTTAGATGTGATTTGGCTCTCCTTGGTGATTCATTCATTACCGAGACCTGATGTAGCTCCCCTGAAGACTATTTCTGGCCACACATTTAAAAACAGAGCTGTTTTATCAATTTCCCTTAAATTATTATTGAAAAGACAATATTCTCGGCACTATGAATTGGAGCAGGTCTTTCAATATTCATAGTAGGTATAACTTTTTAATAGGAACCCACCACACACAAACTTTACACTTATTAGAATATTTATTATAGTGTTCAGACAGGTAGGGGAATAGTAGAGTACACTCAAGTAAGAAGTGTAATCCATTATATAAAACATGTTTTTTTAAAAAAGGAGTCAAATTAAAATGGCTTTCAAAACTCAGAGCAGAATAAAAGACATTTGCAATATTATACTGGATTCTGTCTCCCATTTTAATTTTACAAATGGATAATATTAAAAGCAATTAACAATTTCTGGTTGTGAGGAGCGATACCTTATCTAATAGGCTGGAATACAAAAATATTTTTGTTAAATTTACTTTCATTAGTAGCATATATAAGGAAATATATATTTCAGGAAAAGAACTCATTTGTCATAGTGTAATTTAAATCAGGTTGTGAACTACACATATGGAATATATTTGACATCAAAGTGTTATATGGTGCAAACTGAAAATATAATGTAGTACTATGTTGATGTTTGCTGTTCCTGTTGTTTCAAGTTTCAAAAATCACTGGCACGTTTACTTTGTGTAGCAATTACACTGTTGACTAATTGTAAATAAACCTCAACAGTTCAAATATATGTCCTCCTTATATTAATGACAATCTGTGCACGGGACCATGTTTTTGTGTGTAATATTTAATTCTAATTTCAGTCTTCAATATGAAACAAGATGATGATTTAAGGGGAACAAAGCCCATAAGGGACACATGAGCTGTGTTCTTGAACCTTGTATGGACAACAATCAAAGCTTTGGTTTTACCCTTTCTACTTTGTAATCAGTGGCATTAGAAACGAAAACGCTGTTTTTGATCTGGTGGCAAGAGAACATTTTTAGACACATGTTTTTTTTTCTTTGCACAAGTGTTCTTAGGCCTAAGGATATAAGGCAGTCCAGTATTTCTCTATAAGTCAGTCAAGTCCCATACACATGCCCCTTATAATAGAAAATGGCTGCTGTGTCAAATCTACACATTTCTGTTAACTGAACACAAAGAGTGGAAGAAAACTATTATATAAGGCCGAAGTTGAAAGTGAGCACAAATGTGAAAAGAAATCCAACAGAAAGCAATCTGTATTAAGTTCACATTATTGTGGAACTTTTCAAGCATGCAATTCCGCCATCACACTTGACATTGCCATCACTACCCTTTAAAACGTTATGTGGAAATTATTACTAAACAAGAAATGTGGAACATCTTTGGCAAATGTCTTAGACTAGTTGAACACAATTCCCTACAAATGCCTTTTTAAAAATCTTAACTTATCATACGAATACATGTCTTTTAAAAATGGTTATTTAGCACTTGTTGAAATCAAAGGCTCATTATTTTTAAACAATTCGCTATTTGTAAACCTTGGCAAAGGCTGTGGCTGTCAATGTATGCTATGTTGTGTAATCTGATTCTTTATTATTATTTTCCCAGTATACATATAGGAACAATACTTGTTCAGCTTCACTGTAAATAATCAGTCTGAAAAGACTAAAGCTAATTTTCAATGTCTGTTTACAAAATCCAAGTAACACTTGTTGAAAATTTAGAGATGGTGTATTACAGTATATTTGCACAGTGCTTATGTCTACTCAATGTGTGAACTCAAACTTCAGGGAATAAGAGCAATAACATACATCTTCCTCTAATTTCTGTTACTGGACCTTGTTAGCAGACCCAGAAAATATATTAGTTTGCCGTACTATGGCAAATATTAGGCCTCTGTAACACAGTTCTTCACCATTCATCAGGCCTCTGCTTTGTAGTGTCATAGGCTCTTATGACTTCAGACTGTGAAACAATCCCATTTTCATCTTGAGAGAAAGCATAACCATCTGGAAACATAAAAGACAAATTACGTGAGAAACGTGTACAATTCTATTTCTACTCAGTTTTTAAAAACTTTTAAAACAACTACTCCACTTCATTATTAAAATATTGAGAAATCTACTGCTATTATCTACAGTTCCACACATCCATGTGAAGCCTGGGTATATAGCCCATGTGGATATTGTAGCTCATGTTCCCATTCTGAGCTTTTCAAAACAGTTCAAAATGAAAGTCAATAAAATGTAATGATAAACTCAAATGGAAAAAAGTCATAACTAAAACAATGCAATAATCCATGTAATTTAGTCAGGCAAATAAAATACATACAGCATATAGAAAAACCAAATGCATATTCAAAGTTCAATCCTGTGGTTTGGATACAGATCTTCCATGAAAAAGTTCTTCTGATGGCATCTCTTGTCAGAGCCACAGTGGTAATTTTTACTGTATGCCCCTTTGTCCTGCTTGGGAAAAGTCAGGGGGCTGGGTGAGAAAATTTCTAATATTCTAAGTTAGGGGCTGTGCACAATAATATTGGCGAAGCCACGGATCAGCTTGGGAAGGTCAAGTCTGTATCCAATCGAATGTATCTTTTTTGATTCAGAAATACTTACGCAACAAATTTTGCTGCAGCGATTCAGAGTGGTATAAGTTGACATGGTTCTTCTTAAAGACATTTTTTAGTAGCTGTGCTCGTTCAGTTAAGCTAAAAACAAAAGTTTAAAAATGATCAAATTCATTAATATCTGAAAAATATATATATTCAGGTCACTTTATTGGGTACTATGTAGAATCTGACAAATTAACTTACTGGCAACTATAATTGTTCAAGCCAAGCTCTGTAAATTCTGGCTTATGAGAAAAATAAGACATAAGTGAGAATAGACAGAACAATCAGACATGCCAGTAACTACTGGTCTTGAATGGGCTCTCTCTATTCTGTTTTATGACTCCGATTTGTCACAATTTGGCAGAGACCGAGCAATTTTTACAAAGTCTTACATTTAAAATATGTAATGCTTTATTTCCACTTGAAATTGCAATATAAAACAGTATTGGGCCTAGTTTTGAATTTATCCTGAGGCACAAATTAACTTTTTCATGTCTTATTTATCCAGTGTCTACACTAGAAAACCCTCAATTTTTAGTTAGGCTACAATGCCTTACATATGTTCAGATTAAGCCCTGGATGTTTTAATTGCATGGCCTTTAATCTCAGTGAATCATATCTAGTTTTGCTCACTCTATTGACAATATTTAACAGGAAAAAAGGGAGAGAGGTAAAATAGTATGTCTATACTTATGAGGAATTGTGATGGTTAACAAAGTGATTCAGAATATTTAATAACAGAATATAGGCTTGTGTATTTCAGCTGAACTTCGATCCGTTTCTGCTGACTGGATATAGCCGGTGTAGACCCCCATATCCATTTTTGCAGCCAGATGGTGTTTTCGGACCACAGCTGAAAAACACAGCTAGATCTGGCCCATTGGCGGCAATGGAGGGGCTCCCTTTCCCATCATTTTAGGCAATGGCATCATTTGTCCTTATATCATTCATTAACATTTGGATTAAAAAGCATCAGTTAAGATACCACTCTTTCTGCAATCCTTTCCCTTTGGTCTGTAGAGGACACCTGGGTTTAACGCTTCCTTAAAGTTGTTTCTACTCTAAACAGGCACTATAGGCGCTGCAGGCACACACATTCTTCCCTTCATGCAGCTTTCCAAGGCATTTTAAGGAGGCATCCCACTTTTCAGGGAAGGAAGAGCGATGACCTGGAGCTATCCTACCTTGGGCTTCCTTTAAAAAGCCCTTTCTTTTCTCTTGATTTGGGTAGAGCCAAAGAAGCTGGTTTGGCCGAAGTAAAAAGGCAAAAACGGATCTCTGCATAAGTCTACTAATATCCTCTCAATCTGAACTCCTGGCTACCACAGAAACCAGGGCTTCCAGATTCAACACCAAGTCCAGGAGTACTCCCAACTGTGGACTTGTGTCTTCAGGGAAAGTGTGACCCCATCCAGCACAGGCTGAATTCTTATTCTCTGATCTGCTTTCTGACTGACCAGGAGCACCTCTGTCTTGCCTGGATTAAGTTTCAAATTGTTTGCTTTCATCCAGTCCATTACTGATAATAGATACTGGTTCAGGGCTAGAACAGCTTCCTTAGCTATGGGTTGAAAGGAGCTGGTTGTCATCAGCATATAAATGGCACTGCATCCTAAAACTTCAGATAATCTCTCCCAGCAGTTTAATGTATATGTAAAACAGCATGGGGGCAAAACAGAGTCCGGAAGGCTGGACAATGGTGAGTAATTGTCCATTATAGAAAGGTTCAGAGATGGTCCTTTTAATATAAGTCTCAACTGCGTCCTTTAGGCAAGTTGGAATTCTGCCTTATTATACGGAGACATTGACCACAGCCTTCTCCCACTCCACCAATCTTACTTGGCCTGTTTGTTCATCCAGGAGAGGCAAGGATCTAGAACAAATGTGACGGCACTTATCTCTCCAAGGATCATTTTGTTCCATACAGTAAAGAAAACATGCAAAATATGTGGTATATAGAACTTATTTCATTCCTTAAATTCTGAACATTCCAAGTAAAATCAATTTACAAGACCAAGGTATTAAAAATTGATATGAAACATTAATGTCATCCATATCAATGGAATGCGATTCATTTTAGAAGTGAAATTAACCCAGAGAAAAAAACTCTTGCAAATAACTCTGATTTTAATTCCAGCATGAAAAACATTGAGCTGAAGTCAAAGAACTGGATGATTGATTGGTTCCTGATTAGATTCATATGTTGTTCTTGTTGACTGAGTGTATGAGCTCTAACTATTTAAATGCAGGAATTATTTAGAAGTATTATGATACCTTTTCCCATGAACTACAGCTCCTGGATCTTGTAGCTGTGCTTCCAACTCTTGAACTTCATCAACCAGTGTCTTAAATGCTGCTCTCTTCACTCTGCAATAAGGAAATGTTCTTGGATAATGCACTCTGAAGCTCTAGGTTCTTAAATGTCTAAAATATTAAACCTGCAATCCTCAGGATAAAAATAAATATAGGCAACAATTTAAAAGTTCAGCTCAAAAGTACTTTTACGTAAATAAAAATATAACATTTTCAAGATGAATCACAGAAAAACTAATAACCAGATTCTCTGAATAAATATTTAACATATAACTATATATACACTTTATCTATTAAACGAACATGTAGCATCTATTTGCTTTAATATTTTGTATTAACCAGAGATCAGGTGAATTTTTATAATAAAATTACGTATTTTAAGTTAGTATTTAGTAGACCAAATAATGCCTTAGGACGGTTATAAATGCAGAAGTTATTAATTTTTTCTCGAACCTATTACCTATACTTACACTTTATATGCTACATCGAAGACTAAGGCTGTCAAAGGAATACTTAATAAGCCCATCCAGAAGACACCAGAGCTGAACATCATAACTGCCTATATGGATAAAGAAAGGTATTATTTATTTTTTTAAAAATGAAATGAAGCTGGTTTATATAGATGAAATAGGGTGATCCACAAAGATTCACCTACTTGAAAAGGATTTGGGAAGACAATGAAGATTTTGGTGGGAATATACACATGCACCTCTATCAGAGATGAAAAAGGATGCTTTGCTGGCAATTGTATCTCCTTAACTACCTGTCTGCTTCCCCTAATCTACTGACAGTTCATTGCCACTTAGATATTTTAATTCATTCTTGCTTTCTACAAGAGAAGAGGTAAAGTGTAGGTGCCATAACCTTTGAAGGTATATATGCTCCCATTTCAAGATAGAGATTGACATAAGTCCCTTTCCAGGCAGTTTCAAGTAAGTTTCAAATAACTAAGGGAGGTTCCACACAGCGGTAAAGTCTGCTCCAACCAGAGTTTAAAAAACTGTAGTCTGCACACCACCATGAACATGTAGACCGCTGTCTACATGTCCTGGTACCTACCATGAGAACAGGGAGACAGTCCCCCACTCCCCCCACCCCAATCCTTTTAAAAATAAAATAACTTACCTGGCTGACATTAGTGTGGTTCTGGAGCTCTCCTGACACATAGGAATGAAATGCCAGGAGAAGGGGGAGCCAGGAGCGATTTTCCTACCCCCCCCCCTTCTCCTGACACATTATTCATATGCATCAGGAGGGCTTCAGCACCACACTAATGGCTGCTAGGTACGTTCTTTTATTTGTAAAAGGGCATTTTGGGGTGGGGGGTTGGGCCTGATTTAGGCTGGAAAATGCAAGGTGGCTTTGCGGATGGCCCCCTCAGAAGTCCCAGGACTTCTGAATTGGCAGTCCAGACAGCTCCCATAGTGGGTTTGCCTAGCACCTTTCAAGAAGGTGCGGAACAAATGCACTAACATATTAATTTGCTACATGACAGGGTTTTCGTTTTTATGCCCTACTTGAAAATGTGGGAGTTCCCACTTTTAAAGACTTGTTGGGATGTGCCCTAAGTGGTCTTAGGGTGAAACTACACACCAACTAAATCAAATTGTGTTATCTTCAAAGGGGGGGGGGGGAGATATCAATATTTTTACATAAATTTCATTGTTAAGCACATGTACAATCATTTCTAGGGGACATGGAAACATTTTTCAAAATAAACTGATTTAACAAATGAATCAGTTTCAGGTTATTCATATGTATTGTTTAATCTCAAATTCTATACACAGGAACCATAGTAACTGAGCATTATGAATGAAGTGTATCACTTTTAAAAACTTCAGCTAAAAGGCAACCATTCAATACATCAAAAGTCATTAGCTTGGATTTCTAGATGAACAGAAGATTTTCCTGATTAATTTCCTGCTAATTCCATCTGTAACCTCTGTCCAATAAATATCACAACGGAGAGATGATGAATCCTCTGAGCATTTTGCAAGGCTGAGTAGAGGGAGCTGTTCATCCATGAGCGGATGTACTGCATTTTCCATGCATTGCTGAATCTCCAAATCTAAATCAATGTTCACTAAGATGGTTAGCTCATCTTACACTTAGGGATGAGGGAAAGCAGCAATATGATAATTAAATGGGATCCCTATGAAATATTAAGAGCAACATGTGATTCTTTGGTGATTTGTATGCGGGAAAAATAAGTTTACAATCATTACCATGTTCATGCAAACAAGGAAACACACAGGTTTAGGTCCACAGTATATAAATTTAAAAAAGGAATGCAGGGCACATAGTTATACATGCGAAAAGATAATTGCTTAGAATAATGTTGAATAATGTAATAATATCATGAATAAAACAATCCAAAACCAGCTGTAGACATAATATAAAAAATTTGAAACAAAAAAATCCTTAAACATTCTGTTTTTACTTCTATGAAAAGAATTGTTTCAGAATAAATAAATGTATTTAAATCCCGAATAAAAAAGGAAAGCAAAAATGGAACTTAATATTATTATTTTTCTTTTAAAATTATTGTTAATGACCTTTTAAGGTGGAAACGGAATAAGGATCTATCCTTATGTAAGCCACCCTGCATTAAACGTTCCTTGGTGAAACAGCAGAAGTGATAATGTAGGTCTTAGGATGTTAATTCTGACCATTGTAATGCTAACTATGAACGAAGGAACAACTGGCATCTACTATTCAGTCAATCCAGCCTTTGGCTTTACAAATGAGCAACATGAATTGAGGGAAAGAAAGTTTTTCTGCATCATATTTGAAAGCCTGTCAGATTTTTTTTCTTTTGCAGAGTTAATCCAAAACTAAAAGATTTAAAGCCGGCATTCCCATTAAAGACAGAAGGCCTCTTTGTATATTTGGATGAAGAGGGAGAAAATAAAATCCTACAGAGGTATTTCCTGCCTTTCTGTTCAAAAAAGCTCCCTCGTTGCTCAGTAGAACCATTTTGTCTCTAAATTTTCACATCTTTCTGCGCATTGGCAGGTCAGCTGGGAAATGGCAAACTGATCCATTTTAAACAATGGTGCTAACAGGAGCAGCCTGTTCTGGCAGTGGATTTTGTCTGCCTCTTGTGATTTAAAAAATTATCCCAAAGCATGCGATCTAAGTTTTGTGCCAAGTTTCTTTTCCTCATCTCCTTTTGGCCTGGTGAAATGTAAAGGAATCTGCTTTAAATGTGGTTTCCAGGAGCATATAACAAGCACTGAAAATACACATTCCTATTAATTGGTGTTAACTGGTCACACAAAGAAAAATAAAAGACATCTCAATACATTTCAGAACTTGTTAAAAATTGAAAGCTGTCAGGCCAAAATGCCTCTCTTGGCCTGTGAAGACAAGGCTAGTGAGAACTCTGTAAGTATTCAATGAAGGGACTTGTCCAAAATGCCGAAAGGCATATTTAATGAATGACATATAACTGAAATATGCACAAACATTTTTAAAGAAAATTTTGAATAATTGAACAATGCATTTAAAACATTTAAAAACATTTTAGGCAAAAGGCTGCAATTTAAAATTAGCTAAAAGTTGCAATTTAAAATTACTAAAAGTGGTAAATTTGTTCCAAAGTTTATCTGAGCAATTTGTACTATTTCAATTGTTCCAAAACTGATACTGTAATTATCTTTTTTATTTTTCTGTCTCTATGGCAAATTACTCTGTTTAGGAATTGTATGTGTTTAATTTGATTATGCATATGAAAACATGCATATGTGCACTATGTGTTGTGACCCTCTTAGCCTCCCACCTCTATCCCCACCCCATTTTAATCTGTATTCAAATAATTGAACAGAGGGGAATTAACTGGATCATTGCTGTGGACCCCGTATTTACATTAATTAACATAGGCATCTTCAGACATCAGTATCAAGATTCACAGCACTCCATATTCCAGGGCACTAAACTGTAAAGGATCATACCATGATCAAGGGTATATATGGAAAATGTGGATGCCTAGGCCAGCAGGTATAACTTCAATGACCCGGTTCTACAGGTTTATCTGTACACTAAACAATGTTAGGAAATGGATATAAAATGCAAGATCACAAAGGTTATTTCTGTAAAAGATAGAATATTGTGGTAACCAGAAAGCGTTCTGAATAGTCATTTGTGGCTCATGACACGGATTATCATTATTTTCTCAACTTTCCTTTGTATAAGTAGTATAGTAATTCTTAGTATTTAATTTCCACCAATTTGGTTCTGCTTCTCTATGACTTAACCACTGGAATCGTGATGCCATTGGCCTTTCTGATGTTAAGGGTTCTGATAATTGTGTTTGAGCTTCCATATTGGTTGTGTTTTTATAGGGGATCCACAGTTAGAATAAATTTCTATATAGAAAAAGTTTAGTTATGCGGCCGTCTCAACATCAAAACCAGATTCGTTGCTTGAATTGTTCCATCACTTACAAAAACCTTCTGTATGTGTACACAAAATTATAGTTTCTCAGGTTGCCAAGTCAGGAGCATTCTAACCTTCACATGTCAGGGATAAATCATGAGAAATAGGGACAACCCTTTGTGAAATCACAGGATGTGGGCCTCAGTAATGTCACGGGAGGCAAATCCTGGAGAAATCATTCAGCATTGTGTTAAGTGAGCCAAATTATGTTTTCTCATAACAAAAGCTGAGATCTGTCTTTAAAAAGCAGTGGGCCTTAGACCTGATGGAAAAAATTAAGGATTTAGAAACACCTACTTTGTTGGGATTTATAGCGTTCATAAGACACAAATGGAGAAACAAGATTCCATTGATTTTAATAATAGTGGAATAATGGGGGAAAATGAGTTATTTATGACTCTGCTCAACTAGTTGAGGCACAGACAAGGGTTTTGTTCAGTGAGTAGGTAGTTTGGTGCAGCCAGTCTGGGTGAGGAATGAGCTCCTGAAAGAAGAGATAAAGGACACGGGGTAAAGACCATAGTTGCCATGTTGTCATGTAGACTATTTTGGAAAATCATAGTTGCTGGGACCAAAGGGGACCTGTGAGAACAATGCTTGCTCTTTTTGGCCTTGTCCCGCTCCCCCCCTCCCCCCCCCCCAAATGAGCCTGGAAATCATAGGAGCGAAAGGTGATATATAATGGAGATCTGATGGCTATAGAACCATAAGCATGTCCTAGGCTCCTTTTATCTGTGAGAGAAACTTTGGGCATTTTTACACAGACACTATAATCCAGTTTGGAAGTGTATTAAAACAATCTGGTGTTGCTGTGCAGCACCTGCATAAACACCCCAGGAACTGGTTTGAGGCTTTCATAGTTCCAGAAGTTCCCAGAGAAGACAGTCAGAACCACAGTGGCGGAGATTAGTGTACTCCTTCTAAGTAACTTAGTAAGATTTGAAGCAGTTCTTCAAATCTTAACTTAGTAACTTAGTAAGACTGAACTCATAAAATCAATTCCGGGAAAGAAGAAATAATGAAAAAAATAAAATTAAAAGATTTTAAAGATAGAGATTGAGAATTCAATTTTAAAAATAGGCAAAGAAATGATCTGAAAGATCAAAAGGAGTGAAAAAAAGTTATAACTTAGGCTTTGCTGCATATCTTTTTGTTGTAACCACTTTCATTTTTCAAAATACATGGTGTATTGTTATATTGATATCACTTTTCTGTCTTTCTAGTTTTTGTTTTGCTTTAATGCAGTGGTCCGCAACCTGTGGTCCCCAGGTGTTTTGGCCTTCAACTCCAAGAAATCCCAACAGCTGGTAAATTGACTGGGATTTCTGGGAGTTGTAGGCCAAAGCACCTGGGGATCCACAGGTTGAAAATCACTGCTTTAATCCGTTCAGATGGTATGCTTTACTCTATGGTATCTCTTTACTATACAAGTTGAGTCTCCCTTATCCGAAATGCCTGGGACCAGAGGTTTTTGTTTTTATTTTTCCTGGCTTTGGAATACCTGTATTTGCATAGTGAACAAGAGATGGGGGAAAGAAGGCTAGTTTAACTGAGTTTTTCTCAAGGAGTTGTTACTCCATCACACTCAGAAATTGGATGGAGGGAAGCCAAGGAAAGGGAAGGACGACCCTGGATTTTACTACTAGACATAAACACATTCCCCTTAAAAAGCAGACTTCAGGGAAGGGAAAAGTCCAATGAAATGTTGCAAAGCTCCAGCTGCCCAGCCAATCCATGCAGTGCTTGGGCCTCGTTTCCAGGGTGCTATTGGCTGGGTGGAAGGAAAACACAATGTTAACTTTCAGACTGTGTTGGAGTGACAGTTCCTTGCAAAAAAAATAATGAAGGATTCAATGTGCAACCAGGAGAAATGGAGGCAGCAAAATGTTGGTTTTTGGGCTTCTGGTTTTCTGGAAAAATGAGACTCATTGTTATTATTATTGTGGTTATTAATTTTGTATTTGCTTATTTATACAAAGTAACTTTAAAAATTGGCTGTAAAACAGTAGTCTTAGTTCATCTAATTTAAAATAAAAAATAATTTTGAACACAGGTTTGGAAAATTAGTTAAAAGACAAACATACCTCCCCAGACATATCAGGTGCCATAGGAATAAGAGGCCATAAAGAAGAGTAGATTCCAAAAAATACCACCCATAGCACAATGCTGCCCCAGATAGCTACATGGCTAAACTGGAAAAAAGAGAATAAAAATACAAAGTCAATTATCCAGTGAATGCTTGCTAAATAGTTATACATATGAAAAATCCCCCTTCTACCCATAAATTTAGAGTTTTTAAAATAACATATTAAAGACTGGATTTATACTATATTAGTTGCTATTTGTTGCCTCCGAAATAAATGTGAAGTTAAAGTTTCATTTATTTCACAGGGAACTGAACAATTTCCAGACAACCATTTCTGTTTATCACAGGAACAGAAATTTTAAAGGATTTTTAGAATTAGTTAGCTAGAATAATATTGAACTCTAAAGAATAGTGGTTTGAAATAATTGAAATTACTTCATATGAAATACTGATTAATTTAAATAAACATTTTAAATGGAATACAGGAATTTCTCAATTAACAAAGGCTCTGACAGAGAGGCTGTTTTTTATACAGTTTTATCACAATGGCCACATCTATGTTTTGCTCCTCATCTGCTTACCTAGAAGTTTATTTTTGAGGAGCATTGACATTAGGACTTTCAGGTTGAACTAGCATATTGGATATATTATTCTGGCAACTCCTACTACAAGAAGATAAATAGCATCTGCCCCCAGAATGTGTTACTGAGCATGTGTGAACAGCAAAACCAGAAGAGACAAAACAGACAAAACCTACAAGTGTGTGTGGGCAGGTTGCATGACTCTCATCACTATAGGTCAGTGGTTCTCAGCCTGGGGTCCCCAGATGTTTTTGGCCTTCATCTCCCAGAAATCCTAACAGCTGGTAAACTGGCTGGGATTTCTGGGAGTTGTAGGCCAAAAAAATCTGGGGACCCCAGGTTGAGAACCACTGCTATAGGTAAGGATAAAACTTTCCCCTTGACATTAAGTCTGGTCGTGTCTGACTCTGGGGGGTGGTGCTCATCTCCATTTCTAAGCCGAAGAGCCGGCATTGCCCGTAGAGGCCTCCAAGGTCATGTGGCTGGCATGACTTCACGGAGCACCTCCATCTCCATTCTATATATAGTGTGTTCATATATTTTAAAACCCTGCACTTTCTTGCAACCCAACCTTATGCAGATTTTCTTAAAAGTAATATCCGTTTTCATTTGTCAGTATATATATTGACCATGGATTTTTTATTCGATTATAATAGCATCACTAAAATAGCCAACGTCTATACTTCTCTGGTGTAAAACAGCTGTAAAAACATTTTAAACTAAAGAGAATATAAAAGGAGATTGAAATTAGGGACAGATATCTCTTGTATATAAAAAAGAATTGCACTGCATACACACAAACCGCTAAGCTCATCTGAAGGAAGGATTTTATTTTCCTGGCTATTGTTCCTAACCTCTGTTTCATGGCATTATTTTCACTTTGCTTGCCTGAAACTTTGCAGAAATTACATTCTACTTGTGCCAGGGTTATTAAAAGCAAAATATTTGAACAATAAAATGATATGTTGACCAATAACAGTGAGTACATCAATCACGCTGAATTTAATGTCACTTTATTGTATTGCATTACAGTGCAAAGTACATTAAAAGGATTTCTTACCAAAGTCCAATATGAAGTTTCTAATCCAGCTTTTAAACATACTGTTATTACTACAAACTAAAAGAAAAGATAAGAATTAGCAACTTTTCTTTCAGAGATAATAGTGTGTAAACTCTCAGTGAACTAGGATGTTTCAATTAAAAAGATACATAGGTTGAGTATCCCTTATCTGAAATGCTTGTGACTATGCAAATAAGGTTTATTGAAACTGAACCATCAGAAAACAAAGATATCACTTTCTTAGCAACCTGTGTGGACAATTTTGCAGTATTTCAGATTTCCAGGAAAGGGATGCTCAACCTGCAATTACCTTGAAACACTATTCCACTTTACAGTTTAATATTTTGACGTTGTATGGCATCGATCCAATTATTAGTCCTGAATAGAATACATATAATTAAGAAAAACTTATACAATGGGCCCTTGGTATCTCTTGCAGTTTGTCTTCACCCCCCGCCCCTCCCCTGAGTACCAAAACCTGTTAATACTCAAGAATTGTATAGTAATATTGTGTCCCTTACATAAAATAGTAAAATCAAAGTTTGTTTTATTAAAAAATTATCCTGAATATTTCCAAGCCATGGATGTTTGAATCTGTTGGTGCAAAATCTATCATACCAAAGGATGACCGTTTAAGTGTTTGCTTAAAGTTCTCTTTGATTCACTGGGACTACTCTAGTTTGAACTTACAATTTGACGTAAGTACGTATACGTACACAGTATGTAGCCAGGATTGGAAGAAATTAAGAACAAGTTGTGTAAACTTCACACAGCAAATTGAATTTGAAGATATTTTTTGAATTTGAAGATATTTTATATGGTATGGTTCGGTGTCAACTGTTCAAAGAAACTCCACTAATTTACTTGGGAAACACTAAAGTAGCTCTCTGGATGTTAGCCTTCTATCTAAACATTATAGTCAGCCCTTCATATCTATGGATTTTGCATCCATGGATTCAATCATTCATGGCCTGAAAATACTGTATTGGTGGGAAAAAAATCTAAACATTTGATTTTGCTGTTTTATTTAAGGGGCACCATTTTACTATGCCATTGTAAAAAAATGAGATTTGAGCATCGATAGATGTTAGTATCTGAAGAGAGTCCTGGAACCAAACCCCAGTTGATACTAAGCGCTTACTATTTTCATTTCCATAGGAAGCAATGAAAAGTTTGTTAAACACAGAAAATACATAATTACGTTCTAAGAAACAACAGAAATTTAGCTGGTCTAGCAAAAAGTCTTGTTTTCAAACCTCCACCACTCTCTTTTGATTAGAATATAAAGTAATAAAACATTAGCAAAACTTACTGTATATACTGTGTTTCCCAAAAGCAAGTAGTCTGAAGTTTTACCACTGGCAAATACAGTATCTGTAAGATAACGTCATTGGAAATATTCACTGAATTGCTCTGTCTACTGCTAAGAATACAAACAAATGTACAATAAACAATAAAACCCAGCACAATATAGGTCCTCTAGCACAACTCTTATGTTCAACATCTACTGGAAGATGACTATACAATAATGCTGAAATATTTATAAATGTGCCTGGAACTACAGCTGGAGGACCTAGAGATTTTTAGAAAATAGTTACAAAATCTGTGAATAATCAAACTCGCAAAAGTTAAAAGATGTAACTGTGGAGGGCTGGCTGTACTTAAGTGTGGGCAAGGTATGTTCCTTTTGGCTCATGCTTGTTAATCTTGCAGCTATATTTTGTACTATTTGGTTTTGAAAAAGTAAGGATGTCCTTAAGGTCTGATCAGATTGTGACCCAAATTAGGCTGATTTAGTGGGATTCAAGTATTTTAATCAAAGCAGGGCTTCTCAAACTGGACTGAATACTCTTCAGAGCTTCCACCTACCCATCCTTTTTTGGTTATGCTTGCTTACTGTCCAATGTGTCATGACTTTGTGGGGTGGTTGCCATCCAGAACTGGGCAACTAGTGTATTCCAGGCATTAATTCTCACGGTTTGCAGTAGGGAACTTTAGAACTGTGCTTGGATAGGTCTCACCTAGTTGTGGGTGAATGTGTTACCTCATGGTGGCTGAGAAATCAGGGGTGGCTTTGGCACACCTGGTGTATCTCAGGCCATGCCTAAGAGATCCAAAACCAGACTAGATCTACAGGCTTATTGATTAACGGCTAGGTTAGTTGATAGCTGCATCCAGACTCATGCGTGGGCTAACCATTTGACTACAACTGTAACCAAAATAAAGTTGTGGCTTTTTTCCAAGCATGAGTCCAAACTATCTATTTATATATTATTTGTACATTGTGTTTTAAGACATCAAATCATTGCTGTATGTAAAGCTGCCTTGTGTCCGAGGTGAGAAAGGTGGGGTAGAAATGTCGTAAATAAATAAATAAATAACTGATGAGGGACCCCCATTCAGACCCTGTAAAACTCCAACAGATTTAATAGATTGACCTATGTGACCCTCACTGGGAGAGGTCACTGATAAATGTCAGAAAGAGTCATCTACACAGCCAAGAATCAGAAGGGGGGAATTTCCTCTCCTTTGTGATGGTTGCGTAAATGTCCTGCTGCATGTCCAGGTGTGAGTTGCACTTCTTATGCTAAACTCCAAAGAAAATCATCCTCACCAGGGAAGCAGGAGTTTTTTTGTTTCAATCTCAAAATAGCTAACATTCACAAAACATTCAGGAGGATACTACTGGTTATTTCACTGTGTTTGAAACATCTCCGCCTTTTAAAACCAAGACCATCCACACCTTCAGCAGGCAAGTGTACAAAGTGACTCCCAGAGACAGCTAAATGGCCAGAAGGTTCCCCCAAAAACCTTGGAAGTGACAATTATTTTATTATTCATTTATTACTACTTTTTGGGGAGCGACGACAAAAAACGGTGTAACCTACCTCTGAATTGAAACCAACATTTTTTACTCTGATTAAATGTATCACTAGTCAAACTCTAGCTCTCAAATCACATTATGTTGTTGTTGTTCATTCGTTCAGTCATTTCCGACTTTTTGTGACCTCATGGACCAGTCTACGCCAGAGCTTCCTGTCGGCCGTCACCACCTCCAGCTCCTTCAAGGTCAATCCAGTCACTTCAAGGATCCCATCCATCCATCTTGTCCTTGGTCGGCCCCCCTTCCTTTTTCCTTCCATTTTCCCCAGCATAATTGTCTTCTCTAAGCTTTCCTTCTCCACATTATCACATTATATGGAGAAGGCTTTTTATGCTAATTGTTAAATAACTATCCTGCTGTTTATTATAATATAATCAAAATATTTTAAATCATAAAAACAAAATAAATATGTGAAGAAAAAATGATGTTCAAGTTTTTACATTATAAATTATCCTAGGTGTAATCTTGGATAATGCCATTTTAAATATATTTTGTATTTTTCTGCTCTGTGTTTCATTCATTTACTTACCATACTGGATGGCTTTTAGTGGAAACCAAAACAGAATTACTGAATGGAAAAGGCCATTTAAACAATGAACCCAGAAAACCTAAAGGAAAACAAACATTCATGAGAACCATTTGTGATAAAACTAACTCTGTGAACTCTAACCTTCTTTTTATCTTTTAGATAGATTCAGAAAATGTGTTTTTCAAAAGGCCACCTCCAAGAACTAATATAACCAAGGCATTTTCTGCCTCACAGCTCTTCATGGGTCATTTATTTATTTTTATGTTTCTCAGAAGATGTTCATGATCTTTCACTTTTAATTTCTTGAACAAAAATGAATAAATGCCCATTAAATGAAAAAGACAAAGCTCAAATGAAAAAGAATCTTTGCCGTGTGCAGTGATAACACAGAGCTATATTACTTTTGCCAAATATTTCATCAACAGAGAACACAGATAAATTTTAACACAAATATTTAAATTATAAAACAGATTGTGTTGTTCATGTGTAAGCATCAGATTTCTTCATTGCACACTCATTTCTATTATTCCTTTTTGTGATATATATTGTAAAACTCTTACTTTAAAAATGAATGTAATAAATATATGCAAATATATAAGCCAGCACTATATGCATTATATGAAACCACGTATGCAAAAAGCTTTGTGTACTTTTCCCCTATAAAAAGCAGCTAGGTTCTATAATTAAGTAATCTTTTACAAAGTATCTTTATCATGTTAAGCTGAAGTGCACAGAATGTTTTAAGTTGTTCGAGTAATAAAAATTAAGTTGCCTGCCTCAAAAAATGTTCCACCATGTCTCTAACTTCTTTGTTGCTTTCTCCAACTAGGTAGGGTTGTATGATCCAATTTATGCCACAATACTATGCACATTTGAACTTGTGTTACTCATTAACCTTTGTCTCTCCTTCTTGCTGTGTCATTGCCACAATTTTTATTTGACAGAAAGCACAGGTGGGTGCAAGAAAATCAGACCCACTTTTCCATTTTCCTGACCAATACTTATTGTTACATGCTAATCCTTTAACCCCCGTCATGGCCTCATGAACCTTGACCCTTTTTACCATAACAAATATACACATCATCATTCAGTGCCACAATGTTCCCAGATATTTTCCACATCAAACTTGCTTTAGCTATTCTGTCTTCACAGATAGTTTAAAACCATTTATATGCAAAATGTACTTAAATAAACAATCAAGTATAATAGTCATATATACTTAAAACCAATAAAAAACCAGAACATTTATAAAGAAGCTATTTAAGAGTCTAAAAAAGTTTTTAATAATGACATGTCATAATAATATGGTCACCTAATCTCAGTGATAAAAATCTGAAATCCATTAACTATCATATTAAATTATTAAACTGCAAATGTTAGGGATGCTTTTCTGTGAAAATCACAGGCAAGATCCAATAATATAATTCTTTATCACATGTCAAGAAAAACTTCCCCAGTCTCTGGTTTTAGTGTTCAGAGCCAGCTGTAACAGTTAAGAGAATATTGCCAATTCTAGTGAAGGAAGTGGGGTCCAACTGAAGTAAATCATTTGTTTCTTGTAATCACAGTACATGCAAAGACAGGCTTCTTGTTATTGATACTGTTATTTATTAGTATAAAATTTCAGTGCATTTGCACCTTTACACAATAGGCTTGGAATCTAAAATAGTTATTATACTTTCCAAGTAATTCTCCAATTTAATTTGGAAGCCTTTTGCAAGGTGTTCATAAAAAAAAAGGAATCTAAAAATAGTTACTATACTTTCCAAGTAATTCTCCAATTTAACTTGGAAGCCTTTTGCAAGGTATTCATATTTGTTTAAAATGTATTTCCAGATAAGGATTAATACTAGAGGGGCGGGAATTATTTACTGATAAAAGAGTTTAATCCAGAGTTAGCCTCATGGCTAGGAAGAGAATCTGTTTACAAAATTTGGATAGTTGGTTGAAATTCTCTTTCACTTGCTTTCCATCAAGCAGTATGTTGTGCTGGATGTAGTTTCCACAATATTCAGGAGCAGTTATTCTGGAGAACAAAGGACTGCAGTTTGAATGAAAGGCTGAAAAGGTTGCAGGTTTCGGTCTTGATAATTATTTTCAGTTACTGCAGCCTAACGATGATGTAGAAGTTTAACTAATAGTTTTAGATGTATCTTCAATTCTATCTTAATCTTACAGAATAGATTCAGATATTTTAAAAATAATTTCTAATTACATAGAAGTAAAATAGAATCAAGTTAAGTATTAAATGCAGGTATAAAAACTGAGCAAAATCACTCCTACCTTTGAATTAAAATCCAGGGCATTTTGAGAAGTCTTGTATAATTCAGGATATTTTAACATATTTTCTTTGCGGCAGGATCTTTCAAATATTCCAAGTGTCAACGGAGGCATTGCTGTAAACATCTAAAGTATAAAATATACCATAAGATCAATCTGATAAAAGAATGTCTGTATTTTACATCAATGCAAAAATATGAAAAGAAACAACTTAATAGCCTTACCACATTATAAAGACCTATGCACCACCTTTCAAATAGAATTTGCCCAGAAAATCCATTTACAAATGCAAACCATATCTGAAAAAAGATAAACACATTCAATTCCTTTTAGACATATTTACAGTTAAGCCTTAAAATATGTTATTAAACCTGAACATTTTTCTAGTTTTACTAGTATTAAAAAGAAGTCAATTGTATTCTTATTAGATTTTAACTGCAAAACAACATGCTCAGCTTGCAACTCTCCAAAACTTCCCCTTTATTTTTCCAAAATGTCATTTAGGGCACTAAAACCTGATGTGGGAGAGAATTGGTTCCATGGTGTTTAGGCTCAACCCCTATAGGCTCAATTCAGGGTGCTTCCAGACAGTTTCAAAATCTGTGTCAAAGTGGGTTTTAAAACCCTTCTTTGGCACAGATTGCTGTCCCCACTCCACCCAAAAAACCTGGGCTTTCTGGGGGTGGGAGATGGCTATGTGCCAGGAGATGGGGAGGAGAAGGAAAATCCCCTTCGCCCCCATCCCCCAGTATCCTAGTGCATCATTTCCTAGCGCAAGGATCAAAGTTATGGTAGCCAGGTACATTTTATTTAATTTTTAGAGGGAAATTTGGGGTTTTGGGGAAGGGGGTGGGTGCTCTCTTTGTTCTTTTGGGCTCTAGGAGCCCAAAAAACCGAGATGGCTGTGTGGATTAAGCCTGGGAATCCATATCTGGTAAGATCTTGATCTTACCAGGTATTTAATGAATTCAGAACAAACCATTCTGAATGGTTTGTTCTGAGAAAAACCCAGACAGGTCCCGGGATATGGGCCTGTCTGGATGGGCCCAAAATTGTACTCCCACAGCATCACAGGGTACTGTAAATAACTGAGATGGTTCTGATTCAAATGGGCCATTGCCACCCATCCTGTAGCATGGAGACAATGGGGTGACATTTGTGTTGTCATTGATGTAGCAATGGTCATCCAGCTCTTTGGAGCTCTATGGCCACTGCTACAATGACAACATGACACAAGAAAGCGGGATGGAGACAATCAGTATAGGTGCCCCAAGGGCCAGTTTAGAATTTTGCTACTCTGGACTGACCCTATAGTAACTGGCCTGTTTAGCTAGAGCCTCATGTAGATACTTCCCAGTCTGCCCAACACAACACCATCTTTATCATGGTGAAAGCAGTATCAGGTTAAAGAACCACTCTGTTTCTATGGGAAACAAAATACAGTGGATTTATGTCAAGAGCAAAAAGCTCAGCAGCACAGTGTGCAGATAACATAATGGAGATTTAGAAGGCTGCCTTCAAGCTAGTAGTTTCCAACGGTAAAATCTACAGAAATTTGAAGCTAGTGGGGGAAGCAGTATTTCAATGCTGATCTAAACTTTATAGTCAAATATGCTAACAGTTTTTAGGATCCTGAGATACCAGTATCGCTATGTAGATAATCTCCTACATTTTATTAATTATCAAAGGTTTTATGTTTTTTAAACCCATAAATATGCAAATAGACTTGTTTAATATGCTAGGGATGTTTTGTTAGCAAAGTAGTAAAATAAGATATAAAATGAGTATTGTCTTTATTTCATTTTTATCCAACATATCCATTCCTCTTTCCCCAAACTTCAGGAAACTGGTTAATTTCTTCAATCATGTGCAATCACAAGAAATGAATGTGTCTGTATGCCCCTGCACATGAAGACTTTTTGGGTAAGATTGTTGTATATACCTAAAGTATACACAATAATTACAGTTCTCAAATTCTGTAGCCTGTCTTACACATAAATATTTATGCTGTGCAGCTCTGGTATTATTACAATAAATTTTATTCCAAAACAGAAAATATTTTATCAGAGGTTTCCGCCCTATCTTCCCCAAATTTTCCATCTGAGTTTTACAAGTCAAAACTGAAAGGAATGTATTCAATTGTATATAACATTCACTTTTATAGTGCTAAAATATTTACAAATTCATCAGTTTTAAAAAAGCTTAAAACATAAATATGTACCATTATTACCTCAATAATGTAAAGGACAATATTCTTGTAGAAGCAGTATAAGATGCATTTAGCAATTCTACTGTAGTTCCAGGCACCGTGGACCAAAAGTAAATTCTTCAAATACTTGAACTACAAATGATAAGGGGGAAAAAAAAAAAACTTTGACAGAGGTACATAATGCTTGTTTGTTTATGACTTAAAATATATATTCTAAAATAATGTTTATCAATGTAAGAATTTACCTGAGCTATTGAATAATCTGAAGAATTAGCTGCTTGTAGCCCTTCATTTCCACTTATACCAACACCAACATGTGCTGTTTGTATCATACTGACATCATTTGCTCCATCACCAATGGCCAATGTTACTACTTTTACTTGTTTTTTAACCATTTCTACAACTTCAGATTTCTGAAGAGGTGAAACCCTAACAAAAACGAGAGGGGCAGGGAACATTTTGAGAAAAATATTGTGTATATGCATTTGCAGAAGTAAAACAAGACATCAAAACTGCCATTTTGGTTTTTCTTATGACCATATACTTCTAAAATCTTAATATTTACAAAACCATTTAGGGGCTTCTTCTAAAAGATATAGTGAAACAGTCAAGAATAGACAATGAAGTGCTGGATCTGCAGAAGAAAAAAATCAAAATCGCGTTACTTCTAACCTTCATGCTTGTTTCAGCACTGGGAATCATTGTTTTGTCTATCCAGTCTTTTCTCTTTGTTTCATTTTATAGCTTTGTCTTAAGTTAAATGAACTCATGTGAGAGAGAGTAGAAAAAGACTATGAAAGAAAGTAAACAAAATTTCTTTGCACCTCTATGCAAAAACCATCACTGCCACGTGTCCTGATGAGGATGGATTGCCCCTTAACACGTCCAATAATGTACACTGTGAATATCAACATCTTGTTGTCTGGATGGTGCAGAGGAGCAATGCACAAGTGTTGTGGGAGGAACTTAAACCCTTGATTACATTGTACATGCTATTATTCTACTATCCCAGATTTTTTTTTGTCTCAAAACAATTTCTGATGACTGAAATCCATCTTTCTCATAATGTCAAATGGAAGTAGATGGCTCTGCCTAGTCTACTGCCTCATAAATTTCTTTCAAGGACACAGTCAATGAAAATTCTATCAAAGCAACTGCTGATCTTGTTGAATCATGTCAAAACTAGATGAGGTTAGGAACATTAATCACAGCATAAACTTGTTTCTGTCTATAGAAAAATAATTCAGTGGCAAATGACACCCCCTTCCATCAAACTGGGGCTTGTCAGAGAAGTGGAGAAGACCAAATCTCACTTCTCCCCGACCATCTTCTTTTTCAGTCCAAGTAGCACATTTCCTGAGTCCCTCACACAAATACATGGAAATATAAGTGGGAAAAGGTCTTACAGTTAAAGGGGCATTTATTTTATTAACCTTGCCTTCAGCCATTTCTTGTAACTTCCAGTTTCAGACTCAAATAATTGTTGGCAGATGAAAATAATTGTGCCTACTGTAGTCTGATCCATACTGAATTGCATGCCAAGGAAAGAAGGTAGAAGGCTAGGAGTGGAGCTGTACTTACAATTAAAGAAATGCCTCTTAAAACACAAGATAGTTTTCATTTATATTTCCACATGTTTGGTCATCAGTATGTGTGTGAGAGGGTGGAGGGGGGCGGGAAGAGAACTGGAATTACAGAGCTGACTGCAGAAAGTGCTTATATTAAAAAGAGAAAAGATTTTAATCAGGGAGGGGGGAAAGTGAGGATAACCTCCAGGGAAATGCCCAAATAATAATAATAATAATAATAATAATAATAATAATAATCATCATCATCATCATCATCATCTTTATTTATACCCCGCCACCATCTCCCCAAAGGGGACTCGAGGCGGCAAAAATAATACAGCAAAGTTAGAAAAAACAAACAAAAAAACTCAGAAAAATTACATCACAGCAAAATACTTAAAATACAGAATAAAATGAACAGTGCAAAATAACATAACAAGAAAATCAAACACAAAAGTATTCTCAAGAGCTAAAATGTTAAAACCCTGGATGTGATAGGAAAAAGAGAAAGTGTATTTTTAAGGGAGGAGCCCAAGAAGGAGAAGCAGTGGGGTTTGGTCTTCATTAAGGACAGGGGAATAACATTAAACTAGGAAAAGAAACATGCATGTGTCTTGGAGGTGGTACAGGGTCAGCAACCCTAGTTCTGTACATGATGATTTAGAACAAATTAATGCTGTAATTCTGAAATGATTGCAAAGAAATTAAAGGAAAAGGATTTGCACTGTAGAGCACTTTAAAGAACAACAGGTTTTCAGCAGGAAAAAGGGATTGGTGTAACAAATTCCTCCATAATACATGTGAAATGTTTTGGAGAGGTTACCATAACCATGCTAACCCCCCCCCCCCCCCCCCACTGCTACTCTGCTCATGCTCATACAAGGAATGGTTTACAAAGAGGAGAGTTTTCTCCATTTGTTGAGAGTCTCCACACCAACTGAAAATCAGAATTCTAAACCGAGCATCTTTTTTACTCTTCATTTGAGGTAAATGATGGAGAAAGCATTGTAAGGTACTCCTTTCTTTACATATTTATTTAGCCTACTCTTGAGAATACTTTTTGGAGAGAAAGATTGTACAAGATTATATTAATATATTGGACTGATGAAAACATTTTACCTGCAACAAATAACAGCTTTACATGACAGAGCCAAGTCCAGAAAATATTGTCTTACACCAAATGTCAAGGCATATTTCAATGTTTTGCCATCAATAATAAGAGCAAAATCATTTTCCTTTTTCAAAGCATCACCGAGAGTGCTGCAGTGATGGCTTAATGTCTCTCTTGTTGCCTGCAAAATACAACCACAAAATACACTTTATTTTACTATTTTGAATCATTTCACATTCACATAATAGCCATATAAACATTTTCAATGTATTTTCAATGTGTAGCTATCAGCTTAAAACAACTGTTCAAGTTTTGAAGTTCACAACTGAAGACAGGTTTTGATGGGTGTAATGGTGGTGGTATGTATGGATGTCTGTATGTGTGGGCATATAAAACGCTGTTCAGAGATGCCTTGATATTGCCACCATGTTTTATCAGTGTATTTCATCTTCAGTTGATCTGGATTCTAGTATTGTTAATATATACTGTTCAATACAAATTTCTATAAATTTTAATCAATTTGTTTTCTGTGTTCCAAGACTCCAATCAAGTTCCCTTTCATTATAACTTATATCATTTCACTGTAAAGGTTCCCAGAGCAAGGGATTAATTGATTACAACGGCTGTGAATCCCATATTTGGAAAAAGGTAAGACACAAAAAGAAAAAAGAAAGACATACATTCCACTAATAAGAATGCCATTTTATGGCCTACAGAAGACCACATATTCTGAAAATTGAATTATGATTCTCTAACTTTAATTTAATTTACATCCCACCTTTCTTATGAGATCGATTTTTTGTTTTATCCAGTTAAACCCTTGTGCCGGCTGAACTGGTCGACCAAAAGGTTGGTGGTTCGAATCCGGGGAGCGGAGTAAGCTCCCTTCTGCTGAGCTCTAGCTTCTCTGCGGGGACATAAGAGAAGCCTCCCACAGCATGGTAAAACATCAAACATGTGGGCATCCCCTAGGCAATGTCCTTGCAGATGGCCAATTCTCTCACACCAGAAGTGACTTGCAGTTTCTCAAGTTGCTCCTGACATGAAAAAATCCAACTATTCAAAGTGGTAGTCAATATACAAAGCCAATTCATGTGTATGTCTGTATGCGTGAGGAGGATATAAAATACTGTTCAGAAATGCCAAGATATTGCTTTTAAAATGGATAACATATTGCTATTCCACAATCAATTTCCAGGAAATGCCAATTTGATAATATGGCACAAATATGGTACCAGTTTATGAGACATTTAGAAGAAAAAAACATCAGTCCACTAGTGATTGGACACCATTGTCCAGCCATCAGTACTGCTTTATATTTTTATCTAGTTGTCTGATAACAATACTAATAATATTAGAAAAATGACTGCACCACAGCAATACCTTATTGCAATCAATTATATATACAATCAATCATTATATATTACACAATTGATTGAATTAATAAACATGAATTAAAATGCATTTTTAAAGTACTTTACTGTTTGTACTACATGGTATTCATATATGGCAAACGTCATGGTTGACTACACAATATTCTGAAATTTATCATGATGAGAATTTTTCGGACATTGTCCTTGACTGTATTGTCTGATTATTCTTTGTATCATGGAATGTTGCCTGTGGTAGGGAAGGGTGGATAGGTGATAATGTACTACCATAAGAATCTACAGTAACAGAAAATGTCAAACCTTCTGGAAGTTCTACTATGTTAATTCTTCCTTTAGTAACTATTAATGCTAGAAAACAATAAAGTCATAGATCCTTTCCAAAAATCCCACCGAACCCAATACCATTATATAGAAGTTTACATATTTGAAATGCTTCATATACACCTCAATAATCTTTATAACCACCATGAAAAGCAGAATAATTATTTCCCTATATGCTGGATTCGGGAAGGAAGAGCAGAATTGCTTGCCTAAGACCACCTAAGGTAAGATTTTAATGCTGTCATCTAACATTATTAGCCATACTGCTACTTTAATTTGCCACTTCAAAGTTGTTGTTGTTTTTTAAAATCACATTTAATTATCTATTGTTGCTACTGTTCTATCAAATAAGTTCTATAACTCAATATTGCCCTCTGGTGGTTCCACAATTCACACACAATTGAAAATAAATCCTGTTATAAATGCTGTTCAAAACGTTTGGAATTCTACTCCCAACATACTTTTATATTCCAATATAATTTCAGGTGGACAATCCTCACCTGCACTGGGAATACTCTCAGATTACAGGTAACTAACCCACCATCAGCAAGGTGTTAAATTTTATCTGTAGCAATGTAAAATGTGGCAGGGACAGATTGCTTAACTGTAACTAGTTCTTTGAATGGTTATCTGTGAGTTCACAAAAACATGTTACCAGTACAGTGGCTCTTTTCAAAACTTCTAGAGCTCATATATAAGCATTTTAGCAGTAGCCTTTCACACTCCACTTTTAGTGACCTGGGGCTCATTGTAAATTATAAGAAATCTCACCATATCAACACATAAGGTTCATTGACACTCTTCTGTTGGACTCCTGAAATGCCTTTTCCCCAGAAAAGTAGTTCTGCACAAGGCCATCTTTTGTCATTCCAGGATTCATGGATTCCACCACATTGGTCACACCATTAGCCAGACTTCAAATGAGGCCTTTCCAGTCCTGGTTTCTATCCTTTGATTCATTGACAGATTCTCCTCACAAAAAACTGACCATACTGCTAATCATACATTTTTCCCTGTGTTGGTGGACTGATTTGAAACGTGCAAGTGGGGATGTCGTTTCTCCTTCCACTATCTACATTGTATCTTTCAATGGGTGGGGAGCACATTTTGCAATATTTATACCACACATGACATCGAAGTGCCACTGTATCAATGAGAGCCTTCCCATTTGAATTGGCAGCATGATGAGAAGTGATGACCAGTCGCACTGCCAGTTTACAGATCTCTGTTTGAAGCAGCACAGTAATCTTGTTTTCTTCCTGAGAGAGCGGATTATGATATGTGATCATCTTCTCCCATAAGCGTTGTTGATAAATCTCCATGCATATTGCATATTAAAAACTGTATACATCAGGGCAGTTTAGGAATAAAATGATCTTCCTAAAGCACCCAGCTTCTTACTTTTCTTGTCAGTACATGTGGAATGGATTTTTGGGAGGTCTTGGATTGGGCTGTGTCCACTGAGTCCTCTTTGGGGAGATAAAGCGGGGTATACATAATAATAATAATAATAATAATAATAATAATAATAATAATAATAATAATAATAAACCAATGCCATCAAAGCCAGAAATGAAAAGTCAAAGACAGATCCCAAATGTAGACTCTACAGCAGTGGTTCTCAACCTGGGGTCCCCAGATGTTTCTGGGCTACAACTCCCAGAAATCCCAGCCAGTTTACCAGCTGTTAGGATTTCTGGGAGTTGAAGGCCAAGAACATCTGGGGACCCCAGGTTGAGAACCACTGCTCTACAGGGAAGTAGATGAAACAATAGATCACATCCTCAGCTGCTGCAAGAAGATTGTGCAGACAGACTACAAGCAGAGGCATAACACCATTGCTCAGGTGATTCATTGGAACTTGTGCCACAAATACCATCTACCTGAAACAAAGAACTGGTGGGATCACAAGCAGGAAAAAAGTTACAGAGAATGAACACATCAAGCTACTCTAGGACTTCTGAATTCAGACAGAAAGAGTTTTGGAGCACAATACTCCTGACCTCACGATTGTATTAAAAAACAAAGTATGGATTGTCGATGTTGTAATCTCAGGTGACAGCAGGATTGAAGAGAAGTCACGGTGGTCCCAGTGGTGATCGGCACATTGAGTGCAGTGCCTAAAGACTTTGGCCTGCACTTAAACACAATTGGCACTGACAAAATTGCCATCTGCCAGCTGCAGAAGGCCACCTTACTGGGATCTGCATGCATTATTCGCCGTTACATCACACAGTCCTAGACACTTGGGAAGTGTCCGATGTGTGATCCAATACAACAGCCAGCAGAGAGATCTTGTCTGCTGTGCACTCATCTTGTTGTGTTTCAAATAATAATATGATTGAGTTAGGTTTAAGGTGTTGGCCTAAACATTTAGCTCCTGTATCCTTGATCTTGTATAATGCCTCTTTCTTCTTAGATGTGGAAAAAATTGATGATGCTATTATCAAAAAGTTGCATATATCCTGTATAAAGTAAGACAATATAGAAACAGATGCTGGAAGAAACACCTGCATATGAAACCTATGAAAGACAGAGTCATCAATTTGCGTTTCTGGCTGTTTAACCTATAAATCAAGCATCTTAGGCATCCAGGCCATATGGTCAACGAATTACCAGATATCAGTAGGCAAAGCAGAGTCAGTCTCACCCACGAGAATGGGTGGAAAACTTCAAGTCGCCATGGCAGATGAGATAAAATCTGAGTCAGAATGCAAATTTGGAATTGGATAAAGTGAAGACTGGAAACCAAACAATATACAATGGAGAAAAAGTCGAGTGCTACAGACAAATGCATCACTGTTGAGATGGAGGACATACATGTTTGGCTTCAGTTAATTCTGAATGTCCTGGACTGAGATGACTTGCCTTCTCTGGAACCACAGCTTCCATCTCAAATGGAATATTCTGTACAGATTGTCCATGTTGAGAAGAATGGTGTCAATATCTGTGCTGATGTGGAATGTCCTTCAAGGCACAGTACTGATGGGAATATAGTTAGGAAAGGCTCTTTTCTTGGTCCCGCCTCCACCTCAAGCTTGGTTGGTGGGAACAAGAGAGAGGGCCTTCTTGGTGGCTGCCCCTCGATTCTGGAACTCCCTGCTCAGGGAAGTCAGAATGGCTCCTTCCCTGCTGTCCTTCCAGCAGCAGGCTAAAACCTTTTTATTCAGGCAGGATTTTAAAGATGAAGGTGTTTAAGATCAATTCAGGGGGTGGTGTGGTTTTTAACTTGAATTTGTTTTAATGGGTTGTTAACTGGGATTTAAAAAAAACTGGTTATATTTAATCTTGTTTTAATGTTTGTATATTTGTATATCTTAAATGGTTATGCTGATGATTTTATGTTAAGCCTCTCTAAGTCCCCTTTGGGAGAGATAAAAGCGGGGTATAAATATAATAATAATAATAATGTCCATATTCTGTACTGCAGTGATTTTCCAGGGAAGGAATCATAATCATAGTATGGAGAGGAAGCATATGATGAGTAGGTACTACAGTATCATGGGCAATCCCCTCTGTGACAGCAACGAAACGCCTACATCAAGATGTACTAACAGGGGAAAACCTTTCTAAGTGAGATTGTTTTAAAGGAAACCACTGAAGCCATAAACCCTGAAAGGTAGGTCAGGCTCAAACTTAACAGAATCTCAATCCAAACTGGTCAAAGTCCAGTTAAGAGTCAAAACAAATAAAAACAAGAAACATTCCTATTAGCCAGCCACACTTTAAAAAACGAAGGGGCCCTACTGGTCTCTTGCCATACCTTGCATAGTAAAGAAAATGGGACCCACAGAAAGTATGAACTTCAGTAATTTTTTTCCAGAAGTGTATGCATCACAAACAAAACCATACATATGTCAATAAAAGTGTTAGATTATACTTACATCAAGAGAACCTTCATTTATGACAAGTAGCCCCATGTTTTTTCTCAAGAGTTTACATGAGTGTCCTAGTAGAAGAAAAATATTATTTTAAGACTCTTCAGTATCTGAAAAGAGGGCGCTAGTATCAAGGTGCCAAGTGGAAATACCTTAGTATTAATGGTATATGCATTATACCACTACACAGAAGTTTCAACCTTATGCTCTAATTCAGTAATACAAACTATGCAGGAACTCTATTTAGAAAAGATTGTACGGCTTTAGAAAAAAAATACAAAAAGTCTTTTTCTTTCTTATCTATAAATGCAAATTTGGCTGAGGTAACAGGGTTGGCAATTGTTACATATAAAAAAATGCAAGTTGAGTTGTTTTCTAGATTAAAATAAAGTCTTACAAAAAGAATCAGAGATGCCTCCTTATTTGTGAACTCCTCAAGGTTCCTGAACATAATAGGCTCCCCACCCCCAAATTGCTTGGTCAGTTGAATGCTGCTCAGATTTATCAGAAGATATTCGAAGTCCAATCTCATTGTAATGCCCAGTCAAAAAATAGAATGTCTTTAAGCATAAAAATGTTTTGAATCATTCCTTCAAGATTACTGGATTTATTTATTATTTATTTATTATAACAAGTCTCAATTTGTCTCTTAGTCAAGGTTCCTATGGAAAGAAGGGTGACTTGGAGCTGTGATACCTCTCTCATATGTCTCTACCAATTTTGAGGGAGACCAAATTTCCTGGTAACATGAACAAATATTTTCATTTCACATGCAGATTTTGTAACATGCAAATAGTTTCAGCTTTGAGGAGTTAAAAACACTCCATTTAATTATTGGAATTATGGCTGATGTAGAAAGTATATTTAACTCATTCTGACCTTGCTATAGTTAATAATAACTTTATTTTTATACCCTGCCAACCATCTCCCCAAGGGGACTCGGGGCAGCTTACAAGGGACAACCCAACAATTATAGATAAAACACAAACAAATTAAAAGCAACAATTAAAATATAAAACAATCACAATTATAAACAACAACAAAATAATATGGCTGAGAAAGAACATAGCTGCAGTTCAGGCTCCATGAGTAGAGTACAACCTGAAGGGAGGGCAAGGAAAGTGCAATAATCAAGTAGACAGGGCTGGGAATAGTGTCATCAAAAGTGTTGAGGTGGGCACTAAGAGGGACAGCATAAAGTGCTAAAAGTTAAGGTAGGAACAGGGGAAAATTACTGGTGGCCTGCTTAATCAAAAGCACACTGGAACATCCAGGTTTTTAGCTGTGAAGAAAATCTACCTTCTGAAACTAACTAACTGCCGTACCAATAGGGAAGTTTCCCCTCAAAGCAAATACCACCATCAGGAGAGGAATTAAATAGGCAAGAAATGCATCCTTCACACTTGCTGCAAGCATAAGCCTTCCCCATAGCTTAAAGTATTTGCTTTTTTTCCAAATTTTCATGTTAAAAGCCAAAGCACACATGCTTTGTCCTTGGTGAGCACAATGTCAAAGTTAGAAACTTAGAATGAGAAAACCAATAAAAAGGTCACGATGAAGTGAAGGTTTTACTGAAGTGTCTTCATCCTATGGAGAAGTTTTTCTAATAGGGACACTATTAGGGTTGCCAAATGAAATTCAGCACAGGATCTTGTGTCTTTAATTTTAGTGTAAAAGGGAAATTTCAGGAGGTGTTTTTTGCATGAGAAGAACCAAGCTATACAACCATTACAGATATATAATTCTTGCTATACATTCAAACACTGTGGGTGGATGTATTGTTCCACACGGTGACATCTTAGTCTCTAGACAAAATGAGATTTTTTTAAGAAGCATAAATTGAACTCTGGGATATCAAAATACCCTGAGGTATCTGACACCTTGGAAGAATATTGATCTAAATTGGAAAATAATTCACCTAAATTATTTTATATACTCATGTATAAGTTAACCTCATGCATATGTCAGCAGCAGGTTTGGGGAGCAAATGCTAAGGCCAACCTAGCATTTTGAAAACATGCAAGTGTGAGTAGATCAATAGGTACTGCTCTGGTGGGAATGTAACAGCACTCCATGCAGTCATGCCAGCCACATGACCTTGGAGGCGTCTATGGACAGCGCTGGCTCTTTGCCTTAGAAATTGAGATGAGCACCACCTTGCAGAATTGGACACAACTAGACTTAATGTCAAGGGAAAATCTTTAACTTTATCTAAGGCAAAGTACTTATGCTGACTCATGGATATGGTGACCCTGGGTTTTGGGGTTGTTGGGTTTTTTTTTTTACTAATTCTTTTAGATTTATACATAAGTATATTGGGTAAATCTAATTGATATCTCTTTTTATTTTTTTAAACTGTGGTTAGAGCTAAAATAAAAAAAGTTACAAACAGACTTATGCCTAATACATTACCTATATTAATAGCAGTTTCTTGCTTATCTCCAGTAAGGATCCAAATTTTGATATCTGCTTTCATAAGAGTTTCTATAGTTTCAGGCACTTGGTCTTGTAACTTATCTTCTATGGCTGTAGCTCCAAGTAACTGGAGATTCTTTAGAAAGAGATAATTACTTTTTAAAAATTATAGTATTAACAAAAAGAGCATATCAAAAGAGTAATAATACACAACAACAGGGATTGGAGCAGATAATTTTAAACCAAAGATGAGAACTTCAAAATCTGGAAATCAACCAACTCAGGATGGGTTCTCCAGACGGCCACATAAGTACAACCCATGTCAGAGTACTTTGGAGATTTTCCATAATCATATAGACTTTTCCTAATATATAATGTTGAAATGCTTCTACTAATGCTTAATTACTATGGTAAGAATTGTAAGTTAAATATGCTAGTTCACATGGGCCCTTAATATCTCTTGAGATTTGGTTCCATGGCACCCCATGGATATCAAAATCCATGCGTGTTCAAATCCCATTATATGCAATGGCAAAATAAAATAGCAAAATCAAAGCTTGCTTTTTTGGATTTCTCTGGTTTTTTTTTAATATTTTGAACCCATGGATGATTGATTCCATGGATATAGAACATGAGGATACAGAGAGCCGACAATATTTTTGACTCCCATTTTTTAGTCTTGGCCTTCAAGCACTTCCTTGAAATTGAACTGCTTGAAGGGGGAGCTGACCCCCACCCCCCACCACCACATTATATGAGGCTGTGGATCCTGGAATCTGTTTGAGGTCACCCTCTGTGGTTGGTATAATCATCATTCAGCCTAGAACTAGTTCCAGGGTTTACAATCTAATCCGCACAGCAACACAGCATTTTCAATACTGGTTTCAACCTGATCTAAATTGTTAGTGTAGATGTGCCCTAAGTTATAAGGCAAAAATGAAAACCACAGCACCCAGGCTTAGACACCAAGGCATACAAAATTGTGTTTAAAACTGAACACATTTAACTTCAAATTAACGTTCACACAGTTGTATTTCTCAAAATAAAATTAGACCACTTCAAATCTGACTTCTTTCTTTTAAAACTAAATGGTAAATTCCAAATTTGGACAATTTATCAACAGAAATTTCAATAAGTGTAGTGATATAAAAAGAACACATTCAAGTATTACCTACTTTTTCAATTAGTTCATAACTTTCTTCAAGTTTTAGTGTTCTATTCTGCACAGAAGTTGAAGCTCTTTCATAGATGTTTCGCCATTCTTGATAATCACTTTCTGAAATTTCAGCTACAGCAAAACACAGTGTTCTCAGGCCTTAAAAATGAGAAAATAATGTTTCGTAAACATCTGTTTTAATTTTGGGTTCACATGGCACTTCACAAATAAAAGAACCTGCAACCATTCTATCTTACTGAGAGAGGTAGACATACATGAGAAACACAATGAAATAGCATGTGGACTGCACATGACAACCGGTTTTGTTTAAATATTCATGTCACAAGTCTTGATTACTTGCTGTCACAGAAGGTTTCCCTTCAAACTCTAGCCCAACAATGATCACTGGAAAACACAGGAAATTACCATAACTTCCCAAACTCACAGCTCGCCTAGCATGGTACAGTACTGAATAAAAGCAAAATGCATGGAATAGCATGGAACAAAGTAATTAATTATATAACATAATGTTAATTTAAGAAGAATTGACTAGAATAGAAAATTAATCCTACAGAAGTAGGCACAACTTCCTGATAATTTGGCTAATGCTCCAACTTTCCTGAAGATGAAAAATGCTATGCTGTAATTAATTCAAAATGGACCACAGCATTATATACAAACTGTGTACCTCTCAGAAAAGAGCTCTGAGCTCATAATTACAAGCAGTTGTCACCAACTGGCTATTCTACAAAGAAAACCTCATCTGTAAGAGAAAACCTTATAGTTCCAGATATAGTGAATAAATGAATGTTTGAATTGGCATCCAAACACATTTTATTTAAAAGTAAAGCTGTATCAAAGAGTTCTGCTACATCATATTGGAATTTAAATGCATGAATGGCCAACACGCCATCATTATGTGAAAGAAAATCAAATGTAAGAAATTAAGTAATGTGTGAGGGATTCCTAAGTCACCATGAAGAACCACTAGATTACAGGACACTAACTATGTGATAGAATATGTATATGTGCATTTTACAGCAATCACGAATGCATACTTTTATTGTGATTATTATCTTAATGGTTATGTACAGCCCACATTCTGTTAAATGACAGCACTCACCTTCAGTAGCAAAGAGTTCCAAATGTTTCAAGGTGATGTCTGTGTATCTTGAATTTTCAGCCAGGCGATCGTAAATTACGCTGTCCTGTAATTATACAAAACACACTAAAGAATTATTTCTTTTGCATAGTACTGAAAAAACCATCAAAGTGTATAGAGCATAATACTTTACATGTACAGATCCATGTTAGTCCATGGAGGCACTGCAGATGTTTGCAGCCACTTTTACAATGCAGCAGGGCCAAAATGGTTTCAGGGAATGTTGGTTTCAGGGAATATATAATTCCCTTGTTTAAACTATTTCCCTGGCTAATATTTTCTTTCCAGGCATAATTCAAAGTGTTGGTTATGACCTATAAAGCCGTATACAAAATTGTGTCAAGATTAACTGAAAGACTGCATCTACCCATATGAGCCTACCTAAATTTTAAGTTTCTCTAGGGATGTAATTTTTCACTAACTTTCTTCTGAAAGGGGGCAATTTTAATTTTAGCATTTTTCTTCCTGCTTCCAATTCAGGGCTTTTTCTGCACAAATTCTGCAGTTTTATTGGTTTGATAACATTTTTCTTTTCTATCTTTCCAGCAGAGAGAATGCATTCATGGAAGAATACAGATGACCAAGGGAGAAATGATATATACGGTACTATACATAATTTTGAAACTTGACAATTAGTTTTTTGTGCATGACTTCTTCCCACTTCTAATTATGTTAAGACTATAGCATTTATGTTCTCATTGTATCACTCACACCAAAAGGGATTTATTATTTTTAACTTGTTACATGCTTTTACTTTTATTTTACTTTACTTTACTACACTCTTACTCATTGTACATCTCCCAAAATGAAGCATTGTCACAACACATTATTTAAAAACCCTCATATCACACAAAACATACAGAATCCAAATTTCAGATATATGGCTACAGCTTCTTGGTTAAGCCTTAAAAATACTATAGGACCTATGTGGTCAAAATCTACACCTTATTACTGTCTCTGCTCAGTATGTTTCTGCTAAAAAGTGAGTTTACTTAATGTAGGGAATGTATTAATTTATTTCAAAGTATTCTTAAAATAACTTACAGCCCCTTTGCAGTACAGTCTTAATTTTCCTGATGGTGTGCGGACAATGACAGACATTCTTTTTCTTGAACTGAAAGAGAGGCACATATCATTGCCAATAGGCTTGCAGTGACTTAGTCACTCACATGGAACATTAGCTTTTCTTCATAATAACTTGAAATGAGGTGAAAAAAGTTCAACATATGGAAACAGTACACAAAAATGTCTAAAGCAGGAAATCTAATTACTTCCCCTCCAATTCAGCATTGTTTAAAAATGCAACTTCTAGAAGACATTGGAACAGTTTCTGTATCTATAAATGCTGCATCTATGGATTCAACCACCCATAGTTTGAAAATATTCTCCACTGCTTTGCTACCCATTCAAAAAGCAAACTTTTTATATAAGGGATGCCATTTTACTATGCCATTACTAAGGTAGTAACTGAACATCCATGAATTTTGGAATCCATGGATGGTCCGAGAATCAAACCAAGAGCCCACTGTTCAAGAAGAAAAAAAGACTAGCTTTATTACTCTTCTCTTAAAAGAAAACATAATTGCCAAAGATTCTCTAATTATTTCTTTGGAACAATACTTTAAAATTTATTTATTTATTTTTAAAATACTTCTATCCCACCTCTTATCATGGGATCTCGGGGAAGATTAAAAATAAAAACATGGAGCATAATAAAATATATTAAACATTGCAACTGTTAGTCCCTTTAAAAGCAACAGGTAAATTATCTATAAAAACTACAACAATTTAAATCATGTACCTGTGTAATATGCACATGAAATAAACTAATCTCTAAAAGCTTTAATAAAAGACTATGCTTTGGCTGGCACCAGAAAAAAAAACAAAGTTGCTGCCAGTTGAACCTTCAATACATACAGCTCAATACACTGGTTTCCTATTCATTTGTTTTTAGTAAAGGTAAAGGTTTTCCCCTGACATGAAGTCCAACCGTGTCCAACTCTGGGTTGTGGTGCTCATCTCCATTTCTAAGCCGAAGAGCCAGCGTTGTCCGTAGACACCTCCAAGGTCATGTGGCCAGCATGACTACATGGAGTGCCGTTACCTTCCCGCCGGAATGGTACCTATTGATTTACTCACATTCCATGTTTTCGAACTGTTAGGTTGGCAGAAGCTGGGGCTGACAGCGGAAGCTTATGCCGCTCCCCGGATTCGAACCTGCAACCTTTCGGTCAACAAGTTTAGCAGCTCAGTGTTTTAACCCACTGCGCCACCAGGGGCTCCCTTGTTTGTTTTTACCAAGTACATTTTAACCTGTATTTCTTCAAGTGAGTTCAGTATGCACACCTCTTTTCTTCTCTATGTATCCTCGCAACTCTATGAAGTATATTAATCTAAGAAGGTTAAACAGCTGAAGATCACCCAATGAGTTTCATGATTCAGCAACAGAAGTTGAATTTTTCAAGTCCCAGACCAGTATTCTAACCATTACAGAAAGATCCATCACAACTGTAGAATGAAAAATTCATACTTATCAGTCTAAGTTTCCTTGTTGAAATTTTGCTTACACATACAAATGCAGAAAGTTTCCTGATTTGTTTTTTGACTGTACATTTTCTCAAACTCTTCACTAAGGAGACCACACGCACACACACGTTTACTTACCTTGTGAATTCTAGCACATTCAGCAATTCATATCTTTCTTCCTGTCCAAGCTGGGGGAAAAGTGAGATAGTGATTATTCTTTTAAAAATATTTTAGTGGTATTTTCTACTTTAATGATTACTACTAACACCAACTAGATAATAACTATTTTTATGTACTTACAGATTCTATAATTACAGAGTTGGGTGTTCTTCCGGTGAAAACAAAATGAAGATGTTTGGCCGCTCTAACCAAAGCCCCCTCATCTGCAACAAACCATTTCATTATTTTCTGCAGAAACTGATAGAGTGAGACAGTAAACAAATATTTCAAAATACTTTTCTATACTCTCCAGTGCATGGCTGGAATTAATTTGTGCACATACGTCTTTGTAATTGGACTTAAGTCTGTTGGAAACAGAATTGGGTACTTTTTCAACATCTGTATACAGCAAGGGACTGCTTCTATAGGACAAGTAGGAAAACCAGCAAAATGACCCTTGTGCATCAGGAATGATGCATAAGGGTCATGTTGCTGGTTGCACTAGGGATTCAGTGTGCTTAACGTGATGCACAAGGGAATCAGCGTGCATTGGAACACTGGCTGGGAAGTACGAATTTGCACTGGGAGAGCCCAATGTCCACTGGAATACTTTTGTTGGTGTTACTTTAGACATTTTCGCAATTCATGAACAGGGTTCTTTAATGCCTCTTCTACACAGTTAAGTATGCATGGTTATGCAATGCTGACCGCAACAGAGAATTCCAATCTATATTTGCATATTTTGGTCAATCTGCTTTTAATATATATATAACATTTTTACAGATTTTATGCAATTATATAACCCTTACCTGGTGATGATGCCTGATAAATTATTTTATCATCTTCTCTTTCTGGAACTGCTGTATGGCACACTGCCATCATTGTCAGAAATTCACAAATGATTGGTGCAGTTGGCTAAGCAAAACAAGCAAATAAAAAAACTTGAAGCACCTCTGATATCAAAATCAGCCACAAAGACAAGAAGATTTTAAAAAGTGGCCTAAATCAAATTCCTTGCCCCAATATTCATTACACGATGAATGTAAGTAAACACATACATAAATCCAATTACTTCAGCTAGTCTAATCTAGTTGGGGCTAATCATATATAAGCCATTATCCTTTACTGACACAAACCTGCACAAACTGTTCCCATCAAAGATATTTTGGTTAGAACTTTTGAAGTGTATCATGTGGAGAGAACCTGGGAATTACAAGGAAAGAGCCCAGAAAACATTAACGAAGCTGTTCACCATGCTGCTTCAGTCTTTCAGGGGCAGATCATTTATCATATGGCTGAGCTTTATCATACAATCAGATCTATTTGCCAGAACAAAAATACAAATTCTGACTGCAAGGCATTTAATGGCCTCTTGGATTGGCTGTAGCCTCAAAGAGCCATATATTCAATAGTGCCTACTTTTTGTTGTATGTTTTGGCATGGGCCTGAGAGGATGCCATCATTTTTGTCCCGCAGATGGATTAAGTTTGTCAGAATATTAAAAATTAATTAGATATTTTTAATTACAAAAATGTGAGTCAAGCACTGAAAGGGTTAAATGGATGCAATGGCTCAGCAAAAGCTATAGTTCAATATAAGGAGCTGTGCCTGTAGTTTAGTAGACCTCAGTGTTAGTTTGCCTCAGTGTGAGAGAGGCATCGGTCTGAAATAGCCCTCAGTGTGAGAAGGCCTCAGTGGGAGAAAGGCCTGTATGAGAAGAGCTGGTGTGAGAAGCTTCAATGCGAGATAAGCCCCATGTTGAAGGCCTCATGCGTGAAGGTTGCTGTGTGTTAAAAGCTACTGTGTGAAGCGCCTGTGTAAGTTCAGTGTGAGAAGAGGCTCTGTGAGAGCGAAGCTGTTTATCTGCATGAGAAAGAAGTTCAGTGTGGAAGCAAAGAAGTGTAAAGTACTTTATTTTGGTTATGGAAACCTTGTTCTTTTAAATAGTGCAACCATATTATTTGACTACAAAGAAAAGCCTTCTAAGGAAAATATAACATTGGTCTGTATGTTTTTGTTATCACTTTGGGCTACTGGTGCTGGGTCATGCTGCTGCTAATACGTTACTCTGCTGTGCATTTTGTTAATAAGTGCATTCGCCCAACAGGGTTGGCCATTGGTTACCATACATGTGAACTGACAACAGTCATCTAGTTATCACATTAAAGTCAAAATAAATAAAGTTTATGGCTTTTCTTTCTGGAAAAACTATTTCCTGTCTCTTCTGTTCTTTTATCTTGCAGACATTCATTACTAAAGGACCAAGTAACACCATTAGGGCTCCAGTTAGATTCCACAAATTACCATGCTTCACTCCCTTCAAATCCATTTTATACTTAAAGTACACCTCTCAGATATTCCATTCCCACCTACATACAATTGAAATTCTCAATGGGTTGTTGTAGGTTTTTTCGGGCTATATGGCCCAAAAACACCTCCTAGAAATGCCTCTAGAACATGGCCATATAGCCCGAAAAAACCTACAACAACCCAGTGATTCCGGCCATGAAAGCCTTCGACAGTACATTGAAATTCTCAATATCTCCTTGAGAATAGAATGTTGCAAAAGAAAAGGTTATAAAGGGGAAAGCATTAAGTATTCCTTCTACAATTACTTCTCTGCTCTGAATTGTATCCTTCCAAAATAAAAGTGTCTGACAGAAGTTTTAAAAAATGTATGCTTGTCTGTAACTTGTAATTATAAGCTTAACTATTGTGTTTTATTCCAAATGTATGTGATGGCTGATGTCTGGGATACAAATTAGTTTCCTGTTCATCTTTTTTATTGTGCTAAAAACCCCTTCTCCTTTGAAAAGGCATAATATTTATTTCTTTAGCTTACATGTTTATTTTGGAGGTTTTCTAGCAATGATGGGTCATTAAATATTTTTTCTTCTTTGGTTTGTGTACTCTGCCTAAAAGACATGTGAAATGAAAACATAACATTTAATTTACAACCACAGATCATCAAAACAACAGTTTAGAACAGAAAAATTGTCATTTTAGAATTATTTGTTTTGAATTAATAAATATCCAAGATTGAAGTGTTTATTTATTAAGACATTTTGAAATTCTGAATATTCTTAATTTATTAGTACAGTTGAACAAGTTAACTTTCATATAAGAAATTGCAAATGAAGCAAGTTAATTATAATATTTAAAAAATAAATTTATTACCCGCCTCTCCGTGAGGCTTTAGGTGAGGTACAACATCATTAAAACAATATATGAAGAACTATTAAAACACACAGTAAGATACACAGAGTTAAAATACAAGTTAAAATTCAATGATGAAATGACGATTAAGATTTAAAACTGACTGGTTTGATTCACATACAGCTTCCCCCTGTAAAAAAAATACAGTGACAGCTTTGCAATTTTCTAATTGGGTTGCACATGTAATTAGTCTAGGATATTATGTCTTCTATCAGGCAAGCATTTAGCTTTATTGGGCTGCGTCATTTATTAATACTTTAGAAGGCAAAGTCAAGTTACCTGTTATCATAGAAAATCAATGCTGGTGAACACATATAAATGTGTTCAAAAGCATAACCATTTAACCTTCTCAACCTCTGAGGATGCTTGCCATAGATGCAGGCGAAACGTCAGGAGAAATGCCTCTAGAACATGGCTCTATAGCCCGAAAAAACCCACAAGAACCTAGTGATTCCAGCCATGAAAGCCTTCGACAATACATAACCATTTAAATTAAATAACCAATGCCCCTATGACCAAAGAAGCTTTCACCTCTTCTTTCAAAGAAACTTGCGCTCCTGGAAATCAAAATCTGTCAGTTTGGAATTGCTCACTTTCAGAGTCAGAAGCTATTTCTCTTATATATATATATTCCAAATATTGGTTTCAATATGCAGTGTTAAAAGTTGCTCTACAGTTAATAATAAGCAAACATAATAATTTTAAAACAAGCTAGCAAATAAATAAATAAATACACTTATTGGAGGTTAGTGCTTACCAGTCATCTGCAGGAGAGCCATCATCCTCTGATTCAGGAGAATGGCTAAATGAAAAACAAAGGCAGTAGGAATAAAAGCTCATAGAGAAAAGGAGGTGTTAAATGTAGAGTGTCCAGCAAGGAAAATGAAATAAAAAAAGCACAGAATGCAAATAAAGGAGTGCATGCAGTGGTCAGTGGGAGGAGAGATGGACAGAAAGACTGAGTGGAAGATACAATGAATGGCCATTCTAGGAAGGCTGAAGGAGCAATTCACAACCACTGATAAACTTCATCTCACTTTCAAGTTAGTAAGGCTGCCTGCCAACTCTACTGAAGTGACCTGCATCTTCTCCTTGTTGTTGCTGAACCTTTTATACTATAGGAAGTACTTGCTTCTTTGTTTCCCCTTCCATTAAAACCTTTCCCAGAACCTTTTCTCCAAACAGTAGCTTTCCCTTGAAGGGAAAGTTTATCAGGCTTTCTCTCAATTTTTGGTAGTCTTCCAATGCTTCAACCATAAAGAGCTATGCCCAACAGTAGGAGGAGTAAACGGCCCATGCTCATATTCCACATTGGCTGCATTTTGCAGAATCTGTTCTAACTCACATAATGCTAATTTGTACTGCCTGAGCGTTTACATCTCCTGAATCTAGAATCTCTAATATAGGTATTCTAGCAAATTTTGAGCTTGCCATTGGCTTTCTAAGAGACAGTGCCGAAACTTAATGAGACCTTCTTAAAACTGAATCAATTCTAAATGAAATAAATTCTAAATGCACTTACATCCTGTAGTAATATATCACCTTGGCAATTACACCTGAGATGAGTGCTGATACATCTTCTTATCAAAAGTATATGCATTTTTGCTATATCTGAACAACTTTTTAGAATTGAAAACTGACACCTCTTTGTTTTTACTTTTGTCCTTTCTAACCGTCGTAGACAAAGACATGATTTAGATCTTATCACTGCAACTTTTGAATGGGAGTATTGATGAGGGGATTTTCCCTCCATGTCACTTTCATTAGATGCCTCTCAATGCCCAACTGAATGGCAATAGTGCTTTTACTTACATCTCTACTTTCTGAAGCCTGCATGCTTTTGGGTATTTGAATGGTTAGAATGGTATTACTACTTTTATTTACAGTTTCACACTCTGATAGCTGTTTGCTTGCAGGTATTTAAGCAGTTTTATTGGCATCTTCCTAATCTACCCTTTTGTTTTCATCTGACTGTGCATGGAGCTCTTCTCTGCCTAAGTACTTTTTCTTTTGTTTTTAGCCAAGTCTCCTAACACTGTAATAATTGCTATCTATGCTCTACAAATGGTAGAATAAATTACTGTAATAGGATAGGCAGACAGACAGACAGTGTTGTGGTTCAGCCTGTGATTGTTTCTCTGCCAGAAGATTCAGAGGACATTGAACAAGCCTCTGTAGACATACATGAGTCTGGTTCTGTATCTGGTGCAAATCATAACCTAAATTACAATTCTCGGTTTTACAAGATGGATAGCACAATCTCTCCACATCAGAAGCATGCCTAGAACATGACAAGGCTGCAAGGAAGAGGGAAGGGTGCAATAACTTTTAAAAACCTATGTTCATGTCCCACAACATCTCTTTCCATTTTACAGAACTCTATATGATCTGTACAAAAATACTAAAACCCATGTAAATTGATCCAAAAAGTCAAAGTAGAAATACAAATTTAGTATGCCCCCTGTTTTGTTTTTTACGTGTTTCTAAATTATTTTGAAGGGTCCATTTTGTTTTGAATTCCAAAAATTTGTTAATATTTTGTTTTGTTAATCTGCCCATTTGCACCAATGGGAACACTTTCGGGGCTGGTTTCGCCATCATTTTTATGGCTATCAGGATGAAACTTGCTACATTTGTAGGGCACATTTACCAATGTAAGCCCCCCCCCCCCAAGTTTAGAACATTTCACACATCCACTGATTTTTGGGAATTTAAAAAAGTTTTTATCAATAACATTAAAAAAAACTACAAGAGCTAATTCCTTGAATTTCTCTACATTGACACAACATAACCTGGGCATAATTCCTCTAATGTTTCAGAAAGATTCACACGTTCACTGATTTTTGAGGATTGTTCTTTTCAATTTCAGGACCTTGGCCAAGTCACTCTCACACATGCAAGGAAAATGATCCTAAAGGGCTCCTGAGCTGTGGCTAGCTGGTTGCTGCTGGCTGGCTGCAGAAGCTAGACTGGCAGCTGCATGCAAAAGCACTGGAGAACGGACCAAAGGGTGTGATGGAGAAAAGCCAGCAGTCAGGGCTCTGCTTCTCCTCTTCCCCTCTCCCTCAGCTTTGAGCATGTTTAGCTGTGCCTCCCAGGAGAGTTTGCTCATGCTTGGAAACAAGCTGACTCATGGAGACATATGTAGACAACTGGACTTCTTCTGGGTGTTTTGCTTCGTCTGCATTTGGCGGGGGGGGGGGGGGGCTGCTTTGGGTGCGTAAGTCGCATCGTAAGTACGAATTTGCCAAATTACTTAGGATTTATGACAAGTGTCCAAATTTTTGCAGAGCTCTCTTATATATTCACTATTTTGCTTGGTAAAGAATCATATTATTTCTACTGAGATTAACTCAAATATGACAGAAACAAAAGATCTGGTGAGAAAACTGCAGAATTTCAAAATGAATTGCATTTGGCACTATTCTTTCAAACACAAAAGGTGTTGGATGATTATTAGCTGGGAACTGAACGATATTCATACATTAAGTAGGAAGTTCTGAATACATAGGGATGTCCCAAGTATGGAAAAAAAAGATGCAGAAAAAAGCAGAAATTTACTCTTCAAACATTTTTGGAGAAAATTTGCCCATCAAATCACAAGACTACCTTAACACACCATGCTTGATTTAAAAAAAAAAAACATGAAATGTTGTACAAATTGAAACAATCAGTACAAACAATCCTTGAAAAGATTGGAATATATGCAGATGTGACAACAAGCAAAACCTAGGAAGTTTCATTGAAAGAACACATATTTTTAGAACAATCTCTAACAATAAAGTTTAAGCTCATGTGAAATGGTTGCACGTATGGAATGTCACATAGCTGTGAACCAAATATGTCCTTCGTACAACAGCTAAACAGGCACAATCACAAACTTATACATGTGTATGAACTTGCAACAGGATTCTGACCACTGAGTTTCCAAATCAGTATATTTAGATTGCTATTCCTACATATCTTTATCTAGAAGCAAGCCTTAATTAACTAAGACTTTAGTCTGAGGAAAGATAAAAATGGTTATGTTGTTTGAAAAAAATAATAACCTTCACCCTAATGTACACATGTCTAATAGAGATACTTACTGAATACAGTGAGACTCACTGGCAAGTAGACAGAACTGAATTGTGCTAGTAGTATTAGGATTACACAGAAAACTATTGCTTCATCCAAGCTTTATTTATAATAAACACTTAAAATCTTGATCTTACTGAATTAGTAGTTTACATTTTGACCTTACTTCAGTTCCAAATATAGAATGATAATAAAAGCACTTTTCTCCAGTAGCAAAAATTATATTATAAAGAACCTACCCATAGGCTATTCCTGCAATAGTACACTTCTTGAATTGCATTACATTGCACGTCAGGGTGCCAGTCTTGTCAGAAAATATGTATTTGACCTAAACACACAGAAATTGCATTAATGTTTTATGATGTTTATACTAATGTGACTTTTACATCTTCATCTAAATCCTCTTGCAAATCTTCAAAGGTAACTTCTTGTAGATATACACATGGATAATAAGCTACTACACATTTTAGCAAATTGCAAAATAAAACATATTGAAAAAGTAAAACAATGTTACAAAAAACCCCACATTTCTTCTATTGGTTAGACTGATCAGCATTTCTTTCCTTGCCATTAAACTCATTTGGCACTCCTCCTCTAGTGTAGCAATCTGCCCTGTGGGATGAGTGTGTGTAAAATTTTTTTATGAGGGGCATTAAAATATAAGCTAAGTTCAGACTGATCGTCAATTTCCAACCAAATGTTATAGGTACGCTGACACTTCCACAATCTGCAAGTGTATAGGAATTATCAACAGGCTACTGTCTGCTCTAGCTCAATGTGCACCAGTTTTTAATCATTATTTTATAAAGTTACTTCTCCACTTTTCAAAATACTGAAATATATGTATATTTAAAGTGGTAAGTTTTCTCTTTTTTGTAACATTGAAGTTGTAAGAGCATTATTTCTACAATTAAAAGTTTAATGGGTTGCTGTGAGTTTTTCGGGCTATATGGCAATGTTCCAGTAGTATTCTCTCCTGATGTTTCACCTGTATCTGTGGCTGGCATCTTCAGAGGTCTGTTGGAGGTGAGGCAAGTGGAGTGTGTGTGTGTGCGCGTATCTATCTATCTGTGGAATGTCCAGGGTGGTAGAAAGAATCATGTCTGTTTGAAGCAGTGTGAATGTTGCAATAAGCAAGCTTGATTAGGCTACTCAATGCTGATCAAGTTTCCTAATTGCAACATTGACACTTGCTTCAAACAGTCAAGGGTTCTTTCTACCACTCTGGACATTCCACAGATATATATACATTCCACTTGCCTCATTTCCAACAGACCTCTGAAGATGCCGGCCACAGATGAAGGCGAAACATCAGGAGATAATGTTACTGGAACATGGCCCTATAGACTGAAAACCTCCCAGCAACCCAGTGATTCCGGCTATGAAAGCCTTCAACAACACAAACATTTAATGCTTTTGCGGATACATTTTTATATAACATTTCAATGAAAGCAGGCCAACACATAAAATAACATTTTCAAGCAGATTTCCAAAAAGAAAACAGTACGGAAATGCAATTGTACTTGCTTTGTTTTTTTATATTTCTATACCAGACTTTACCACATGGCTCTTGTTAAAGCAGATATACACAGAACAAGTGATACCAATACCACAATTATAAATCTAAATAATAAGAACTGCATAGTCTGGTTTTTTTGTGCTTATGGTTTATGAACAATAACCTCCCAAGCAATTTATAGAGCTTGAAACTGTCTTCAGAATTATTTGTATTATATAAGGGAGAGGTAGATTGGGACATATTTGAAATATCTATCCAGTCAGCTAGATTATTAAATGTTGAGAGCAAGCTTGAAATCACTCAAAGTACTTCTCAGACTGGAAATGTAATGGGATGAGGTGTGGATATATATTCTTGGGTGCCAGAAATATTTTAAGGTCCTCAAAAATATGCACTACAATCTGGCATAACATCTATATTTTCCCTTGGATAACTGCATAAAATGCTGCCCTATGGGCTTTGCATTTCTTGCAGCCACTGCACTTAATAAACAAACATTACTTAAATACTAAAACTTGCATTCACTCCGAATCTGCAATCCAATCTGAAATACGAAATAATGCTGAATGGCTGTAAACATGTTGTGGCCTTGCAGAGATCTGGCAGGGAAACACCTCAGAGTGCAACAGAAGCAGCTACAGCTCTTAATAGTATGTACTTTCAAAATCTCTGAATAAGCTGATTTGCCAGTTAGTATGCCAATCTGTCTAAATAGCCCAATTTGAAAGTCTTTGGGAAAAGACTTGGAATTACTTCCTGGGATCACTATAACAACTGAAAAGCCTATTGGGCTCTCTGAATGGTACAGGACGCTGCATATATGCCACATATATGGCACATCAGATCTGCCAACTCACTTGCACATTGTGACAAGGTGATGGCCACATCAACACTACTTTCCAAGGAAGTAGTCATTCATTAGCCAATGCCCATGCATTAAAAAGTTTCATTTGTTAACCAAGAAAGTTCTGGTGAAAGTGGTTTCAGTGGTGTCTCAGGAGGATGCATGTGATGTAGATCTTTAATGAATCTCTGTAAAAATAAGGAGCTAGTTAAGTTGGTATGTTGGAAATGTTAAGCCATGGTCCTTCAAGTGTAAAAGGAAAATGGGGAAGAAGTTCAGATCTCAATACTGCACAGCAACAGAAACAATGAGTCATTTTGTGAGGAGAAGTCATGATGGTATCCTTCATGCTATTAGATCTTTGTCAGATGAAGAAGGGCAAAGCATGGTTTCCTTGGCCGATAAGGTGGTATCAGTATGGCATTAGTCCCGTACCGGTACAATTTCACCACTACTCTTGAAAGTAGTAGAAAGGATGGGAATAGGTAAAGTAGAGACCTCGACTATATCAGAAAGGCATATAGTGACCTCTAATCCTGGCACACTTCGGAGCAGACCAGGGCAAGCTTGGCATTTGTTAGAGGAAGCAAACTAATAAAGATCCGAAGTCCCTTATCTAGATGCCAGGGATGAAAGAGCATCACCTGAAAGAGTTCATTCATGATGAAGAGATTCTGTCAACACAAGATCCATGCCTGATAGAGGTACTGATATGCAATAAAAATCCTTTTGAACACACCAGATAGTAATTAAATGTTTGAGAAGAATAATTGAATGTTTGTCTCCTTATATGTTTATGTATGATGCTACTGTCATACTGCCTGATGTGATTTCGAGCATTCTCCCAGAGTGTCTTCTGGAATGGGTTGTTGTAGGTTTTTTGGGCTGCATGGCCAACCTACAACAAACCAGTGATTCCAGCTGTGAAAGCCTTCAATCACGTCTTCTGGAATGCTCAAAAGGACTTTATCACAGCAAGTAGTAGTAGTAGAGTGCTTATGTGAAGTTTGGATTTCTTTGGAGGCTAGCAGCTGTGGACTGTCATGATTGCTGTGAGCTCTTCATCATGCCAAGGATCTCAATATTGTTGGTGGTGGAAATCAGTTTCAGGAAGGATGGTCATCCAAGGAATCTTAAGACTTGGATTTGCTACAATAGCAACAATGAGGTGAATACCAATGGCAGGACTCTTGGAAGTATTTCTGAACTCAATATGATGGCAGATATGAGTAGTAAGAACTTGGTTGGCTCCCTGCACAAATGTTCATTGGTGCAGATTTATGTATGACAGCAATATGAAGGGTGACCCCTTTCGGTACTGAAGTTCCTGATCATGATAGGAATGCTTAGAGAAGGCATCAGATCACTCCCTAGCAAACAGAGATATCTTCCTGATAGAAGAAGAGGATGATTAAAGGGTGAACCTTGATGTCAGGAGGCACCTGGTGTGGAAGAGTCCTCATATCAAGCTGAAGCACAAGTGAATGGTTGGATATCAGAGGTCTAAGATCTTTAGTATCGGTAATGAAGAAATCACAGTTGGAGTAGTGACAATAACTGGTAAGGGAGCAAGTATTGAAGGCACCGCAGTTGACAGTGATGAAGGTGGAGTCAAGATTAATGCGGGTATCATGGTTGATGTAGTTACCACTGGCTGCTTTTGATTTCTTCTTCAGTACCGTGCAGTACCTTGAGGTAGAGACAACTCCATCAAACTTGATTAAATAAACTAGATATACCTTTTTACATGAGATCTTTGCTTGCATAGACTTGTCCTTTGTTTTATGCCATGGAAAAAGATTCCCATCTGCAGGGTTTTCCGCAGGTATTATGATTGCAGACATTTCAGAATCTGTAGAAGATGCTAACATGGAAAGGGCTGAAACTTTCAATCATGTTTTTGATACCACAGCAATACACAAATGCTGCGTTGTTCTCACTCCTGAGGAAACCTGGAAAGATTGCTTCCAGTAGAAGGATTCCAAGTGTGAAGCTCTCTTTTTAAGCAATTTCAAAGTTAAACTTCTCAACAATGTGCCCTCCACCTAAGCAAACAAGGCACTTCAAAAGTTTGTCCAACAGGGAAAGCTTGCGATTGCAGAACGAAAAGAATTTGAAAAGTGCTGTTGAGTCATAGGAGGGTGGAGGAATGGTAAAGAGATGAAGACACACGGTAAAGCAATTTTTGTGTGTGATAGAATAAGATAGCAAGAAAAGATATGAAGTTGGATGAAAATAGAAGCATTAGAAGGATAAGAGAGAGTAAAAGGGGAGGATTAAGAAGCTGAAAAGCAGAAGATGAGTTTCTCTGTTGATTGATGAAGCAAAATTGAGGGAACTGTAGCTTGGTGGCTGGGATATGTGGTAGTGGACAGCGTGTTCCTGCCAAACTGTGGAATTCTAGATCTTTCTGAATGCAAGTACAAAACCTCATTCACCCATTTGTTTGGGCATCGAGACCACAATTAAGAATGATGTATCATAAAAATAGTTTAAAATACAAAACATTTCATGAATTGAAAGTAATGAAAAATTTACATCCTCAGAATTAGAAAAACAGTTAGGAACACCTACCTGACCAAGTTCTTCATTGAGGTTTGACGTGCGAGCCATTGCAGCAGTGTCTGTAGGTTCATAATGCATGTCAATATCCTAACAAAAGAAAGGGTTGTTTTTAAAAAAAGCTGAGGGACAATGAAAGTGTTTTTATGTATATAAAATTAAAATAATTCCCACTATTGTCAATGGAACATGCATGTTTCACTCCAGTATTCTGTATGCCTTCTATTTCACTTATCAAAACAGTTGGCTATGCACGTTCAAGCCCTTGAGTACATTAGAAATAGCTCTTTAGATTGTAGATCATGTTAGTTATTTGCTTTGAATTGCAAGGTCCCTTCCCACATTACAACTCATATTTGAGATGTCTTTCAGTCTTAAAATGAGCTTTCAGATGTGGTAAGATGGGTACTTCAAGAAAACCAATCAACTCCCAAATTCTCCTGGTACATTAAACTAACTATGTGTTTCTTTGGATTTAACCTTAATTACAGATGTTATCATAGTGCATTGTCTTACTTTATTTATTTTTCTATTACCAATTGAGGCTGAAACCTAATGCCATTCAGAAGTGTTTCCCCACTACATATATCAGTACATAAAGGGGAAACAAGTAGAACCACCCTATCCAACTCTGCTCCTAATATTGTTGGCCAGAGGGATATGAATATTAGGAGCAGAGTTGGATAGGGTGGTTCTATTTGTTTCCCCTTTATGTACTGACATATGTAGTGGGGATTAATCTGTTGGTTGTAGATTGCTTCTTTAGACCTCCTTTACTGATAAATCATGCTAAGTGTCAGGCAACAGATTAATCTCTTCTACTAGCTGATTGAAGCAAGAGCCAAAAGCTCTTCTCCTTTAGGAGCGATTATAGTTATTATATAGCCATGTTCAGCAGCAGTATAGGCTACAGCCATAAAGACAGTATGGAAAGAAAAATAAGAAGATAAATCCTTTCTCTCTCCTGTAAAACAATTTACAAGTGCTAAGTGGAAGGTCAATTACTTCTTCGATACTCCTAGAATGATTGATCAAAAAAAGAACAACCTTTCATTCTTAGTAGAGTTGAAGGAATGATCCAAAACAGCAAAATATATCCTGGCCTTGCATCTCAAAAATTAGCATGATTGCTATGTCCTACAGTACTGCTTGCAAGATAGTAATCTGTCTTGACTTGAACTTAACAATTTTGTAAATCATTTAACAGTCTTATACAGCTCTTCCAATAATGAAGATGTGAAGAAATCTATTGTTGTTCCTATACACTTCACAGACTGTGTCCACATTTGCTGAGGACTACGAGTGTTGGGATAACAACATAAATACAACCTTTCTTTCATCTTGAGATCATCAGCTTTCCTGCTATGAACTGCAATGTTCAGATAGAAGACAAATATTGCTTCTGAATAATGTATACACTTCATTTTTCTGTATAGTGCATATACATATACAGTGCATATACTCATGTATAAATCTAGCAATTATAGTAAAAATTGACTCAAAAAAATCTGAGTTAACGTGGGTTAACATGAGTAATGTATCTTAACTCTTATTAACAAAGAAACCTTCTTGAATGGTGAAAGCTAAGTCTGTCTGGGGAGAACCTAAAAAAACACTGACCCTCTCTATTCTCTTTATTGTAACAATGCTTGGGGTCTTTCTGAATGCCTGGATGGGGTGGGCAAGTCAACGAGGTCCCTGAGGTGGCACTGGTACTTTCCCCTCTTTAAAGAACAATCCTCAACTTTTTCAGGAGTCAAATCAAAATCTATAATTTTTGTCCCAAAATCTGTACTCGATTTATCCATGAAATTGATTTATACACAAGTGTATATGGTAAATCTTCATTGTTCTCCTCACATCAAAAGAATGCCATCTTTTCTCTGATGTATGCACTGCATTTAGATAAAAGGTAGGCAATTGTGTCATTTGTCTCATGCATCTTAATGTAATTTTGTTTCTCATTTGCTTATTTTTATTTTCACCCTACCCTAACCTAGACTTTGTTTGCTTTCCAAACCCAGAGTTACCAAAACATTTTGAGTAGGCTTTTGAGCCTATCTGGCTCAAATAATCTACTTCTCTTAAATTTCCTTATTGAATCTACATTGGAAGAATAATGACTTTCCCTGTCTACTTATTTTTCTTCTGCTCTACTATCTGTATTTTGGAATTTGTCATCTTGTTTATTTGAATTCAAATTGGAAATATGATTCAAAGTGCTTGCTTGACACTTGCCACAAATGTTATTCTTATTCAATAATACATATCTTGTTTCCCCATACATTTTATACTCTATGAACATTGTCTTTTTGTTGCTTGTACTCCTCCTCCTTGTTCAGAATCTTCTCTTTCAAGATGGAACAAGGAAGCTGTATTTCCTTAAATATAATTTTCCCTATTTTTATCTTTTTAGATTTCCTAACTGAATCAAAGTCTTTCTATTTTACCACTTTATGTATCACTTCCAATCATGCCTTATTCTGCTGCTGTGGAGATCACCCCTCTGACTCACTTTCACTAAATGAAATAAATATTTTTCTTTGAATCAATTCCAAAGTCTGTTCAGAGGCTCATTCAACAATCAATTTAATTACTGTATTGTTCATTTTGCTTTCTCATCCAGTGACCTACAAATTTGAGGTTGTTTGTGTAACTTTTAGGGCTGACTCACCCATGGTGTGCTTTTTATTTTTCTCTGAAGGCAAAGAGGACTCATTTCTATCAGTATCTGATTCTTAGAGCTGTCATTTTGTCTTTAAAGCATCTCTGTTTGCCTTACTCTCAACCTGAACTAAATAGTTATTAAATAATTGAATGCCTGCTGGCACTAGGGATTAACACACTGGATGTGAATAGTTCCTGCAGCCCTAATGAGAATGAACACAATTGTCAACAGACTGGTCAACCTATGGATGTTGGGGACAAGTCACATTCTCCTTTCTCTGTCACAAGTTGAATATATGTAAAGGACACAAGTGGTCTGAACACTGCCATATATATCATGAACCGTTAAAGAATGTATTCCTTCCCATAGTGTCTCAGAGTCCATATTTGTATGAAGAATAAGTGCTATAGAACTAAGCGAGATCCTGTACACTGCTGCCTTGACACATTTTAAAATTAATGGAATTATGTAGAAAAATAATGTAATGTGTAATTTAAGCCTGTTTACCTCTCCGAACGTATTCTCCCCTACGAACCATCAAGACCACTAAGATCGTCTGGAGGGGCCCTGCTCTCGGTCCCTCCACCTGCACAAGCACGGCTGGTGGGGACGAGGGACAGGGCCTTCTCGATGGTGGCCCCTCGACTTTGGAACTCCCTGCCATTAGAGATCAGAACTGCCCCCTCCCTCATGACGTTCAGGAAACTAACAAAGACCTGGTTGTGGAACGCGGCATTTGACAACTGATTTAATTCTTTGCCCACATGAAAGGAGGATGATGAATGGGATTGTGATGGTGTCGGACGATTTGGCTCTTTTAACTGGGATGATAATGTTTTAATGTGTATGGTGCTGATATTTTAATCGTGTTATGAAGTGGCATTGTGTTGTTATTGTATATTTTTTGTATGTTAACACATGTTGTGAACCGGTCCGAATCCCTCTTTGAAGGTGAGAGGATCGGTATATAAAACCTCGAAATAAATAAATAAGTTTACAAAGCATTTGATCTTGCTATCTATCTATCTATCTATCTATCTATCTATCTATCTATCTATCTATCAAAACCATAGTATGTATGTTGGTTGGTTTGTACCAGGAAAACTCCTACATGGCTTGATAGATCTGCACCGAACTTGACACGCACCCTTCACTATTATTATTTTTTTGGAATAGATTTTTATTAAACAGTTTAAAACATATATACATGGAAAGAGGGGGAATATTCAAGAAGAAGATAGGAAAGTAGGAAATACAGTCAATTAAAGAAAAAAGAGAAAAAAAGGATACAAAATAAATAAATAAAATAAAATAAAATGACTTCCATTCCAATCTCAGGATCTTATTGTCTTTTGTTTCATTATTATTTACCTCTTCTTTGTTTCTTTCTCTTTTCTATTCTTTTCATAGTCATAAAAGAGAACCCAGTCTGTCTTTTTTATAGATTCCCGGTATTTTTCTTTAACAAAAAGTTAACTCATCCATGTCTCTTATTTCTTTAACCTTGTCCACCCACTTATCCACCGTGGGAATTTGTTCTTTTTTCTAAAACTTTGCAAAAATAATTCTGGCCGCTGTTGTAACATAAGCCAGTAATTTATCTTCATTTTCATCCAATTGTAATTCCGAGTCAGTGAAGCCCAACAAATAGTATTCTGATTTTTTCTTAAACTTTTTGTTTAATTTTTTTTGTGTTTCCTCATGGATTAAAGACCAATATTTGGTTGTTTCCTTACAAGTCCACCACATGTGATAGAATGTACCTACTTCTTCACCACATTTCCAACACCTGTCCGATGTATTTTTATACATATGGCTTAATTTTTTTGGAGTGATGTACCATCTGTGGAACATTTTAAACCAGTTCTCCTTCAAGTCCATAGCATACGTATATTTTAACTTTTTGTTCCACATTTGTTCCCACTCCCTGAATTGAATTGGTCTCCTTAAGTTTTCCGCCCATTTTATCATACAAGACTTGACCTGTTCTTTTTCTGTTGCCCATAATAATAGTTTATTGTAAATCATTGTGACTATTTTCCTTTCCTTTTTCAAGATTTTGTCCCATATATTTTCTTCCCAGTCAAATCCTGTTTTTTTATCTTGTTTATAATAATCTTTAATTTGTAAATAATGAAGCCACACACCCTTCATTATTCAACTTAAAATAATTTAGGGGACTGAACTAAAAAAAACCCAACCCTTTCGAACCCAAAGCAGAGGGAAAGGAAAATAACCAAATAGATTGGCTGTGGCTAAATGAAGTGGCCCTCTGTCATGGGACTGGGAAACAAAGGGAATGAAGTGGATTGGCTGTTGCTAGGTGACATGTATATGAGGGGAAAGGAGGACAGAAGGAGGGACGAGAAAGGAAAAGGAGAGAAGGAAGAAAAAGAAAGGAAAAGGGGAAAGTTATGAGGGAAGGGAAGAAAAAGCCCGAAAAAACCCACAAGAACTGAGAAAAAGGAGAAAGATTGGAAGAGAAGAGCAGGGAATGGATGAGAAAAAGGAGGAGGAAAGAAAAAGGGAGGGAAAGGGAAGAAGGAAAGAAAAGAAAGAAAGACTCAGGGCAAAGGTGTATGACCGAAATGGAGACAGGCAATGTCCATCCTGACACCCAGGCAACGCCAAGCATATACAGTAGTTACTTTAATAAAACACATCTTTTTATAAATCTGGTGCTTAAATATCCTAAAGGCATCAGATCTTAACCCAAATCCTACTGTCAGCCCTGACTAGAGAAAGCTATTGAATCAATAACATTTACTGATGTGTTGACTCACCCTTCAACTGTTGATGGAATAGGTCCACCCCAGTTGGAACTAATCAGCCTTTGTCTGATTCTAGAAGTTAAGTAGGGTCAGACCTAGTTAATACTTGGAATCGGGAGATGATCAGATGACCAAATGCTACGGACTATATTCAGCGGAAGACAGATCAACTAGTTAAGAAAACCATATGAAATCATGAAGTTCTACACAAGTCATCAGGCAACATTTATCCTTGAAATGGCTAATTAAAAGGTCTGTGAATAGTATAATTATGTCCATATTTACCCAGTTTATGAAATATGCTTGGATAAATTTCACAACTTCCAGTGTGACCAACAAACTGATTGGAATTAGATTATTGAAAAGAATGATAAACGTCAAGAAATTCAGTCCAAAATTATTAGCACCAGCATCTGTTAGGAAAAAAAGATGGAAAAACGTATAAGGTGAGAAGAAATGTAAAGCATTTGAAATCAGCAGCCCTACTGTCAAAAGATACTTAATAGCTACCATTCTGCAAACTTAACAATTTTTAAAACATACTTCCAACAAATATTCTCATAATTCACAATCCCAGTAAAAAATAATCCTATGAAAGATTACATTTTTCATTGGAGAACTATCAACTCAATTGCAAATTCACAATAAGTAGCTGCATTAGCCTTTTGATGGTATGGTGTGGGAGGAAAGGAGTGAACCTATCTTCTCAAATGCTGTGATTCCAATTTTTCATGTTTCTCTACTATTTATCCTGACATTGCTACTCAAAACAGAGGTCAGAAATATAACTATGCATTTCATTTATGTCCTAGGAACTTCTATAAGATACAGCAAATATATATTATGCATTTTACTACCTTTGCCTGATGAAGAAATGTAACACAACTAACTCTTTCCTTTATTTTATGCGTCTAAAATGCATTGCAGGTTGGATCTCTCTTATCCAAAATGCTGAAGAGCAGAAGAGTTGTGGGATTTTTTGGATTTTGGAGTGCCTGCATTTGCATATATGTACATATGCCCCCCCTCCAGCTTTGGAAAGCCCTCCCCAGAGAGATTAGGCAAGCACCCACACTCATGTCCTTTAGGAAGGAATTGAAAACTTGGTTGTTCAAACAGGCATTCGACAATGGCTAAAGTAAGAATTCTTAACCACTAAATGGACTACATGGCTCATATTGATCAATGCAATGGTTTGGACTTTTAAAAGCTTGTTTAAAATGTTTTATATAATAATTGTTCATGTGTTGATTCTTTTGTGTTAATTTTGACTTGTTATCATCCAGTCATGTCACTCAGTTGTTTTATGTATCTATTATGTTTTTAGGATCAGAAGCCATTGGAGTCCTTTATTGGGAGATGGAGTGGGGAATAAATAAATAAATAAGGCATATCTTGGAGATGGGACACAAGTCTAAAGTTGAAGTGCATTTATATTTCATGTAATGGTGCCACTATCTTAGCCACCCATGTGGACAATTTCAGATTTTGGAGTATTTCAAATTTCTGGATAAAGGATGCTCAATATGTACCACAACTTGTCTTACAATCAGTGTGGCGTCTCCTGTATTTGTATCACTTGAAGAAAATCATTTTAGCCAGACAGCAATGGGTTCTTGAAGCAGAGGAGATTATACTATCTCAGATAAAACTTTAGTTTTGCACTTAATAAAACATTGAAGTCAAGCCTTGACAATACAAAGACAAAAGAGTTGGTAAGCTTTGTACTGCATAGGGACAGCTTCGAATCTTCCAATGTTTTTGTATCCATGAACAAAGAAATCACAATTTGAGTTTCTTTTATTGCCTTGTACTTCTAGTTAGCCTGATGGCACCACTCTGGCTCGAGTAACCTTCTTCCACACCATATCAAAACACCATGCAGGTTTAGCTCTGACATCTTCACTTCCCACTTTTCTTCTGCAATTTTTAACAATAAACATCTTTGTCTGATGAAGAAATATGGGTTTTGAAAGCTTGCACAGAACAGTTTGTGTTTTTTGACTGATCTAAAATATCAATATAAGTATACACAAGTATACATTACCACATGCATATGCCTTAAGCTATAAATGATCAATATGTATGGACATGAAATCATTAATTAGCATGCAGACAAATACTGTCCTTTGACATTACTAACAAAAGGATAGGACACACTGATTTTGTTTTGTGAACATAATCTAATGAAAACATAACTTTGGCAACAAATGACACAATTATATTTGATGCTTACAGTTTAGATTGATATACCAGTCCCTCTCCTCATGTTTTTGATTCCATATAGCTGACCCAATGGAACAAATCAAAGATATAGCAATAAGAATGCAGAACAAAAACAGAATTTGGATATTTGTAATTCTTTCCACATTTGATAGTTTAAGAGGTGGGCTTGTTGAATTCTGTGATTGAAATAAAGAGAGAGTTTACAGGTAAGACATCCACATTTGATTTTGATTTTCTAATTTCAAACTATATATTCATACTGTCCACAAAAATATATGAAAGGCAATTATACACTTCTGTTCCAGAAGTGAAAAAAGTCACTTGCCAATATGGGTACATATGAACCAAAAACATGTGTTTTTCTATGAAACATATAAAGCAAATTTTAAACACCAGTTTATAAGACAGTAAAGTAAAATAAAACTAAAATTGTATCCGCTGACATATTTCAAATTATGCAATTATATGAGCTGAGCAGAGCTGAGTTTTTTTTTTTGCCAATGTGTGCTTAATTGTGTCCAAAGCATAAATGATCATTTGTTATTTGAGATGGGGTCACCTTCAAGTAGATTGAGCAGTGAAAAGAACTACGCTTGAAAGGAAGGTAGTAACTAAATCCTTGTAACCAAAATGCAGTGCTCCTGCATAGATATATCATAAACACTGGCTGGTCACGTTTAAGCAAGTATATATTACTAAAGCATATAAATAAAACAACTAAAGGTTTTTCAGAATTGCAAAACAAACCTGCATGAGCTTTGTATCATGCCCTGTGTAGACAACTATACCATGAACCCACTGTGTATTTCTTAACTGAGCTCCACGCAGAAGAATTTGATCAGGTCCCAGAGGAACAGTTCTGAAAAGAATGGAATGAAAGTGAATTCAAATTAAACTACTGATTTAATAAAATATTAACATGAATGTAATGTTTTGTTTATGTCTTTTTCCCCTCTTGAGATATCAGTTTGCAATCAATGGAAAAATTAAAAAAATAGAAAGAACTGATATATTTATCCCCCCCCCCCCCCATTCATCAAGGATAGAAGAACCAGAACTGGGAAAAGTGAAAAACTGTGGCTACAAAAAATGCTTCTTTTTACTTAAGAGACCACCTCAAAAAGTGTTCTTTCTGTGACATTGTGCCAGTCTGGGGAGTAATGTTCACTATCTTGTATAAAGTGTCGAGTTGGAACATGCTGTTCAGTAGATGTTGAAGGAATCAAATTGACCTTGACCACTGATTCCAGAGCTAATGTTGGTATCAATTGATGTTGATCATATTTATATTTTTCTCTTCTCCTGTCTGTGTTCATGTCAGTGACAATGATGGAGAAGCTAGATGCTTTCTGTCTTTCCCAAGCCATGAGAAGTGGGTGATTTGATTTGGATAGGCATCTGTTCCAAATCTCCTTACTCCAATATAATTGACACACATGTGGATGGCCTGTGTGTCTCTGGGATCAGAACTGCAGATGAAGCTATTACTGTTGACACTGAAACTGTTTTGGTACTGAGGTTGGACATGATGGGTTGACAGAGGATATACCATGAGGCCCCTTTAAAAAATTATTTAGGGAAACTTCAGGAGGAGCTGAGTTTGGTGCCACTTTCTTGGTGACATAATTATAAGACTTTTTCAAGCAACCGGCTCCATTTTTAACAGCTTGGGATGTTTTTAATAGCTTGGCAAATTGTGCATTTTTGCATATTATGAGTCTCCTCCAAACAATACAAGCACTCCATAAGTGTATCTGATAGCAATATCATGAATCCACAACTGGCACAGAGTGGAGGCCATAGAAAGGGAAGCATAGAGAAGAATGAAAAAAAGTTTAGGAAAGATAAAACAGAAATAACCTAAGTATAGCGAAGTGGATTTTTCCCTGTTATTCAGAAGTAAATTAAAGTAATAGATTCAAAGGCCCCAGGGCTGAGAGCGGCGGTCAACAAATGAATGAAGTAAAAAGGTATTAAGATTTAAGGAGGGTAAAGCAGAAGTCACAAATAATGAAGTAACAGTAGTTTTAACATATAGTGAGTATGGAAAAGGAGGGGATCCCATTAAGTTATTCAGTTCTAGAAAGTTTCGAATTAGATCTCTGTGAAGGTGTGAAACCTATCTGAATGAGTCACAGAGACCACAAAGAAAAAGCATAGATAATTTGTTATAACATAATGTTTGCTTTCAAATGCATTAAAATGCATTTGTTTCACCTCTACAAGTTATAAAAGCATGATGAACCCATCAAATTCATATTCAGATTATGACATACCCATGTCCTTCTAGTCGGATATTTCCAACAAAGTCATAGAGATGTCTGTTGGGACTTTCACATTCAATTCTTCCTGAAAGTCCCACCAAGCTATCAATGTCCTTCACATCAGATGTCAATGGCAAGCCCTATGTAAACAAAATAAATCCAGTTTAAGAATCTTGCTAATTTAACTGTGGCTAAATTGTGGCAAACTTCTGAACTTTGCTATCTAATTATCTCTTAGGGCACTTCAGATATGGGAAAAACCCATGCCGAAGGTTTAAAAAACCCGCTTCGGCATGGGTTTTTGTTCTCACAAGGACCCCCAAACCCGGGCTTTCCCGGGCAGGGCGTCTAGATGCAATTCTGGTAACTACTGGGATGGCACCCAAAGACCCAGAAGCCCCCCAAAATAAGCCCTTGCAAAATCCCACAAAATAAACCATCCCCCGGTTTCCTGGAATGACATTTCTACATGCCAAGAGGACTCCAGGAGTACCTTAATGGCAGCCAGGTAAGTTGTTTTAAATTTGAAGGACTTATTTTGGAGCCCAGAAAACTGAGATGGCTATGTGGATTGGGCTCGGTGATCATGTGATGTGGTCCCCAGGCCCAATCCACACAGGGCCTACACCTGTGTGGATTACCTAAGATCCGGGTCTTATCAGGTATCTAATTAATTGGAAAAACCCTGCTTTGTTCCGAATTAATTCATTTTTACCGGAGGTGTTATTTGGGCTATCCCTGTGTGAAAAAGAAAACTTTTTGTTTCAGTAACTGGTGGAACCCTGAGATCTATGACATCACACTGCTGAAAATAAGCACCCTAGGATGCTTAGAACTTTCTTTGGGGATGGAGCCCCACAGCAGCCATCACATGATGTTGTGTGATTTCCAGTTGTGGCTACACCCCCAGCTAGGGTGAAAGCATCGCTGGACACTTTGCCCAGAACATGGGAAGCTTCCCATGTTGTGCTGGTTCCAATGCAGTCAGCATGCTTCTGTCTTATTTGGGTAACACTTCCCCTGTATATAGAAAAAGCGATGCTGCGCCAGAGCAGCGTGAGGGGTGACAAAGTCGCCCATCATGTCTGCCATTTTGCTATACCTACTGGCGAAACAACACCGGGGGGAGGGCTCCCCTGCGTGATAAAGTCAAAAGACTTAACAGGAGATTAAGGGGGAAGTCAAGGGAGCACAGGACAGTTAAAAATTAGGAGATGCTGAGGAGGTAGAGAGGCAAGACAGGTAATCATGCCAGAGTCAGGAAAGAGAGGAACAAGAGGAGTGAATTATTGAGAATGTTGGACCCAGGAAAGCTAAGTGCCAAGAGAGTGATTTGGAAAGTCTTAAGAAAAAAGATGTAGGCTGAACAAAGGAGCCCTCTACAAGCAACAACTAAGCTACCAAGAAACACTTAGATCAGAACTCTGTAGGAGCAATATAGCACCAGGTAACACACCAGGTTCTAGAACTGGCCAGGAGCTTTCTATATAGCAGAAAGTCAAGATAGAGGTCTCTGAAAAGAAGGAATGGGGAACTGATGTATTAACTTGAAACAATCTTCTAAGGGGCACTCACCCCAATTTCCCACTAGACTTCTGGATCTTTTGAAGGAAAGTTGAGAAAGACAATAGTACTCATTGACTCCTCACTTTGGCAATGCAAGGAGTCTCGATAGGGGGCACTCATATGGGTGGCACACAAAAGACCTACATTCAATCACCTTTACTAACCTATACTGCTTGTTTGCCTAGTTTCTACATCATTCTATCTCAAAAGTTCTCAGCTTGCTTAGTATTAACCCTATTGATATTTTGAAAAAGATTATTTTTTATTTGTGAAGATTACAAAATTTCCATAGTTATTATTAAGTCTACAGCGGCGTGATTTATCAAAATGGATTCAAAGCCACAGTATGATGCTATGGCTATTTCCAAAACATCCCAGATTATAAATAATTGATGGATAAACTACATTAAAAAAACAACATTAATTACATGAAATAATAAAAAAACATTTAAAGAACCTGCTCTATTTTTAAACATATTCTGTCCTGAAGAAACATCTCTTGAAATAATGACCATATTAGAAGGCATCATTTTCGCCAACACAAGTTCGTAAAATAAAGTATACTTTTCTACATTCAAGAATATGTATGTGAAATGTATGTGCTGAGAGGACACTTGCTGTTCCAAATAAATCCAGATCATGTGATAATCAATCTCACATGTCACAGTATATATCTACTGGGAGAATAACAAAAACAGATATCTAATGCCATCCCCTTCACAAACTCTAATGAAACTATATTTGCAAAATACAGCAGTAGTCCTTAATTTCCATTCAATGATATGCATGCAGTGTAAAGGGCATACAAATCTATGAATAGTGGTTCCATTCCCATACACATTCATTCCCTTTTGACATATGCTTCAACTGATTATCTGTACATTAACTGGAAGCAATATAAAAATAATACTGTATATGAGATAAATGACTGAGAACAACTTGTTTCTTACCTGTCTTATTTTTAGATTAGTTTCACCATCTAAATTTGATGTTTCAATGTAGCACATTGCTTGTGGTTCACTTACAAAAAAGGAAAGATCAATTTTAAAAGGTTAATCCATTTCAAAAATACATTGATACACAACACCATTCTGTATGCTATTGATCCTTTAAAATTTTATGTGAAAAATTCTCATTTATACTTCTGGAAAATGATTACCAGATTGTTTTTATTTTCTTATTTTTATGAAGTATGTTAAAATTGAAGCAGCAGAGAATATTCATTCATGTATATATATTAAATAGCAAGAATATATGAAGTCTTATGAGTTATCCTATGAAGTTTATGTCAGACTAGGTTCATTAAAGCAAAGTCACTACCTCCAGGATTGCACACAGCACTACATTATTCTGCAGAGATACACTATCTGTTGTCCAACTAGTTGAAAAAAAAATCACTGAACCTTAAACTGCTTACATAAGCAGAAAATTCAAGATGAAAACGGATACGCTTTACTTAAGGTTTAAATTTCATGGTCTTCATTTCAAATATTTATTTCAAGGACTAAAAACAACTGATGTTTACTGTAACATTCAAAATACAGTGACACTTTATTCAAGTTATTTTTGAATAAGCCAGAATCAAACCATTATTTATGATTTTCTTTATTGTTATGAAATAGAGTTGATGTTTTATAAGCTAATAACAGGAGAGGATAAAGTGTGTTGCAGAAGCTATCAACAGCGCTCAAGACTATTGTATATATTATTTAATATAATTAACATTTTCCCATGTTTAGATGAGAAATCTCTCACTTTTTTGAAACTTTTTCTTGCTATATTTTCTGCAAATGTAAATGACTGATCCCCCTCTTAGAAACTAGTATATTTCAGTAAATTCTTTAATCAATATGGTCCTTGGTATCTGTGTGGGTTTGGTTCCAGGACCCTGTGTGGATACCAAAACATGGATACGCTCCTATTAATAAAATGGCATAGGGCAGCAGGAGAGGTTGTAGCAAGTCTTTGCTGCTAGGCACACAGTCCTTGAATGGTGTGGTTGGGGAGAGATTGGCTGCAATTGGGATGATCTGGTGAGTACCAGGCCCCTTCCTCAAGGCGAACTTTTCTCTTTTGGGGTGTGGGGGGTAAAAAGAGAGAGGGGTTAACATCCAGTTTGTCCAGCATATTTTCTCTTTGAGAGAAATGCAGTGGGAGCAGGGTAGGCTGATATCTTTCCCTTCAACTCCCTTCAAACTCAAACTTCAAACAGATATTTGTGTTTCTTTTGTTAGGCAAAGTGCATTTTAACCCCTTTCTCTTTTTGCTTTTCCCACAGCAAAAAGAGAAAGGAACTTAATGGAGAGGAAGGCAAGTCAGGGGACTCCTCAGCAGCCTCCACTTTGAATCCACCGTTTGTTGAACCCATGGATCCTGAGCCCACAGATGCAGCAGCTCACTGTACATGTTAATGCCTACATTTGATTGTTAGTCTCAACCAGAAGACGTTCCAATAATTTAACTGATCACTGATGTCAAGACTAAGATCAAATATGCAACATATTTTATACATTTTAATAACTCTGAAGTTGCAAGCCTTTTTTAAACTTTGTGGGGGAGTAAATCCCTTTTAACTCAGTGGAGCTCACATCTGCACGGACATGTATAAAATTGTACTGTAAGACAACTGTGTGCATATTTAGATAAGATTAAATCCCACTAGTCTGAGAAAGCTGAGTGAACATGCATAACACTATGCTGCATATTTTGTAGAATTTCAAAAATAAACAAGACAGCAAAAAAATAAAACCAAAGTAAGATACTCCATTTCAGACATACTTAAAAAATAAAAAAGACATCAACATCATATAAATCAGGCTCTTTGATTAGCAAAATCAGTCACAATAACAGCACAAAGACTATTCAAATTCTGAAGTATCATGCAATACTTCTGTGAATAAAAATATAAATACCATATTTACTCGAGTCTAATGTGCCACTGAATTTTCAAAACCCTGAAGCCAAAAAAACTATTTGCTGACAAACATAATGTGCAGTGGCAAAAAGTGCACTCTTTGTAATTTGGCCAAAAAAGGTGTGCATTACAGTAATCATCTTCCCTGAATCTACAATTTGGTGATGGATCTGTGCATTGTATGTTTTTACCCTGTTTCCCCTTCCGCTCCCTCACCCTTATTGTGCTTCAGTAATTATATTTATATTTTTAATGTATTAAACGTGCTAATTTTGTATGAAAATGCGACTTCTATTTCCTGTGCTGGTCTATGACCGAAATAAATGATTCGATTTTGAACTGCCCTGGCTCAATGCTATGGGGTCATGGGGGCTGTAGTTTGGGATCATGGGGGGCTGCCAAAGAAAGCTGGTGTCTCACCAAACTACAAATCCCAGGATGGCACAGCAATTCAATTAGAGATGACGTCCCTCAAATAAGAGCTCCAGGTGCTCCTGATGTAGCCTCCCCCCTTTGCTTTGGATCAGCACTAAGATCAATGTATGACGCGAATCTAATGTACACTCTAATTTTGGGAAGATAATTTAGCTAAGAAAGGTAAGTGTTAGATGCAAGTAAATATGGTATTTTCCAACTGCATGCAAAACAATGAGTATGATATTTAAATTGTGCAGAGGGTCCTCAACAAATCTTAAATATATGGCACTTGCTATTATTTGGATTGTTATACAACACTATTGAAAATAAGAGATTATCTGAAGTACAAATATGTGTATTAGTTAAAACATAAATATATAATCTTCATAGAAATATTTCAATTAGGTACTTCTGCATTAATGGGAAAGCAAGAAAAACAAGCACTATATTTTAAATAAGCTTATGTTTTTACTTGTTTCAATGCAATCCTATGCATGTTGACTCAGAGGTATGTTCCACTGAAATCAATAGTTAATGACATAGTAAATATGAATATCAGCAGAATATATAAGATCTTTAACAACCAAAATCAATGTACTGCTATTGCTTTAGCACAAGCAAGATTCTCTTTAACTCTCATCCCCTTTAATGCTCTATTATTGCTATAATTTGTATAGAATTTGTTTAAAGGATGTATGGAAGAAACCTTTCTTTTTACACAATATCTTAATTTGGTGTATGAGGACCCACATACACATCTTCTGATCCCAGTTCATTCTAACCTTGTTGACAGACTGATGAGATCAGCTGGGAGATGCTCCCCATTGGTCACTTTCACTATTTCCCCTACAGCAACCTATATTACCCAGTTTTAAAACATTGTAACAGAAGAAGAAAAATGAAGTAGAAGGGAAATCAAATGGACAAGAGAAAAAGAGAAAGATGGAAATTACTTAACAATAATATTAATACATGATTTGACTCCTTTTTTCAAAATCTATTTAGATCAGGAAAAATATGATTGCAATTTGCATATGAATGTATATTTCATCTGATATATTTTAAAATGCAAAGATAAAGAAAAACAAATGATTAGTTAAAATACAAGCATCTGAGATATTTAAACTGTAGCACTGGAAATTATGTTTGGTAAGGACAGATAATGGGAGATATTTATACTTTTGTTAGTTTCCTTTTCAGATAATGGTTTTATTTATGTTTTCAGAGGAGAACAACGGGAATCCATCATTGTTTTGGTCACCCAGAAACATATCCCTACATTTGAAAAATGGTTTTTAAAAATTCCTTCCAGTCTTTCAAAATGAGTATTTTCTTTTATTTAATACATTTCTATAGGAGTACAATTAGATGGAGTGGCAATACAAATTAAAGGTGACATGTTGGCTTTTGGAACAAGATGGCAACTGAGTTAAATTAAAAATAACTGACTGAAATGTTTCCATTTTAATAAGGAGCCATGTTTCTAGCACACAATTTCTGTAACTATTTCTACTTCACGATTATAATCCAAAGATTTATACCTGGGAATAAATTTCATTGAATACAAAAGGAGTTGTATCTCAAGCTGATTCTGTGGCCTGGTTGCCCTTTCTCTGAGGGCATTTCCATACATACCTACCCGCCCCCCCAGCCCTGATTTATTTATTTATTTATTTATTTCGATTACTTCTACCCCGCCCTTCTCACCCCCGAGGAGGGACTCAGGGCGGCTTACAAAGAAGGCACAATTCGATGCCTATGTCAGATATACATGCATACAAAACAGCAATTAAACAATTAATAGGTTAAAATCATCAGTACATAACACAATCAGTAAACTAATCTCATGCTCAGTGTTCAGAGTTCCATCAATCCATTCCGTTCAGTCCATTCCTGTCCATCATCAAGGTCCTTCCTCTAGCTGCCAGAACTTCCCAATGCCTGGTCCCACATCTAAGTTTTCCATTTTTTTCTAAATGACAAGAGGGAAGTCGCCGATCTAATCTCCCCGGGGAGTGAATTAATGTAATACAATGTTCTGGTGACAGATGACAGATTTATTCCCTAAAACTTGCTGAAAAGGTCACTGGTTGCCATGGAGCCTCTCCTTGCATCTTCATGGTGTGAGAAAATGACACTTGAAGAGATGGAGGGGCACATACAGGAATTTTCCTCCTCACCCCTCCCATCTCTAAGGGTTGGGGGAGGGGCTGGGGTGGGAGCTCAAAGGTATGGAGTCCAAAGGTATGGAATGGCTGTGGAGAATGAACCCCGGGAAATGCATGACATGTCAGATACCACAGACCCAGCATCTCATTAGATCCGGATCTTTCATAAACATCCGGATCTAATGAGGTGTTTAATTACTGCGGAATAAACCAGGGAAACCTCAGTTAACTCAGAATTAATTCATTTTTACCGGAGGCTTTGTTTAGATGCCTCGGGTAAAACTGAGACAGGTCCTACATTTTGGGCCTGGCTGGATGGGCCCTGACTGAACAACAAGAGTGAATTGGTTCTCATGGAAGTGACAATGAACACCTTTTAAGAAAGTAACACAGGCCTCCTTCACTGTTTAACATAAATAATTAGAAGTGAACGTTTAACTCTTTTCCATCTTTATTTTGGTTTTATTGAAGAGCGGGTTGCATTTTTTTATCACTTGTCACCTTTCAACTCTGCCCCTCCCCCATTTTTTGCATTAAGCAAAGAATGAAAATAATTTTATAAATATACAAAAATTACAGCACAATGATTTGTAATCTGTCCTGTTTTGTATTTCCTTCTTTTCTTCAAATCTTGAATTGACAACATGAACTATTTGATAAGACTTGGGATGTACATTAGAAACAATCCAATTTATAGGGTAAAATATTTATTTCAGTGCTCCATTCAAATACAGTTTAAAATAACAGATGCCTTATTTTCATCTGAAAGCAGTGGACATGTTATCAATTGATCACTTATGTTTAAAAACAATCCAGATTATTAAAGTAGTCTTTTCAAACACTGATGATGACCCAATCAAATAGATTTTGAAAAAAGTGATTCAATATGTTCAGCGTAGACTTGTAAATTAAGTCATCCAAGGAAATACAGATATATACAACAGTTAATATTAATTAGTTAGAATATTAACTGTTATTATGAAGTACTTGGAGAAACAAGATATTTTCATTTAACAGATTGGTAACCGCTATTCTGAAGGTTTTTACTTATAACAGTTACTTTATTAATTATATTATACAATAATTTTAAGTAAATTTGCTACTAATGATTGGGATTAGAGTTAAACAGTACATTTGATTATTCTTTATTTCCTTGGATTAATTATGAAGTCAAGGCAGAAGAAAGCTCCTATACTGGAAGTACTGATGATCATCTCTACCTTGATGAGAGAAGTACAGTGTCAGCTGGTATATATTCTTTCCCTTTTATTAACACTATATCTCCAACATCTACCTGAAAGAAAACTAGGAATTGGTTAATAATATGAAACTAACAGAACAGCTCCTGAATTATTTAGTCTACCAAAGATGCATTGTCTTATATCAAGGGGAAATTATTTAAGCTGAATTTTTGTAAATCATTCAAAAAGCACCTGTGAGAAGACAAGTCACATCTGCCTATAGTTTTATTCAACAGAAACGTATTCAGCAATATCATTGTGGTAAGTTCTACAATGACCTCATTGTGAAAATTGGTAGAAAAATATTTTCTGACTAAAAATGAAGCCAATATGAAGCCATGATAAAACTCATGGGGTTGCCATTAGTCTACAGGTGACACATGTAAATCAATCTAATTAAATTTCTAAATGAGAAACTGAACTTTCTTTTGTAAACCAAATTCATTAAATCATATTTAATACAATGAAAAAATTGTGAACAAATTCTGTTTTTCTGATGCCTATTCATAAAGCTCCAATTATAAGGCTAATTTAATAAATAACAAAATCAGAGAGAAGAATTGTGTTTGCTAAGTAAGAGCGGCATTGCTACTAAATTATAAATAAGGTGCATTGATCATAGAATATTGTTTACATAATATGAAGAAAAATTATTTCTAATAAAATGTATATTGAAAGAAAGGTCTGTAATGCACTTCCTACTGAAATTTCTGGTGCAACAGAGCGAGATTGTACTAGGAGTTCTTTGTACGCTGATCAACGAGTGCTGATGGCTGCAATGCAGCAAGATTAAAACACCATCATCACCTACCATTATCACAGTTTAGTGGCATTTTATATTTCAATGAGATGGTATTTAAATCTTATTTCAGCACGAATAATGCTGATCCTTTACCACACCGAGGTACTAAAGTTTCTTAAAAAGCGACCAGACTTTTCTCATTAGATCCTATAATCTATGTCCTCTGTAAGAATCACTGCAGGTAATTTTCACAGAAAAAGTACATTTTTATTCCAATGGAATTTACTTCCATGAAAAAGAAATAAAAATGGTCAACGAACCAAAGTAAATCTGGATTTTAAAAAGCCTTCCTTGTGTGGGATGTCCCTTCTGCTCAGAGCAGAACTGTTTTGATTATTGAATAGGAAAAAACCCTAAATCCTAAGATGTTCTTCCATTTTAAAGAAATTTTCCAAGCTCTTCAACAGTACAAAACCAGTAAAAGAACTTACTTCAAAAAAGTTCAACTCCTGCTTCTGCACAAATTTGCAGAACAGTTCATTCAGAATTTTCCATATGTTCCTAATTGGTTGGATCCAAGTCTTATTTCCATTTAAAAATAATAAATTATAATAAACTAATGACATACCTTTTCCCAGTGAACAATTTCCCAAGCTCCATTTCTCAATACTATAAAAGTGAAAGACAAAAAAGAAAACATAGAAGCTGCAATTTCAAAATAAAACAAAAACACAATGTATTTATGCCTTCAACTAAATGGTTGACAAATAACAAAAAAGTAAGGAGAAAAAAACATGAAATATAAAATTGTACAAGAACATGAAGCTACTGGAGATTTTAATGCCTGGGGAAAAGCTCTATGTGTAATAAAAGAAGCAAGACCAATATGCCACAATTTTCTGTACAGGCAGTGTCCAAGTTACGAACAAGATAGGTTCTGTAGATTTGTTCTTAAGTTGAATTTTTATGTAAGCCAGAAGTGTCACTCCAGATTATATATACGTGTGTGTATATGTATGTGTGCACATGCACTTTGGATAGCATAGGGAAGAGTTAACACTCCTTTGGTGTCTATTTTGCTGTCTGTGCACCTGTTCAAAAGATTTCACCTAACTTTCTGTCCCTGTGATCATTGGACTTTGAAAAAATTGGCTTGTTTTGGAAACAAAGATTGGTAAGAAAGCTTCTGTGGAGAACCTTTTTCCTGATAACTCTTTTAGAAGTTAATTTCCCTTCCGAGGGGTACACTTCTCTCACTTCCTGTTCTCTCACACTCATTAATTATGAGTAGTTTGTAAGGCGGATGTTTGTAAGTTGAGGACTGCCTGTACTTTAAATAGCTGAACAAAGATAATATTATGCTGCACCAAGTTGTATGTTCCTAAACTAATAAAGACTCTATCCGCAAAGTATGCTAGTATTTTTTTAATTTAAAAAAAATCACATTTTTTTCACAGCTTCAAAATTTTATATTTCTAAAAATTTCATTGTAGTTAAACATAATGTTTTTTCTTAACATAGACCAACACAAAAACATGTTTAATCAATGTAAAATATTCATATTAGAATTTGTTACTGATTATGTGGTCTAACATTTTAAACAGCAATTGCTTTAGGAATGGATATAACAATTTACACATGGTGATTAATGTTCTCAACCATATTTTAGAGCAGACATTTGTTCCTTAAATGTTCTAGTGCTGACATGGATAATGAACATTCATCACGAAACTGCTACTGTAATAAAAAGTAATAAAAACAAAAGGTATCAGTAGTCCATGATTTTATTCTTCTTTACAGTGCATTTCACTGTTCCTACCTTGTATCTGCTTCTTGTTCACAACGTTATCAGCTTTATGCCTTTTCTGAAATAAAATTGATTTCATTTTAGATTGCTATAATGAATATGAAAGTACTTAGCACTGTGCAAAGAAGAAAAGGGAAACTGTAAGTTGCATAGATAATGAGATCTTTGTTGCACAGATAATGAAATAAGCATAAAAATCTCTCATTTTGGTAAATAAACATTAAGTACTACAACTGGATGATAATATTTAATAATTTAATGATAATGGTAATTTTTTATTTAGTACTTACAACATCTTCTATTATTTCTTTAACTGCTGCTACTACTAAAATAAATAACAGAGGAACCAAGGTTGTGTAACGTCCCGTTGGAGAAACATCTGGAATTTGCTAAGGAATGAAAAAAGGGGAAGAAACTTCATTTTACAGATAAAGTATTATGTAATTATTTTAACCAGGAATTTAAAAAAACCATGTTAAATGTAACATATAACAGCCAACTTCTTACTTCCATACATGCAATACTCAATTCAATTAAATGATTCTTCATTTACTATTGTCTACTAGATCTACACTTCGTTCCCACAATAAAAACAAGAACATCAGAAATATCCCCTTTTTGATTATTTTGATCTCTTCTCCAAAATGCTAAAATATTTTGATTTGGTTTTATTCCTTTTTCTTCAACAAATATATATATTCTAAGAATTGACCCCATATCACCTCAGAATTATTTATTTCCATTAATCCCTTTTTTCATTTTATTTCTCATGTATGTTTATCATTTATTGAGATATTGCGATAATTAAAAATGAGTACATGGGTGGTGGGTACACACAGAGATTAAATGTATAAGATATATGACTAATTGTTTAATTGAGTTATTGTATCTTTTGAGTTAAAGTTAGTTGCATGTAATTTGATAATTTATTTATTATGAATAATAATAAAAAAAGAAATAGTCCCTTTTCTTTTAGATATTCTTTTTATTTATCTAACAGAATTATAACTCTTAACATGAGTTTAAGCACAGGCTTTACAACAAGCATGCATGTTTTTGAATATATTGCAATACTTAAAAAATATGATGCAGATATTACTTTAGAACAAGGTATTCTACTGAACGTTTATCAGAAGTGTTATATCAAACAATTAACAGTCAATTTCCTTGTGACATACAATGATTAAATATATATTTACCTCATCTAGCTTACCTGAAGCAATGCAATGAAAAGAAAAAAGGCATTAGCAGCTCTTCTGAACTGGGAATAGAGGAACCTCGGCAGGAATGTGATTAAGTTGTATTTTGCAGTGCTAAGAGACAGAGATTAAAATTGTATGTAGTTAAGAGCTACAGATAAAATTTTACAACACCCTGTGTTTAGAATTTACTAAGAGTTTGACAAGTTTGAATAATGGTTCAAATTTTATGAGTCTAGGTACATATGACCCTCCCAGAAAAGTGTAGTGCTACTAAGCTATTATTGCTTATAAATTTTATTTCTTTTTAACACTGGAGGTCCTACTTACACCATTTTTTCATTTCTCACAGAGCTTCAAATTTAAATAATAATAGCCAAATTCCAGTTGTCACTCCAAGAAGCATACATGTGCTTTGGAATGTATGTCATGGGTCCTTGAGGCAGTGTTTCTCAACCTGTGGGTCCCCAGATATTTTGGCCTTTAACTCCCAGAGATCCCACCAGTTGGTAAACTGGCTGGGATTTCTGGGAGTTGTAGGCCAAAACACCTGGGGACCCACAGGTTAAAAACCACTGCTTTAAGGGAATGCTTATATACAAACATGCATTGTTTTAAGTGATCTAAATTAAAGAAAAATACTGCTCAAAATACTAGTCCACTCTTCAATTGTAAAATACCAAATAAAATATGGAACAATCCACTCCTTAATAAGTTAATAACTTACATATATATTTAACTTAAATTGCTGTAGTTTTAAAATGATTGAAACAACAAAAATCAATCTAAAATTATGTTGTAATACCTATCCTAATTTTAAAAAAATGTTCTATTGATTATAATAAATCTAGAAATGATACACTTAAAAACTATTTCTAATAGCACCATAATCTAACATTTTATTTTAGGTTTGTCTAAAGAGAAATTTCAAATTCTCTGCACTCCATAGGAAAAAAAATTTTTTTTTTCAAAAGCAGTTTATCATGTAACAAAAGCCCAAAGTTGGTTTTGCACAAATAGCAAAATGGATTGATTCTTTTGATTTCACTCTATTATTTAGCACCTTAAGAACTTTATTTTCTTCATGAGAGATTTAAATAAAAAAGTATTTTGCTTTATTTTAAGAAGAAATAACAAAACAATTAAGGAACATGATCACATTTGTCTTGAAAATCTTCAGAATCTTAATATCCTGTAAAAAATAAATCTAGACAATTTTGTTCTACAACCTCCAAAGTACTCAATGGGGTCAAGCATATTTTAGATGTATCTGAGGAAGCCTACTGTACTTTCTTTCATTGGCTATTGGCCAGATGGGTATATCAGAATCTTTATTTCTGCTGTTTCACCAAGTTCCAGTAGATGGTGTCCACATATTGCAGATTGAACATTTTTGCTGGAAGGGAAAATTCAGACATTACCCTCCCTAACAGCAATCCACAATTAAACATGCTAGTTTGTTGGCATAAGTGCCCTAGGCCCTCTAACAAGGGGGGCTTTCAGCACTTTTGATATTGCAGTTTGGAAAGAAGCTGCAGCACAAATAAGAAAACTGTCTTTCAGTTTCTTAATGCTTATCAAGGAGTCCAAGGAATACTCTCTCACTTAAGTGGCAAAGAAAAAAGAAGAAAGTACGACTTCTCCCAACAATATCTGAATTGCTGCAAAAGGAAATGAGACTCTACCTCTTCCAGCCCATTTATACGCATGCACATCCCTCTTTTTATACACACACTTCCTCCCCCATACATAACTACCACTGCAGCTCGTTCTGTCTGAAGAAGTGAAGGAGATGTTTCTTCAGGAATTATACCTTCAATGTCCTGTAGCACTATCAGAAAGACCAAGAGAGCTTTCAGGAACCACAACTTCAAGCACTGCAGGGACCCTGAAATGCATTCTAATGATCTAGACAAGCATCACATAACATTCAGGTACTTGCATATGATTAGTTGAATTACTATAATTAGAAACATGTTTTCATACTTGTGTTTTGCACTAAAAGTGTTTAACAGCAATAACCCATACAGGTCTTCTCTCTATACTTTCTTACAGGTTTATCTAAAAAACAGGAATGCATTCATTTCAAAATGTAACCTAAACGTGTTTTCAGGCTTTAGTCATTAGTAGATTTGTTAACAGAGAACCCTTGTGACAAAAGTGACTGAACACATGATAGTTCCTGCCAGATTTATCTTTGAAGACAAATTGGACACTATTTATTAAAACTGTATACAAATGATCACAACTATAAATATTGTAACTATTGTAACAAGTTATAAATAGGTTATAAATACCTGACATGATTGTTACAAAATTTAGAGAATTGTGGTTGATTTATAAATATCGTTCTCACTTCCTCCTGATCAGCTAATGAAGTCTTCTCTGAAACATCATCTGTCTTTTCATATCCTGTAAAAAATTAATCAATTTGTAAATATATCAATTATATATCATTTTTAATATATAACTATATATGTATGATGCAATTCAAAGTATAGCATAATTACTTGTTGGTTGAATATAATCATAAAGCAACTGGAAATATAAAATGATGCTTTAAAAATAACTCTGTGTCAGATTCCTGCCTCCTCTAGCGGTGGTCTATAACAGTCCATGGACAACTGGTGATCCATGGACTTCTGCCAGTCCCAAGTCATTATTGCAGGCCCTTGGATAGTTTCCAAACAGAAAGAAACAAGTGTAGTCAATAGATACAAATATAGCATTCTCAAGGCAAACGGAAATTGCACGGCCTCCCCACATGAAGTAATTGAAGAAACACTGCTCTATAACAGAACTACTCAAAGTTGTGGTCCATTAACCAATGCTGGTTCACAATCCATCAAATGTGGGCTCTTGGGGAGTTTCCACACACACACACAAAACCCCACAAAAATTGGAGCTAATGGGTGTAGATGGTTCCAATAACTTGTATGTTGGGAGGGGGGGGGATCAGTTCCTCAAATCAGATAGCTTAGAAAGGACTGCTATATAAAACAATGTAACAGGAATATTAAATAGGTATCGCATCATTGTTTAGTGTGCATAAAATAATACAATTGTTGAGAAAACCTATTCCCTTAATTCTTATTTGGGATATTTAAATGCTTCCCATAATCCAAATGTTTGATTGTATTATACTTAATTATGTTAGTTTCCAAAAATCTTTGAATTAAAAATATTTATAACAAATATTCTGCTTCCCTAAATTGACCAACATCTGATTCTGCATGCCCATTTGACTTATACTTACAATACATTCTTAGAACCTGTTGGGATTTGGACTCCCTCTCCCCATCCCACGGTGGATACAAAAATATGTGGATGCTCAAGTCCCATTACATACTGTAGTGTAGTAAAAGAGTCTCTAGACACTCAGCATAAGAAACAGGTATGTGTCTAGTTAGATTGCTGCCACAGCCAACAGGCTTATGTGATGTATCTATTGCTGAGGCATCTATTGTACTTTTTAGACAATATATTTGCATTAAAACCAAGATCTTTCTGCTCATATAAATATTACATAGTAGACAAATCTAGGCCATAAACTCTCCCTTGATTTACTAGTTTTGTTTGCAGAGGATATGTTGTCATAGTCTCCTACTAATGCATAGTTCCTCATATGAATTCCAAAGCGGTAGAACCAAAAAAACCCCAAAAAACAAAAACAAAAATCTGTTATTATTACTCTGGGCATGTGGTTTGTTTCAGTTGAGCACAACACAACTGAAAGGATTTCTTACCTTAAAATGTAGACAACTTGGTAGATAGTAATTAAAATATTAATATGTTTAAACAGGACATTTCAATTCACACTTTTCTATTTACAAAAACATTACAAGCGAAAGCATGATAGCTCACAGTGATAAAACATGAACTTAAAGAAGCTATATACATACTGTTTATACTCAAGTATAACTCTATACATTTTTGTAAAAAAAAAAAATCAACCCCCAAACCATGATCAACTTATCCATGGGTCAAAAAAAGTACCTGAATTATTTTAAATAAGGGTGAGGGGAGGAGAAAGAACCTTCTCCGAGTAGAGGAGCAAAAGGCAGGAGCTTAGTATGTCACGGGAAAACCTAAATGAAACACCAACACCCTCTACTCCCTACTCTCTGAAATTGCTTCTTGCCTTTTTGAATGCCTGAGCAAGAAAATGGCAGCGGCACTTTGCTGCTGACCCTTAAAAGAGCACCTTCTAAAATAAAAGTGAATACTGTACTTTAACTTTTATAAAAAAAAATGAACATCTTCTCTGAGTAGAGTGATAAAAGGCATTGTTGAATACTTGAGTGAGAAAATGCCTCTCTGGTGCTTTCACTTCTCTGCAGAATGATTTTCAACTTTTGTCACATCAAAAGCCATAATTAGGGCCCCCTAATTTGCATTGGATTTATACATGAGGTCAACCTCTACACAAGTATATACAATAACACCCATAATGAAATCTGATTTAGTATGTCTTTGTAAGTAAAAAATAGTAAGGAAAAACTGAACATTCTGTTTAGCTTATTTTACCTAAAGATTTATAATGTCAACCCCTTAAAAAACACATACAGACACTATCATATATAAAGAATAAATTGTGTGCACATTAAAGTGGAGAGGGAAGTGATTAAATAGAATGGCATATATTCAAATAGTTATATTACAATAAAACGATGAAAGATATCGGCACTATATCTGCAAACTGCATTTTTGCCAGGATCCACTCTGAGGGTGATTCTACATTGCCAAATAAAGCAGTGTAGTTGCATTAGCTTGTGTGTGTTCACAACACACGCAAGCTGATTCAAGTTGACTCAGAATAAGATGCTTCATGCGGTTTTACCCTGGGTTAAAAAAACAAAGGGGAAAGTCTGGATCCTCTTCCAGAATTTGGAATTTCCCGTGTTGGGAAAGTTTCGCACCATCCCAGATCCAAGATTGTGCTTCCACAGCCATTGCACACTCCCTAAGGTAAAGCAGTCTATGGAGGTGGAGTGGCTGTCTCCTCTGCCCCCCAATCCTTTGCCCCCAAAAGACAGAAAAACACCACTTGTGCTCTCCACTTCCTGGCTTGGGTTTTTTGTGTGTGTCAGGAGCAACTTGAGAAACTGCAAGTCATTTCTGGTGTGGTGGCACAATGGGTCAAATCCTTGTGCTGGCGGGACTGCTGACTGACAGGCCAGCAGTTCAACTCCGGTGAGAGTGGATTGAGCTCTCTCTGTCAGCTCCAGCTTCCTATGTGGGGACATGAGAGAAGTCTCCCACAAGGATGGTAAAACATCAAATATCTGGGTGTCCCCTGGGCAACGTCTTTGCAGACTCCCATTTCTCTCACACCAGAAGTGACTTGGGAGGAATGAGCCCCCTTCTCTCCTTCCAAGCTGATGGGCTCTCACATGGTAGCAAACCAGGAAATAGAGAGCAGAAAGCTCCAGTAATTAGTTCTGTGGGTTAGAATCCTGTCCCATGCCTAGCCGTGCTAAAACCGTTTTCAACATGCTAGGCTAACTTCATGCTGTCCTGACTTCAAGGTGGTTGGGACAGCAGCCTCACAGCCTGGCATATTTTTATACCATTTTGTGCCATATCATGTGCTTGCCTAATAAACCCTAAGTAAGTGTACTGTGTATACTAAGTGTGTGGTCATCTTTACTGGATCTCCACAGTGGTGTGAAATTGTTGATTATTCTGACATGAAATTACATATACTAAAAGGAAAGACCTTTCCTTAATTATTCCTGGTTGTATTGGCCCATACTTGACCCAGTGCAAAAATGAATACTAATCTCTCCCTCCTCCTGTCCATACTCCACTAGCTAATAAACAATAATAATATTCCTGTGACTACTTTATTCTAAATAAGAAGGTATATGCAAGAATGTACAAATTCAAAGTCCAACATTCTGATATTCCCTGCTGTTTTCCTACAGAAGCAGGCTTTCTGAAAATGGAGGCTCATCTTAGCTATCCTTGTCTTACAAAAGCAATGTTAGCAATGTTACACAAGTTGTTTTATTTAATCACATTTAAGTTATTTATGAATGTCACTGAGTTCACAGATTTAGGTGATAGTAGAAATATCCCAAAGGCATCAGATTTAATCTGATTTTGGAAGCTCAGCAGAGTGAGCTCTGGCCAGTGCTTGGATAGGAGACAGCCAACAAATACCAGGTGCAGTAAACTAAACTAAACTAAGCTAAATAAATAAATAAATAAATAAGTTTTAAATACTTCTTGCCTGAGAAAATCCTATGAAATTCAACAGCTGACTTGGAGGCACATACACACAGAATAGCAGAGATGACATTTTTTGAAAATATTTTGGGAAAGGTTTGTTATATTTCTAGTTTTGTGCAGCAGCAATAGCTTTACTCCAGTTTTTACCATTGTCATTTTAGCATATAAATACCGTTTTAAGTATCATATTCAATACTGGGTTCTAATTTTGTTTTTGACATTGTTTCTTAATGCCTAAATGCATATGTTATTCTGATGTTCGTACATTTCTTGGTACTGGTCATTGACCATAAATGTGTGTGTGTATAAACAACAAACTTTGTTACGGTCCATGGACCCGCACCTGTTAAATAGATAACATACAGCAGTTAACAGATCACTCGTATCCATGGAAATATACTATACAGGCACATACTACAAAGTGTGAGAGACTAGGCCTTGCCTTGCTTTGTTGCCACTGCAAGGAGCCACTGTGAGCCACTGTGAGGGTCACCCCTTGGTACTTGTATATATGAAAAGAAAAGAGGACAAACTGAAATGGTCCTCTGGGCCAGAAAAAGAATTTTAGGAAATAAATCAAGCTAGTCAAATTTTCTGACTAAAGCCAGAAAGGTATGAGTATGTCTGCAGCAGGAAAATGTAGATTTTCAGGCTAGCTAGACAAAGCCTAGCTATTGACTTCAACAAAGTTTGAGCAACAGACCTCTAACATCAGGAGACAAGAGACTCTTCACAGGAATCAGAGATCTTTGAAAAAAGCAGCAAAAAGCCTGTATTCTTGATATCTAGATTCTTTTTAATGAAAACGTAGTGGCTGGCTTATGGTAGGTATTACAGAGATTTCGACTGTTATCTTCGTCTGAATACGACTATTGCCTAAATGCAGGATGTTCAGATGTAGGTAACTGTCTCTGCCTGAGAGATACAGTAGATTCTCAGATCTAATTTAAACTGACCATTTAATGCAATCTGAAGCTAGCTTCAAACTGTGGCATCAGACAACAAACTCCTCCAAAAGCTTTTTTTTTTGTCATTGAAGAGGTCAACATTTGCTACCAACTATGTAATAATAATAATAATAATTATTATTATTATTTACTTTTCTCCCGCTTTTCTCCCACAAATGGGACTCAAAGTGGTGTACAAGATAAAAAAAACAACTACATAATACAAAAACC